CTCTCATTGCCCTACTGGCTCTCATTGCCCTACTGGCTCTCATTGCCCTACTGGCTCTCATTGCCCTACTGGCTCTCATTGCCCTACTGGCTCTCATTGCCCTACTGGCTCTCATTGCCCTACTGGCCCTCATTGCCCTACTGGCTCTCATTGTCCTACTGGCCTTCATTACCCTACTGGCCCTCATTGCCCTACTGGCTCTCATTGCCCTACTGGACCTCATTGCCACACTGACTCTCTCAGTCTCTGTTTATTTATAGAGTCTGTGGAGGGAAGGAGTAACTAATGAATAGTAAAAGTTTTGATTTGCAAAGTTATCCTCCTAATTAGATGATCAGGTTCTACAAGGGAATGTCCATTACAAAACGCATGTCTCAGTGGAGTTGAGCATCGAACAGTTGGAACAATAGAGATTTATTTTTTTACTAGCAATAAATGTGCAAATGTCTTCACTAGCACTAAACCAGGGGTAAACCACTCGCCAGACATCCGGGTGCTGTGTAGCATTCTGGCATCCTCATGAAAGCCGCATCCTACATGTTTTGACATGTCAGTGTTTTGTAGGTGTTTGTCCAACGGAATGTTAGACATGGACAAAAAGTATGGTCGTAATGCCGACTGTCGGAGATCAGGGATGATTCAATGATTGTAACAAAATATGGTTCACTTGAAATCAGACAATACTGACATGTTTGATTATAGTTTTGACATGAATTTGGAGATGAAAGGAATCACTAGGATATAAAAACTAGCGGAATGACATGGAGAGTGGCTTGCCATAGACTGCAAGGGTGCCATAGACTGCAAGGGTGCCATTGACTGCATGGGTGCTATAGACTGCAACTGCAAGGGTGCCATAGACTGCAAGGGTGCCATAGATTGCGACAGTGCCATGGACTGTGGGAGTATCTTATACTACGGATATCCTGAGCTACTCTCTCTCTCTCTATCTATCTATCTATCTATCTATCTATCTATCTATCTATCTATCTATCTCTCTATCTATCTATCTATATATCTATCTATCTATCTATCTATCTATATATCTATCTATCTATCTCTCTATTTCTCTATGTATATATCTATCTATCTATCTATCTATCTATCTATCTATCTATCTATATATCTATCTATCTATCTCTCTGTCTATCTATCTATCTCTCTATCTATCTCTCTATCTATCTATATCTCTATATATCTATCTATCTCTCTATCTATCTATCTTTCTATCTATCTATCTATCTATCTATCTATCTATCTATATATATATATATATATATATATATATATATATATATATATATATATATATATATCTTTCTCTCTCACCATACAATACGATACAGTTCTCACAATAAACAGTCCACTAAAAATGTCTTTTTTCTTATTCTATATATTACTATTTTTTTTTTNATATATATATATATATATATATATATGTATATATATATATCTGTCTCTCTCACCATACAATACGCTACAGTTCTCACAGGAAGCAGTCCACTGAAAATGTCATTCTTCGGATTCTATATATCACCATTTTTTTTTTAAACTTTCAACAATTCAAATTACTTTAATTCAAAAGAGAGGTTCAGGTTCATTGAGGCATTTCTATTTTACAAATAATAAATAAATGTTTTTGAAAATAATATTGATTATTTGTATTATCCCATGACTTCCTTTCAGAAGGAACAATTTGTTTAAATTAATAACACTTTAGTCCACCACAATATAAATAATGTATTGTACTTCCTAATCCAACACAATGACATGTATCACGACAAATTCTAACGTCACTTAATTGTTTCAGATCCTTCACGCGTCCATTATTTTTTTTTTTACTAATTCATGACTTTTTCAGTGACGCCATTGCGAATTTTGGACAAAATGGCCTAATGACTCTAACAACAAAAAGGGGGGTGGGGGGGGAATGACCAATCTCTTTTTCCAAAATAAGCTTTCTGTCACTAATGTCAAGTTTACTGGATTATCATATATGAGAATCTATGGCATTTAATCCATCACAGCTTCATGCATGGCTTCGCTAGCTGCAACAGAAACTGAAGAAATTGATTGCAATGATTGGTGTTGAAAATTGACAAAAGACTAAATATTAAGCATTGTTTCACACGGCACATTGTTTTTGTTGTGTATTGATATTGACGTCACGCTTTTATGCTGTCCAGTTGTGCTCCTGGCTGATTTCACACAAATAAAACGTTGAAATAACCTTGATGGGTGCCTGTGCTTATTATATTATCTTCCTCGTGAAGTAACTTAGCAATATGATATTTTCAACATTTTGATTGTGAACGAATGATTTGACAACGCCAACCTAAACATTAACTCCTGAAGTACACAAATCAACATCCAGCGACCTATGTAAATGGGAAGAACCAACTCAAGATTTTAGATCGGGGGAAAAGATAGAAATGGGGACCAAGTAGTAGATTTCGTTTTCCTACTTTCTTGATTGACCATTGACCTTTGATAAGCCCAACATTTCCGGTGGCCTGATTTCTAGGACCAGACAATCAACTTTCATTTCCAATTCGGGGTAAACTCAGCCGTGACCTACATCGAGCTATCTGACGCCCGAGTGTGTCTTGGTGTGAGTGTTTGTGTGTATGCTTCTTTCGGTGTGAGCGTGCATGTGCCTTTGTGTGCGAGTGTGTGTGCTATCATGAAACGCATATACATTCCAAATAGCTTGTTTTGTTTCGTTTCATATTTATAATGTATTTAAAGATTTCAGAGTTTGGTCATAATTGAAGACCCATCTTCTATCACATCACTCGTGTGCTTGTCATAGATTGGTTGCGGACTGTGTATGTTGCTTAGGATGGGATCAGAAGATAACAAATTTGTATACCTACAAATTGTAGGCCTTAAAAATTATCAATTTTTTGTTAAATGTAATATACGTCAAATAATCTTGGAAGCTCTGGCCTACCCTGATGTCTATTATTATAATAACTTGCAGTGCCCCCCCCCCCCCCTCACATTATTGTTATCCAATTAATTGCGAAATATTCCCCCAGTATTAACCATCACCCCCCCCCCCTATCCCATCCCATCCCATTTTTTTCCCCCAGCTGCGTCTCACGACCATTCAGAACATGACTGTTTTGGTTGCGCCATCTTGTCCCATGGAAGGGAGGGAATGGTCTATGCAAGGGACGGACAGATCTCGCTCGACCTCCTCGTGCTGCCATTCAAGGGAGACAAATGCCCGTCTTTGATCGGGAAGCCCAAACTCTTCTTTATCCAGGTAACTGGAAGGAAATTATGGTTATGTTTTTATGTTTTTGGTGTTTGTTTTGTTGTCTTTTTAAAATTCTTTTTTGCAAAAATAGAAAAAGGGCAATATTTTTTATTACAATATTTAATTGATACATAATTGAAATAGGAATGTATTTTATAACTTAAACTAGCCATTTGATTCCTTTTTTTTTTTTTAATTAATGCCTATCTAAGGGACAGAACTAAATATAATCAATGAGACTCCTCTTATGCAGGGAAAATTGGCAGGAACTAATAATCTTCGCCACGTAAGGTAGATTTCTTTGCAAATAAACGTATTTTAATCCAATATTTAAACAATGTACTCTTAATGTAAAGACAAAGGCCAGTATTCGGAATAAAAGGGGGGGGGGAGCAAAGCCCGACCCATAAAGCCGCATTTAAGGCTTAAGGGAAAACGGTTAGCCGATAATGTGTTGCTGTACCCTCACTAAGTTAGAAGTAATGACCTTTATAATTTCTTTTTCTTGAGGATGATTATTATAAAGAAATTGTTCGTTTAGCTAGCATCGAACGGAAGCCATGATAATAATTAGGCTTATACTAGATGCAAAATTCAAATCTATATGCCGGTGCCCGGAAATTTGTTAGTAAGAAATTTCGTCGTAAAATTTGATAGAAAGGAAATTTGGTCGAATTTTTTTTTTTTTTTTTTCAGTTCACACGATCAAATTTTCGTCAAATTTCTTTTTGAACGTACTACATTATAGTAAAACAAAATAATGCGTTCACAAAGAAATTTGACGCGAAATTAGAACGTGTGAAATGGGAAAAAAAAATTCAATCAAGGTTACCACAAAATTCCTTCCTATTGTGTATTTGTTTTCAAATTCAAGAGAGACCGTAGTGTAACTCGGGTGTATCGGCTAGCATTAAAATATCAGACTTCACCAAATTGTAACTGTGTCTTGCACCCTGCTGATAAACAAAAGAAACATGTAAAATACCAACCAATAAATACTAATGTATTTTATTTTAATTCTAAAAATGTCCACATTGCCTTTGACAACAGGCCTGTCACACCAGACGACAAAGCATGTATCTTGACACCCCATCCAGGGGGAGGACAACGCGATCTCCATCTCCCGCGTCGCCTTCCTCTAGCAGACGATCTCCAGTCTCGCCAAGTCTCACGGGGGATGAAGATAACTCGGACTCGCCTACTGCCGTGCACATGCGTAAGATACCAATAGAGGCCGACTGTCTATTTTGCTACTCAACCGTGCCTGGTGAGTATGGGGATGGGTCGTTTGATGACATTCTTTCTTGGTGATATGATACTCAGTGAGACACCATTTACATAATCAGCAGGAAAGCTTTTGTGTTACAAGTTACATTAATTAATTGAGGAAACGGGGGGGGGGGGGGGGGGGGGAGGAAGAGACATTTGAAAGTGTTGGTTTTTTTTCATTCTAGGTGAAATCTAATGGTAATATGGGGAGAGACTGCATCAGGTTAGATAAATGGAAATGTCAAGCATGGTATGGGAAAACCTGAAAAGAAATGTTTGTTGCATCCTCTTTGCAGGTTTTCCCATACCCGGGGTACCGGTAAAGATACCTAATACTAATACCTTGTTTTACACATTTCCTAGAAGAAATCTAAGACTTTTGGTAATGAGAGAAACACGCAGCTTGGAAAAATATTTTTGTTTAGCTACTGGCTCAAAGACGTTCTCTAATGTACCGGTACCTGCTCCAAAAGACATGGTAATCTAAATTGAACAGAACTCATCACTGCCACGTAGTCTAGTTATTTCCCCTGCATTCTAAATCAAACGGAAATCAACATGGCCACAACTACTGTTGTCTCCCTTGAATTATTTACAATGACAATTGAGAGTTGAGTGTTTTGTTTTGACATGGACACCACCAGTTCTTGGGCTCGAGGTCTTTTATTTTCATATGTTAAAGGCAACATTACCATACAATCAAAGTAGCATTGATATTTACTGTGTTATTAAATCTAGCTTCTTCTAAGTCTAAATTATACTTATTTTGGTTAACTGGGGCATAATTTATATAATATTATATGGTACCTGTAGTATGATTATTACTACCGGGTATTAGTAAGAATTTAAATTTGCCATGTCCTGCACATAACCAGGCAGTCCAATGTCAGACAGAGCTATTTTGTAAATGTCCACAGGTTACTACTCCTGGCGCAACAACCAGGACGGCTCCTGGTTCATCCAGGCACTATGCATTGTTTTAGAGAACTACGGCACCAAGATGGAACTGATGCACATGTTGACCCACGTCAACAGAATCGTGGCCTACGAGTTTGCCTCGTGCAGTGACAAAGAGTTCAGTGAATCCATGAAACAGATGCCTTGTATTGTCTCCATGCTCACCAGATACGTCTATTTCAGGCCCAAGAAACAAGATATCCGTTAAATAGCACAGATTTAACGCGCAGTTACCAGCACGAGGGTGCATGGGGATCTTTTTGAATAATTTTAATCAAAAGGAAATGCGCATGTTCAATTTCGACAAACACAATTTTTATTTTAAACACCAGAGGAAGATGTAAAAGTTTAACATTTTTTACAAGCAGAGTGTTAAGTTTTAACAATGTGCCAGATGATGCCCCAATGTCCAACATTGATCCATGTTAAAAAAGTGAGAACTGTGAGACAAAGATGTCGTGTATGGACCAGCAAACAATATGGGGCGACAGATCCTGATAGGTTTGGGCATCAGCGATACGAACTCATTTTTTAAATTTTAGTGGGCCGATCACACTGGGGCCCTGGGTAGTGATTAAAGGGGAGATGACTTGATATTCATCTTCAGTTTTTTAACCCACTCGTAATAATTTTTTTTGTTTAGTGAATTCGGCAAACTGGGATTCTGAAAGGCAAAGGGTATTTGGTAGGGTTGTCTTTAACAAACATCAGTTCACTGGGGGTTTGTAATACACTAACAACTTCCCAATCTATAGCTAACTGAGATGGTGCGTAAACTTGCCATCTTAATCTGTTTTTCAGAAACATGTTATTAATTCTTAAAACCGAGATACTAATTGTAAAAGTTTGGCCAAATTTCAAAATGGGTTTAAAGATCATTTACATCCCCTAAACCATAATTTTATTAATGTTTTTCTGTCATGTGATTTTTTTGAGAACTTCAATTTACTGCATTTTTAATAATATTAGTTGACCTCATAAATTATTGCCGTGTGCACAATATTGCAAAATATTTTTTGAGATATTATGTATTGAGAATTCCTTTTCTCAAATAAAAGAAAGAAGTGTTCTAAGCTTTAAAAGAAGTGTTACCACTAACATTTCCAATAAGAGTGTCCTTACTTTATTATGTGATCATTTTATAAAATTCTGTGTTTAAAAAATTAAACAATCACCAAAAGTTTTAAGACAGTGTAAAAAATGCCTTCTCTGAATTCATTAAAAAAAACTATAGTTTGACAGATCTTGAAATCACCCGGCAGCCAGGTTGGGGACATGAACTAACATATTTTACTAACAGCTTGCATATGAGAAATGTAAAAGAAACAAATATCTAAAACAAGCATGTTACTTGCAATGAACAAACAACAAAACCCAATTGAAATATTGAAATGAATGTAATTACAATAGAAGAAAACGCTTCCATCATTGATATTGAAAATATTTACATAACACATAAATAATAACTGTTTAGACCTTGTTCAGTTGTCTTAATATGTCATACTTTGAGACTTTCAGGTTTAATAAAAACGGATCAAAAAATTAAGATACCCCTTGTAACAGTACTTTACAGTAATTTAATATTTATTGTTTTAAAACATAACATGTTTTGCTGTGCGTTTCAAAAAACATTTAATTGCCAGTTGGAATTTTAAAACGCCTCTTACAAGTTTTGCGGCACTTTCACCCAACATTGTTACAGGCAAGAGAAGTTGTTTTCAAAATTAAAATGTATTATAAAACAAGTTCAAAATACAGGGCCACCTCTAGTAGCTTCACTTTTTATTGGTATGCCTCTGGTATTGAAACTGGGTAAATCATAACTCTACGGATGACCAAATTTCATAAATGTTTATCATTAGAAAAACTGGCTTCCCTTATCTCCCCATCATCCCCTTGATTCTGTCCTTGCTTGTGATGAGAACATAAATGGCAGATAATCCAAAGCCTATGCCTCCACCTCTTAAACATCTTCTCCAGCCAGCTGTAAGGAGTTACAAAAACGTAGTGTACAAAATTAGTGTAAGCTTATTAAATTTTATCAAGTTCAAAAATTAATGTAAAATGTTAAAATAGTAATCTGATTTGGAATTTAAGTGAGTCAGAAATGTAATGTTTGCCATAAAGTAAGAGCAACAACAATAAAAGAAAGACAAAGCCATCTAACCTGAAGACTTGTATAGCATGCCTGTCGCAGTGGCAGCAGTCACAGTATTTAGTTCATCATCCACTCCTCTACCCAAGGACAGAAACACTCCAAATACACTGTACATTAGAGCTGAAAAAGAAGTGGAATGAATGTTGTTATTTTCATGAAGACATAAAAATTTTTGTGAAAATAGTCAACTAATACCAACATCTAATAACAATAACTTTTTCTCTCCGGAATTAATTTCCGCGTTCTGATGGAATAATCTATGTTGCTTATTTGTTACGCACTACTATGTTATCTCTAAACTATCATAACTTGTTTGTTTTTCATCAGAAAATGATAAGTGGAATGCATGCTCTTTACAGACAATACAGACTTAGTTTTATAATATATAAATTAGGTTTAAATTATAATATATAATTGTGATTATGATTAAAGGAAAATAAAAAATTTAAATAAAAAATTCACCAACTGTTCACAAAACGCTCATTCCAAGTCACACAATGCAAAATTTATAATCCAAAGTGTAACAAAAATATTTTTTTTCTGAATTATATCCATATGTGCATCACAATTAATAAAGATCACATTGAAAAAAAGAAAAAAATGAAACACCACAGCACATTATCCATTGTCACCACCACAACAAAAATGTCTGACATTTCCATTGGAAGCAACCTGTAGCTATTAGAAAATATTTGCACTGCATCCTTGTAAGTATTAACATTTATTATGGTTTTTCATATCTTTTCATCTGCGTTTAGCTATGGTAAGCCTGAAAACAATCTCTATGGATCAGCTGATTTGACTCACATCCAGCACAAACGTATAGCGGTACAGTTCACCCTGTTCTACAGTGTTTGAACACTGTCCTTTTTGGAGCTAATAGGCACATGTTTTGCTCCAATAAGTCTCTCAGTGGCACAGGGATGTCCACGGCCTGGTACTTCCAAATTTTTCCCCCTCTGGAATAATGGTTGCAGCATATTCTGTTTACATGTCCGCAAGTTGTAGTTTGAATTTCTAAGGGTTACTTTTCTGGGTTTTCTTTGATCTTCTGGCCTTGTCACCTTATAAAAGGCTACATTTTACATTTACTTCTTGTAGCATGTAGAGAATTGTTCTCTCTGAAACATTGTGACATACCAATGTATGCATCCCATTGACCAATTAGTCACGAACTAAATGGATGAGAGTTCATCCCCATCATTGTTATTGCTAGAAATTTGTAGGTCAAAATTATTGACAAGTTTCCAAACTCTAAAAATAGATGTCTTGCATGTTGGAGTGTTGATTTTAATTCTGTAAGAAGCATACTCATTTATTGGGAGTACAAGCTTGTGTATAACATGTGTGTCTAGAAAAGTAAAAGGTCCTTTGACTTACTAGTCACAATACAAGCGCCAAATTTACACCTAACTTTTTTAAAGGTAAATATCTGAAATTGTACTCAGTTTTAGTGCTAAGATCAGCAGCTTTCCTTTTAGAATCTACATTATTTAGTGTAGGAACAGTATTAGATCTTCTAGAAGGCACTTTAGCTGGGTGTGGGGCTGGTTGTTCATCAGCTGATGAATTAACAATTTCATTATTTCGTTTCTAGTGCTACTAATATAATTATACAGACCTGCCAACCTGCCAAGAAAAAAAATCTGAAGGGGGTTGCACGCAGGGGGGAAGTGGGACTGCTGCCCCCCAGGATAGGCGCCCCCATGGGGGGTTGGTTTAAGATCTATATACTAATGCACACGCCTTTTTTAGTAAATAAAGAAATATAAAGTTACCTCCATTGCCTTTGAAGGGTCCATAGAACACTACAGAATATGAGGTAAACATTACTGGAAATGTTTATATACTGATATATACTGTACAGAACAGAAGATCCATTTTATTTACATATGTACACACACACTGCTGCTAAGACTCTTAGTAAGAGTTCAGTATTCCAGCATATCCCTAGTGATAGTGGCCTTTTTGCACTTGTCCAACAGCTCTTTGGACTTTGGACAACTGAAGGTTAGCATTGCAGTTGATTTTTAGTTACAAGCAAGTTAGAAAAAGTATCAACTTTCATGCTTTCCCTTGTTTCATTGTAATTTTTCTTTACAATCCTCTAGCATTCTGTAAGTCTGGAAACATTTCTTTGCCTCTGGCATTAAAATTAAAACGATCAGAGTTGGCTAGAGAAATATTTCCTTCAATGTTTATAATTTATAAACATCATTGTACCCTTCACTTTCAATAATTTAATCATTTAATTAAGAAAACCTTTAACAAAAAAAAGTTGGAATTATTTTTTAGCCTTGTAAAAAGGATGAATCGCGATCGGATCAATTGATGATTGCAGAATGATTTGAAGATCACGGTTCGCTTCAATAAAAACAAGGCAGTGTCTACGCGTCAGGCGACCAGACAAATAGTGCGGGAGATATTTATCCGGCAGGCGTGCCACGCTTTATAATATAAAAAACACTGTCACTTTTTAACCAATTGTTCATTGTATATGGTTCTAGTATTTCTTTTTTATAATTAAACATATTTCTTTTTCGTGTAAATGCCCAGACTATCTTGAATTTGTTGAAATGAAGGACCGTAAACTCTGATCGACAATTAGCGGTCACATGATAAGGCTGACGGACAAATGTCTTGCGTAACTCTGTTACGGTGGTCATGTGACTTGGTCGAATAAACACTAGCCAGACAAATATCTCAAGAATTTATTCACTTATTCGTCCGGTCGCTGGACATGTAGACACTTCGTAAAAACGAATGCAGCGCTTCCAGTCAATACCCCATTTTTTTTATTTTTAATTAAGTTCGAAAAATCAGAATTTTAAATCCGTATAATTCCGACAAAATGAGAAGGGTTGGCAGGTCTGAATTAAACAATTCATTAGAATCAGCTTCTGCATCCGAAATCATAAAATCACTGTCTAAATCCTCATCAGAGTAATATTTTCAACCTCTATTAGATCGATCGCCAGATGGGTCAGGTCAAGATTTCATGTTGGTAAACAAAAATAAAATGGACAATCAAAACTAAGCTTCAAACACTTCGTCCTATGTACAAACTAGTTGAATTAAAGGAAAACCGAATGTTTATCAAAGGGAAATCATTCTAGATTTGATTTAAAGTAATTAAAAACCAATAGCTAAGAAATAAACAGGTTTTTGTGCATCGATGAACCCATCGTCAATCCGGAGAGAAAGAGTTAAGGATAGCTTCTTAAAATCCTGATATTTGAGATCTAGCAAAATAATTCTGGTATTTTTTAAACTAAAATTTTCCAAATTGAAGATTTAATGTGGTGTTCCAGAACGTATTAAAAATATCAGGAGCCGGGTCAAATAAATTCTAATATGGCCTCACCAACAACTCCAAGTGTTTGTGCAGTGGATGCACCACCTTTTGTGATAAAATTCAGGAGCCTGAAGAAGAAAAAAGAAAAAAATATATAAATATATATATATATATAATTATGTTGTATCAATCAAAAACTCACTTTAAAACTTGAGAATAAAATAATTTTTACAAATTAAAATTTATTGTGATCAAAGATTCCTACTGAGTCCTTCTGTTTGCCCCTGTTAACTGCCTAGCCTGAACATCTTTTATGCCTGAGTAAAATCCATTCAAGCCACCAACTGCAGCTCCTGTCAGTAAAAAAGTTAAAAATATATTTTTAAATTGGTGATTTGCACAAAATAGGATGAAAACTTTCTATTCACAACAACATGTTAGTGTATGACATTCCAAAGGCTATAGGAATGTTCAGTGGATTATAAAAAAGATAATTTTAGAAATATGACATACATATGAAAAGTTATTATAAGGACTATTTTTAAGTGATGTATTTTTTTAAATACCATTCCTAATGAAATGCAGTTGCTGCCTTTAAAAAAAAACTTACCCACAAAAACTGAGCCCCCAATTTGGGAAAATGACAGCTCTAAGCGGCCACGAGTTCTTGCGGCCCCTTCCGGGAAAATAAATTGTGAATCTGCATCATTCTGAGAGGAATTAGAAAATGATTTTTGAAATTATCAAACTGAAGATCACAAGTCCATTTTAAATCCCTTGTAAAAATTATTGATAATTATTGTCTTACATTTTCTAAGATCATTAACTCTACTCTATTCATGTTTTTGTTCATAAATACATTTTAAAAAAATAACAATTTAGAACTTACTGGTCCAATATAAGCTGGATTAAAATTGAGGTATGGAGACATAAGCGCTCCCGCTGCCCCTGTGGTAACTAAGAACAAATGAAAGCATTACGATAAATTGAATTGTATTTACCAAATTAATTCTACAGTGGGAAAAATAAGTAACATAATGATAATGGTCACTGGTATCACAGTTTACCATGGGAGTAAATTTCAGACAGGATCTACAACAGGATCTCAATCGGTTAGCTGAGTGGGAGATGAGCTGGGACATATTTTTTTCATCCTGCCAAGTGCCAGACACTATCAGTCTCTAGAAGTTGTACTCCTTTACACTACCAATACGAACTGCATGGCCATATACTTGAGCCAGTTTCCTCTGTAAAGTACCTGTGTGTTACCATTCAAAGAGCGGTCCACTGGGACGACCATATTAACAATGTGTGTAACCAGGCAAACAAGACCCTGGGGCGTAATCTAAAGATTGGCAGCTCCTGTGTGAAAGAAAGAGCCTATAAAGCCTTTGTCCGTCCGGTTTTAGATTATGCATCTTCAGTCTGGGACCCATTTACCCAGAAGAGCATAGACAGGTTGAAGGCGGTCCAGCGATGGGCAGCTTGCTTTGTCCTGAACCGCTACAGGAATACTTCTAGTGTTGGCAGCTAGCTGGAAACACTAGGCTGGTCACCATTGGAGGAACGACAACGACTATCCAGGCTCTCGACAATGTACAAGATAAATAATGGGCTAGTCCACTGTTCCAGTATTAAACAGAAACTCGTCCCTCTCCCCCATAGACAGCGACAAGGCCATGACAGGCAAATCCGGCTCATACCAGCAAGAAGCCAGAATAGGAACAGCTCATTCCTGCCAAAGACAATCAGGGACTGGAACAAGCTTTCAAAAGGAACAGTTGAGACAACAACACTAGACACATTTGCATCTATTGCCTCAAGCCTTCCAACCCCCAGTGCATGATTCCCTCACAAAGTAGCACTTGCAATCAGTGAAATATTCTCATCAACACCAGGCACAGAAACATTGCAAATCCCCTCTACATGTAAAGGAGCCAAAATGATCAATAAATTGATAGTGGGCCCTTAATACATAGAAGAAAAAGAAGAAGACCAAAAAATGCTGAATTTACAGACAGCTATTCATGCAAGCACCAGAGTATCTGAAGCCCTGAGACAAAGAAAATGTAGAGCACCTCATTTCCATCAAAAATTGTCTTAAATCTATGCTATATACTGTTATGGTTATAAAGATTAAATCTGTATTAATAGCTGGTTCATAGACAAAACAATACGTAACAAAAGACTGATCTAACAGTATGCAAAAAAAAATGATACCTAAAATTTAAGTTAATAGTATAAATAAATTTCTAAGGACCTACTAAACACCTCCTACAAAAACAATTTACACTTTATTATTTATTAATTAGATATTGGGGAATTTAATTATACCCCTAAATGTCCACTGTTGTTTTAGGATATTTAATTTTAAATGAATAATTTTCAAGATTCAAAGCTCAAAATTAATTTGGTGCTATACTATATCTGCCAAAAAAAATAAATAAGCAATACAATTTTGTATTAACAGTGATTCTCACTAATTTGATATTTTGATGGGTTTGTCTATATAAATGAGGTCATTTATAATGAATTTTTAGAGTCTGGTAAGTCAAATATATTAAGTTTTAGAAATTTTTTGTTATTACTTGGAATTATTCTTTTGAGAACAAGTTAGTAAAATATAATATGCTGTGGAATTCTTTTGTATTATTGTGCGGGTGATTTTAACTATTCTTTAGGATCACCCTTAGAGCAAAAGTTTTGTAATGTGAAATATTCTGATAAGTGGTGATTTGTACATAAATTTAATTGTTTCATTACAGCATTACAAAGGGTAGTTAATATTTATTAATTTTTTATTTGAACAGTAGGCTATCATTTAATTAATTGTATGCTAACCATGTCATCCAAAAAAAGTATAAAATAATACACATATTTTGCATGAAAAATTATGATTTTGGCACCCTCTTAAGGTTGGCAAGTTGGAATGCAAGGTAAGTGCCTCCTTCACAAAGCCCTGGCAGCCAAGGGAGGGAGTATTAAATTTTGACTTTTAAATTAGGTATTTGTGACATCACAATGACAAAGTGTTTAATTTTAATTCTTTTTTTTAATGACTTCTAAGATGGAGAGGGAAGGTAAAAAATGGTCCAAAAGATTGTGACATGTATGACATTATATTTGTTTGGATGATTCCTGAAGTAAGTTCAATGTTACTAATTACTAAGTGACTAGTGGATATAATTAAATAATGGCAGTGTCTACACGTCCGGCGCGCCGGACATATATCTCCCGCACTATTTGTCCGGCGACCAAGTCACATGACCGCTGTAACAAAGTGGCGAGAGATATCTTGTCATTCAGCCTTGTCACATGAATGCGAATGATTCAAAACTATTGTTAATTTTAAAATCTATTTCTCTACCAAGTAATGTACTGAGTATCTTGAATGCAAATAATAGAAAAAAACTTAAGTGAAAGTGGCTTGTAAACATTTTTGATTAAGTTTGTTATTTGAGTTTGTGTACCAGTAATCGAATAAAATAAATTAGGAGCCAGTGGAGTCAGTGGCGTAGCGAGGCAGGTGCGGCCCGCACCGGGTGACATCCGATTGAAAAATTGCATATTTACAGGGCACACATTGCTCGCAAAAACCGAGATTCATAAAAGAATAACCGATCACACATATATTTTTCACAAATGTAACCAATCCAAATGCGTGCTTTATTAAAAGTTCAAGGTTGATGCTATNAATTAGGGGCCAGTGGAGTAGACCACCAATAAAAGTAAAAGATTTCATTTTAAATTGTTTCAATTGCTACAAGATATTTTAAAACTTCTCATGAAACTACTATTGCTGATGAACATGATACTATAAATATAGTATAAAATATTTTAAATTCAAATGGGAAAAAAAACCAATCCTATACCAGGTATTGATCCTCAAATAATAATAACGTCAAGCGACCACTCTACCACAAGACCACACAATATCTGCCTAATTGCACTTCGTTCAGAATAATAACAACTACTAGCCGTCCTGCGGTCACGTGACATGCCGCCTGACGTATATCTCACTCACTATTTGTCCGGCGCGCCGGGCGTGTAGACACTTCGTTAAATAATACCCTATTTAGATTTCAACAATACATGTAAAAGTAAATAAATCATAAAGCAAAATCAAGGTTCAAGAAGAATATTCAAGGGAATTTCAGATTCGAAAAGGCCTAAGACAAGGAGACTCACTGTCTTGTATGCTATTTAAAACCTAACACTAACATTAGTGAGAGTTATAAGAAACACATGTTAACACTGGAGGAACAATAGCAAGATACTTTCTGAGGGAGACCCAAGACCCACAAACAATAGGCACTCTCTACAATCAACATCTGCAGTATCTTGCATATGCTGATGACCACATATCAAAAGCCTTTATTCAATTATTGAATTAGAAGACGCATCACTACAAGCAGGGATGAAAGATTGAAACCCAAAAACAAAATACATGACTATGACAACAATGACAATGATAACAGATGAACAGACAGATGAAGCCATTAAAATTAGAAACCGCTCTTTTGAAAAAGTAAATCAATTCCGATATCTAGGCCTAGGATTTTTATTAAATGAACAAAATGATATTATGTATTACTACAATATTCAATATCTTTAAGTTTAAACAGCAACGATATTAAGGGTACTAGTAACTAGGGGTGTGCCGGACCCCGGTCCGGAATCCGGTTCCGCCGGATTTTGCACTATCCGGTGAAATCCGGTTCCGCCGGATTTACATGTATCCGGAACAACCGGATTCCGGAATATACCGGATTTCGGAATTTGCCAGATTTTGTGACTCACCGGATCATAATCTGAAATAAAAGTAATTCTCTTTCCCGAATTTCACACGATCACGATACATTAATCGATTGTTTCGAGCGTTGAGCTTGTTTAATGTTTAATATTCCGTACATACCAGAGGCTAGAGTCAGCACCGCTAATGGTGGCCAATAGTGTAGGGACTTTGATAAGAAAATTTAAACTTTTTGTAAAAATAAACCAATGGCATAGTTGAAAAGATGTAATTTTTTAAAGAATTATAACACCAAAATCATATTTTTAGCTGTTGTAGTTTTAAAGTTATGAATTTTTAAAGTACGACTTGGTTTGTCATTTTTTAACATGGACTGCATCTCCACATTCTGTGATCTCATTCCACCAATCCCGTCATGCGCAATGACTATATAGTTTATATAAGGCAACGCATTCCCTGCCTTATCACTAAAATACTGTTTAGACTTAGTTTAAACTTTCAACTTTGGCACATGAATAATTAATTAAAGCTTTCCCTGACCAATGGTTTAATAGTTTTTGCACACGGCAAACTCTTATGAATGAAACTCTGAGGTAGTACTACGATACAGTTATGCAAGTGGCTGTGAATGGTTGCCAATGACAACGTGTTGCACACGGTAAATTCTGATCATTTATAATATGGATTCTACCGGGTTGTTAAAGCTCAAATTAAAACATTCCAGTTTAAATGTCTTTAAATGCATTCTGAAACACAAGTTATCAATTATTTTGATGTAAATAGTGATAATAAATTAATATTTCCTAAGTATCGTCAACTTCCGCCATTAAAAAGGGGGGCGTGGCCAACCCCATGGCGAAATTAGGTTGAGCGAGCTGCATAACCTGCTGCGAACGCGTAGAAACATGGCGTCTCTCGTAAGACACTTATCCAAATGGAACGGAACTCAAATATATATCGAAAGTACTAATTTAATAATAAATAGACACACACATCGGAAAATTAAAAACTCGGATTTTTTGGCGCCGATTGCGAATTCCCATACACAAAAAGTAGTAGTCCACCTTGACTTACCGAAGTATCTACCAATAGTACCAAAATCCGGAATCCGGGAGAAACCGGAATCCGGATCCGGCGGATTTCGCATAAGAAAAACCGGATCCGGATCCGGTTGGAAAAAACGGATCCGGCACACCCCTACTAGTAACTAAGTTACAAGTTATGATGATGTGACCATCATTTTTGACAAAGTTACAGTTCAGTGTAACTTGAACTAGGTAGAAAAGAAATTAGAGTATTAGAGATCAATTGATATTGTGAGTAAGTGACTAGTGAGCAGCAAGTTCAGCAAGTGTAAGAAACACTGAGTTGACAATTGAATCCCTCATACTCATAACTTATCGTGACTTAAAAGTTAAAGTAAAAAGTGTCACAGTATCCGTATCATAATTAATCATTATTTTTGGACTGGACACCTAGTACGGACTTAATTTTAATTTAATAATATAACATTTTTATAAAAGTAGGCATTCATTGATCATGAACTACTGAATTGATGAACTCACTAAAATAAAAAGTAAAAGTTACTACTACTTCTAATCACTCAGTCTCAGAGTCTTCCTTACCTGGTACATTCATAGAAGGATCCGATGTCGAATAAGGATTATAAGCTGGGGGATCTTTTTCACTCATTTTTAATTATCCAAATATTTTACTGTCCAGATAGACAGTGTAACAACAAATAATGATGAAAATCTTACTATCAAGGGCAAAGCGGATGTTGGTAAAGCATGGAAAGATTTAATGCCAGGACTTATTCGGTGTTCTATTTACATAGCAATTTCATTCTTTAATGAAGTAATACAGACAATTCTAATGTTGATTGAAAGAATTAATTGGAATGTATTTTTTTGAGGATTCAGTATGGAAAGGCTTACGTTTTAATCTGAAGGTTATGTTTTTGTATCATGTTCGTTTGGAACATTTTTAGGGAATTAGTACAATTTGGCAATTATTTTCTTTTGCCCTTTGCTAACTTTACGTAAACGTAGGGATAGTATCCCTTCATCTATACTAAACGCAAGATTCGTGTTTAATCGACCATGGTCTGCTTCGTAAGTTTATATCCACCAATTTCAATTTATAGCCTACTTTAAGAATTTATTGATTCATATATGCTTAGATTCTCAGGTGGATACTTTTGGTCTGGTTAGATCCATTCAGAAGCGTATCCAGAGGGGAGCAGTGGGTTGGGGCGCCACCCCTGAGCCTAACATGCTATTAATTTATTGTGTCGATAATTCGAATGAGTTTTGTTTTGGTGTTTGTTTTTTGGGGGGTGGGTTAAATTATTTTTTTTAAATTTTAATAAATTTTAAAAAGTTATATTCTCTTTGCACAATTATATTTTACGTAGGCCATTTTTAGATTAAGCCTAACCGGTGGCGTTTGAAGGGGGTCTGGAGTGGGCCATTTACTCCAGGTAGCACCTTTTTTTTTTATAATGAGGGGTAAAATTTTACAAACTGCAAAATGTTTTTCATGGAAGGGGTGCGGTTAAAAAGCTTGGCCTGCTCCGGGTGGGTTTAAATCTGGGCACAACCTTAAATATTTATATGTTGGGCACTATTGACTCTAAGTGGACTGTCAACTCCTATGTTCTTCTAGATTGATTAATTCATCAAGTTCTTTCACACGTTGAATATGTCGTACTATTCTTACAATTACTGAATAAACTCAAAACCTTTTCATAATAATTATAACTTTTTTAAATCTAAGTCTATACTGTACATATTTACACATGAATGTAGCGCAGCTCGCTATCAGACATAAATAATACACATCCTACTTCCACAAAGTTCCACTCTAGACTGCCGCACGACTAAAACATACGTCACAATACTGTCTAGACAATATGTCACGAATCAACATAAAAATACGTCACAGAGTGAAGCGCGGGAAGAGCGTTCAATATTAACTAATTAAAACTCTCAAACACATGTTGCGCGTAATGAGCATACTATTCAGTCACAACAATTATCAATGACATCCCATACTTGACATGGTCTCATTTACGAGATGCTATGTACGATTCAGCCATGTCCGCCTACGGTAAAATGGAGCATACAAATAATGACAGGTACGAGGCGCATTGGAATGTGATGGAACCCATAAGCGAGAGGAATGAAGAGCCTTACTTGCCTATCAGGATGCACCTTGTGCTCGTACACCACAAGGTGTCTGAACTGCAACAAACAAAAAAAATATCCCAGCAGACGGCCCGTGACTGTGCCAACACTTACTGACTAGACCTTTGCAACTCTATACATTTGGCTTCCGACAAAGAAGATGCAAGGAACATGTACGAGGGCATCAAGAGGGCATTAGGTCCACACACTTCAAAAATATCCCCACTAAAGTCCAAGACGGGTCAAATTATCCAGAATACAAATGATCAACTCCGGCGTTGGGTGGAGCATTATCTGGAACTATATTCAACAATGAATGTAGTCACTGAAACGGATCTGAATAATATTCACGTATTGTCAGTAATGGGCGATCTAGATGAAGTGCCAACTTAACAGGAGCTCGAAAAAGCCATTGATTACCTTGCTGATGGGAAAGCACCAGAGATTGACGGCATCCCAGCGGAAGTCCTCAAAAATGGAAAACCTATTTTACTTCAGCCCTTACATGAGCTGCTCTGTCTGTATTGGGAAACAAGTCACATTCCCCAGGACATGAGAGACGCCAACATCGTAACATTGTATAAATATAAAGGGGACCGAAGTGATTGCAATAGCTTCCGAGGAATTTCTCTCCTTGGCTTAGTTGGAAAGACTTTTTCCCGTCTTGCTCTTTAACGCTTGCAGGGTCTGGCTAACCGCATCTATCCAGAGTCCCAGTGTGGCTTCCGGAGTGGGCGCTCAACAATAGACATGATATTCTCGTTACGCCAAATGCAGGAAAAATGTCGTGAACAGCATATGCCTCTTGCGCCTCTTTATATTGCTTTCATAGAACTGACAAAAGCATTTGACTTGGTAAGTCGGAGAGACCTTTTCAGTATCTTGCAAAGAATAGGTTGTGCCCCACGACTGCTCACAATCATACACTCATTTCACAAAAACATGCGCAGCACAGTAACCTTCATTGGCGCTGTCTCTGAGTCATTCCCAGTCAGCAGCGGAGTAAAACAGGGTTGTGTACTGGCACCTTCGCTCTTCTCCATTTTCTTCTCGATGCACCTTCAATTTGCCTTCAGGGACTGTGAAGATGGAGTGTACATTTACGTACCAGATCTGATGGTAGGCTGTTAAATATCGCCCGCCTTCGTGCAAAGACCAGGTGCTGATTCGTGAACTGCTGTTCGCTGAAGATGCCGCCTTAACATCTCACACAGAAGAAGGTCTTCAGGGGCTGGTTAATCGTCTATCATACGCTTGTAAAGAGTTTAGACTGTCAATTAGTCTACAGAAAACACATATCGTGATGCAAGAACCACCGTCCCCTCCAATCATACCTATTGAGGGTCATAATCTTTCGGTTGTTGAGTATTTCACAAACCTGGGATCCAATATTTCTAGTTCTCTCTCCGTTGATGAAGAGATAAATATCAGGATCGCAAAAGCAGCAGAAACTATGGCTAAACTGAATAAGCGGATGTGTGATAATCTCAATCTAACTGATAAAACAAAAATAAGTGTCTATCAGGCATGCGTGCTTAGCACGCTCCTACATGGTAGCGAAGTGTGGACCACATACACCAGTCAGGAGCGGAAACTCAACAGCTTCCATCAAAGATGTCTGCGTCGCATTTTACGCATTCGTTGGCAGGACAGGGTGCCTAACGTGAAGGTTTTGGAACCTGCACACATGTTTAGCATATTGCCACTGCTCAGAAACAAAAATCTGTAAAACACACAACATCACTTGCTCTCTCGGGTATGCAGATTGAGTTTGCTCATACAGTGCGAGACCTGGGTGTCTATTTAGACAGAAGACTTACTACGGAAAATCATATTAACATGCTTTGCAAGGCAATTTTCCTAGAGCTGCGCAGGATTAGTCATATCAGACCTTTCTTAACGTTAGATGCATTAAAGAGGCTGATGTCTGCATTTGTGTTATCACGCATGGACTACTGCAATGCTCTCATGGTGGATCTCCCAGCTAAGCTCCTGGATAAAATTCAAAGAGCACAGAATAATGCGGCTCGCATTGCTCTTCGCAAACGCAAATTCGACCATGCTAAAACACTTCTGAGAGAGCTGCACTGGCTGCCGGTCCATGCTCGCATAGAGTACAAAATTACAACTTTGTGCTACCGCTGCTTTTATGAACTGGCGCCATCTTATCTCAAAGCACTCATGGCGTCTTATGTACCCACTAGAGAGCTCCGCTCATCCGATAGTGGCAAAATATCGATACCGTGTGGGAGATCACTCTATATATTTGGTTCCTCATAGTCAACAAATTATGTAAACTTTAGTTCAAGTCCAAAAAGGGGAGAGAATTATTAATAATCATTATTATACTTACATTCTTAAGAGTTTGTTTTTATAATTATTTCAAAAAGTAAATTCAAATACAATTTATTTTTCATTTAACAACATTTTAAAAGATACAGAATTACCCCCCAGCCCCCAAACATTTTTTATCAAGGGCTACCTGGGGTGGTTATCTCTTCGCCCCCCCCCTTTTCCACCCAAAGGTTTTCCCACTGTATCTGGAGGCTTTTATTTCATTTTTTGTTATGGCTTATGTTAGCAGCATTCTGAAAAAGCATGCTATTATTTTCCAGGTAGGTCTTATTTTCTGTTTTCTGGTAACCACCTGACTACTACCACGATATCTACTACTGCAACAACTACAACAACTACAACAACAGTTACCACTATTAATTGACTATAACCACAGCAGTTTAAAAAAAAAAAAAAACGGCGTACCTCTTTCTGGCCTACGTTGACTTGTCCATGTGAATTGGGTTTAAAAAAGAGGCATCTCCGAAACATTGGCTCAGTACGAGAGTCTACGGCAAGTTACCAAAAATTTGACATTGTTTATAAAAAGTTATCATTTTTCACCCGGGGGTTGAAAGGGTCGCCTCTTTAGTGGTATTTTAGTTTGGTTAACGCTTGGTTTCTCTGCCAGCAGAGCCATGAGGCATAGGCCATAGATTAGCTACCAGTGGCTACTACACTCGGGGCAAAGCCTGAATTTACGCGTCATCATCCCAAAAAAGTATTAATACACATATTTAGCAGGAAACATGACAATGTTGACACCCTTTCAAGATGTAGCTTGGTGCAGGTGTCCTTTTCACGCGACCCTGGCTACCATAATCTAGGGCAAGGAATGTTACGCATTCTGACCCCGATATCATCTGCAGGCGTAGATGGATGTATGGATTATGGATTGGTCGGGAGGGCAGAATAAGTCTTAGATCAGACCCGCGTTTCTTCCAGCTCTCAACCCCGCCAACATTTTTCACATACACGTTGTCTGCTAAATCCATGGGTCGTTCAGCGCAGCCACCGTGAAGTCTGTCGCTTGAAAGCCCACGCGTTCAGCTCGCGTCAAGTACCGACCTTCTTAGATTGTTACAGGTGTTCACATCTGGATAGCAAACCTGACATCTACAGCTCTCCATAAAGGTACGTTTGAATAATAGGTCAAACTTTTAACATTATTGAGATTCGGGTTTTCTCGTGCTTTGTTCGTCTTCTTCACGTTACTATTTATAGACGTCCTATCACGTGGCCTGCAAATCATCAAAAAAAGAAGGTGGTCGCAATGTTCCACTGTTTGGCCATAGTTTTGAATGACATCAATAGAGACTTTAATCTTGTCACCATAGGTTTTCATGTCATCATAGAGTTTTCCTTATCATCATTAAATTTTATTTATAAGCACCGTAAGTGGTATACTATGTCATTAAAATATGTTATATTTCAGTATCATATATTATTATATTATATTATATTATATTATATTATATTATATTATATTACATTACATTATATTATATTATACTAGATATAGCCCGCCAAACATTGGCGACAGCAATGCGTGAACTTCCCATCTACTAAAGTTACTTGTCATGAACATGAACTCAAGTAACGCACATTTAAGAATCCAAAGTTTTTGCTACACCCCCGCCCTCCCCCCCCATGATACGCCCCTGCACACTTTGACTTGATTTCACGCCCATGAACCCTATTAAATATTCGGATGTCCCAACAACTTTTAAACCGAATATTTTTTACACCATACTTCAATTGAGACCATTTCACTTTCCGAAAAGAAAATATTAAGCACCAAACGCAGTTGCCTTATTAAAAAAAAATCATATATTATTTAGCGTAGTCATCGGGAATTATATTTTACGCTCTATCGAACTCATTATTGAATCATACTTTATTTCAAACATTTAGAATTATTTTTAATATACTCTCAATATCAAATTCGCTGATTAGGAAGCAAGCAGTCTATTAGGAAGCAGTCCACGAGTCACACCAAAAGAGGAATATATATATATATACATATATATGTAGCCGAGTGGTGACGTAGCTTACAGTTTAAATAAAATCACCATAAAACAATCAGGTCTGAGAACTATAGCTTTTTTAATGTAAGGTTCAATCCGTTGACAGAGCCGACAGGAAAATCTCTCACACCTGCCGCCGACCCGACGCACCCGTTCCACACCACAATCTCAAAAAGATGTACACACCTCAAGTCGCAGTTCACCCCCCTCCCCCCACAGTCACAGGGAACCCGCGTCCAGAGCTGACCATGGGTCAACCCCGGGGCAGGGATGGTTATACCCGCGTGTAAATAACCAACATAAAATTTAAGGCCAGTACACGGCTGAGTGTTACGTTAAATGACAATGGATGTGTACGTGCTGGAGTTACCCACAGCAGACACACTATGACTATGAGAGTGGATTCTCTTATTCCTATCTGTTCCATACTGACGCATATAAAATCTGTTACCTAAAACTACTAAAAGCAGTTGCAAATAGTGGCACATTGCCATATATATATACATATATATACACACACATATATACACACACACATATATATATAAAAGAGATAACAGATGATATACCTTATAAAAAAATAACACATCACATAGGAATACCCTATCCTCTATCAAAGGGTAAATGTTAGAGAAGCTCCGTCTGAACGTTGAATTACAATGTTTAATTCTGCCCTGTCAGGGGCGTGCGAAATGGGGAGTGTAAAGAGGCCGATACTAGAGACCGACCGAAAGTGATTTTCTGATTTCGGCCGAAGCCGAAAATAGGCCGAAAGATTAAAATGACTTTCGGCCGAAACCGAAAAAATGCCGAAAGTTTAAATATGACTTTCGGCCGAAACCGAAAAAAGGCCGAAAGTTAAAAATGAATTTCGGCCGAAACCGAAGCCGAAACCGAAAATGAAATATTAAGATATTTTGAAATTCGTTCCCGCATACATTCTGCATACATCGAAAATGATGTGGGAAAGTATAAATATTTACATTCTTTTTATAAAAAATGAGATAATCGTGAATATTAATAAATAAACATCTAATATAGGGGTCTCAAACTCGCGGCCCGCGAGCCATTTGTGACCCGCAAGACGATATTTTGCGGCCCGCTACATCACAGAAAAGTTTAGTGTAAATGCGCCGGCCCGTTTCCCCCATTCTCATATCTATAACGTGACTCTCCGCGACGGTTTCAGTCGAATCTCACCGACTAGTCTAATTCTGATTTTTTTTTTTGTAATGTTTCTATATATTTTTGAATGCAACAGTGAGTAGGTGGATGAAAGTGAATCCTAGTTCTTGAGAACCCTTAATGATTTTATTGTTATTTATAAAGGTTGAGCAGATTGTAACAGTTGTAATCGCTTTTTGTGGATTTCTTGATGCGGCCCAGGCTCATTCAGACACTACCTCCTGCGGCCCCCCTGATGATTTGAGTTTGAGACCCTTGATCTAATGAATACTTTGGATTTTACCATTTTAATATAAAAGTAATTTAAATTGCTTTACAATTTTTTTTAAATTGGTATGGTAAGAGAAAATTTGGCCAAAAAAATGGAGGGGGGGGGGCAAAATTAATGAAAAATACTATTTTTTTAAACCGGGTCTCTAAAAATTGTTGTTCTGATATGGTTCTAAAAGATCGCTTAATTGGTTCTGAAAGGTCGCTTTATTTGTTTTTAAAGATGGTTTAGTTTTTTGTTAAAGATCGTTAGTTGCTTGCTATTGATCGGTTAGTTTGTTCTTAAAGATCGTGAGTTTGTTCTTAAAGATCACTTAGTTTTTTGTTAAAGTTCGTCCAGTTTTTGTTAATGATCGCTTTATTTTTTCTTAAAAATTGGTTAGTTTGTTCATAAAGATCGCCTGGTTTGTTGTTAAAGATCCTTTAGTTTTTTCTTAAAGATCGCTTAGTTTATTGTTAAAGATCGTCCCGTTTTTGTTAATGATCGCTTTAATTGTTCTTAAAGATCGTTTAGTTTGTTCATAAAATTTGCTTAGTTTGTTGTTAAAGATCGCTTAGTTTGTTCATAAAGATCCCATAGTTTGTTGTTAAAGATAATTGATTTTTTCCTTAAGATCAATTAGTTTGTTCTTTAAGATCTTTTAGTTTGTTCCTAAAGAGCATTTAGTTTTCTGTTAAAGATCGCTTAGTTTATTCTTATAAATCATTTAGTTTACTATTAAAGATCATTTGTTTTGTTCTTAAAGATAATTTAGTTCGGTCTTAAAAATCGTTTATTTTGTTCTTTAAGATCGTTTAGTTTGTTATTAAAGATCGCTTAGATTGTTCTTAAAGATCGCTTAGTTTGTTTTAAAGATCGTTTAGTTTGTTCTTAAATGTCGCTTAGTTTGCCTCATTTTCTGTCTCAGGTTGATCCTGTAGTATAGGCCAAAACGTGCCAAAGTGTCCTCGTTTTATAGCCATTTTAATTGTTTCTATGGTAAAGTAGTTACTATCCTAGTGTCTCTTTTTTATTTTATTTAGTTTACATGTTTTTAATAATTGTAAAGCGCTTAGAGCTTTAAGGTAAGTGCTATATAAAAATGCCTAAATAAATAAAATAAATAAATATTGCTTTCACTGAGTATTAGATGACCAAAAACCTGAGTCACTTTCGGCCGGATGGCCGAAACTTTCGGCCGGATGGCCGAAAGTCTAAGTCAATTTCGGCCGAAACCGAAGAAAAACCGAAAGTTAAATTTTGTCTTTCGGCCGAAACCGAAATTAAGCCGAAAGTTAACTTTTCAGTTTCGGCCGAAACCGAAACTTGGCCGAAAGTGATAAAATGGCCACTTTCGGTGCCGAAACCGAAGCCGAAATTCGGTCGGCCTCTAGCCGATACAGAGGGGGGTGGTGAAGGGGGCGACTCTAGGGGAGAGCGTGAAGGGGCCGACACAAGGGGGGCAGAGTGAAGGGGCCGACACAAGGGGGTGGGAAGGGGCTGACGCAAGGGGCACCAAAATCGTAAATTTTCCTTACATATACGACTGGTTCATAATATCATTTATTCATGAAATGAGGGAGGGGGCCCAGCGCGGGTGCATTTTGTCCCCGACACGGTACTGCACTGTAACACATCCCTTCCCACCGCCCACTACGGTACTTTCAAAACCAACACAACATTCATATTAGATCAAGCTAATTGCCGGAACACTAATGTGTTTATGAACTAAAATCACATTCTGTAATGCAACATTAACATATACATTTATGAAGAATTAAACATACTTAGGCTCATGTTATATTTTAATCCCAGTCCTACACTTTCCCTGATCAAGATAACATTTCATCTCCGACATCAACCCTAACATTTAAGATAAGGTCAAGTTTTTAATTAAATTATTAAAAAAAACAAATCTCCACTTTTGTATCGTCTCGAATTTCAGATACCCACGGTACTTCTCCTTTAAACGATGGGCAAAGACCAGACATTGCTACTGTGTTTGACCTTAATATTGACAGCCCAACTGGGTCAAGGTGAAAAGGTTGTTTTATTCCCGGCCCCGGCCGCAAGCTACGTCATCTACCACACTAACATAGCAAAGGCGTTAATGGACCTTGGTCACCATGTGTGGATCTGTATACCCGACTATTTATCAGAGAGAGTCATTGCCAAGGACATTCCAGTGAATGTGATCCGATACGGTAAGAAGATGGGGAACTTTGAAGACAACCTTCTTAAAAACACCCGAATGGTCGAAGCGTATTGGGAGGGCGAGGCCAACAGCATACTGAGCTTCATACCGCTTATGAAGGAGGTCAAGAAATTCACCCGCGGCGTCCTGTCGGATGCGGAGTTCATCGAAACCTTAGGAGACCTAAAGCCGGATCTGATGGTGTTTGATGGCGGGGCCTTATTCAAAGACGTACTGGTGATTGCTTACAAATACGACATACCGTTCGCTTTCATAGGGACCATGCACGACATGGTGCTGGCCCGGGTGCCTTTCAGTCCCGCCGCGGAACCTTTTCCGTTCGGGCACGATAGCAACAAAATGTCATTTCTGTCGAGAGTGAGAAACACCCTAATCGCGCTGGCTATGGTGAGCTTTGATTTGTTCTCTGAAGATATCTTAAGCACGTTCGCCCCGGAGAAGCCATATTTGTCACCGTCAGAGCTCGCGCTCAGAGCGGAGGTCTTCATCGCTGAGATCGATCACGTCCTCGACTATCCAAGACCTACGCTGCCCAACACCAAACTCATTGGTGGTTCTTCCGCGAGTGATCCCAAACCTCTGAAAGAAGACTTTAAAGCTTTTGTTGATGCCTCCACCCATGGGATCGCTGTGGTGTCCTTTGGTAGCAATGAATTTCCTATACCAGAGGCCATTTTATTAAAACTGGCGTCTGCCTTTCAACGCCTGGATCTCAACACGGTGTGGAGGGCAAACCTGACTTCTCCAGATCCTAAAAAAATCATGACCAGCAATTGGATACCTCAAAATGACCTCCTGGGTCAACCAAATACCAAAGTGTTTGTATCACACTGTGGTAAGAATGGACAGTACGAAGCCCTGTATCACGCCGTGCCTATTCTTTGTCTCCCCATCTTTGGAGACCAGTTTTACAACCTTGAGAGGATACGTTTGAAAGGTTTTGGACTTGGGGCAGACATGAGGGAAGTCTCATCCGAGGAGCTTGCTGACCTGATAAAAGAAGTCACCTACCAACCCAAATACAAAACAAACATTCAGCGGGCGTCCACATTATTCAAAGAACTCTACAAAGTCCCCATGAAGGAAGCCGCCTACTGGCTTGATCACGTGATGAAATACGGAGGAGAGTACATGAGGTCATCTGGTCAAGAAATGCCACTGTATCAATTTCTTCTCATTGACGTGATGGCTTTCCTATTTGGGGTCCTCCTTGGTGTAATAATATTTATGTGTCTCGTTATTAGGTTTTTATGCACATGTCTTTCTAGGAGCAAGAAATCTAAAACCAAAACGGCCTAGTCTTACATTGCTACTCCTACATGTTACACGTTAGTTGAGACCAGAGCTTTCCAACCGGTGTGCCGTGGCCAAATTCCTCCAAAAGAGATGAAAAAAAACTCGAGGAAAACGATTGATATGTGTTGCAACAAAGGAACAATTATTGGCTTATTCACAAGCTGTAAATGGTTTGAAGTCAAATGGCACACCACATATAGGCCTACTGGGTTAAATACAAAGGTCGTCCAACTCTTTTTATCCATACCCCCATAATATATTTTTTTTTGCGTGGAGGTCACCTCCTACTTGAATGTATCTATTTTTGTTTATTCAAATGGTTTAGTAAATATTTGTTATTGAGAATACAATAAAATATATAAAAGTACAAATAAATTCGATACAATAAATTTTTTAAATCCTCACTATGGAACATAAAGATTTCATTGAAAAAAATGTTCAATTTTTTTTTTTTTTTTTTTTTTTTTTTTTTAAAAATCTTTTTTTTTTTTTATTTTTTTTTTTTTTTTTTTTTTTTTTTTTTATTTAATTTTTTTTTTTTTTTATTAAAAAAAATTTTTATTTTTTTTTTTTTTTTTTTTTTTTTTTTTAGAAACTACTCATTTTTTATACATTGATTATTTTTGTTGTTGTTTGTTATGCAATCAGATCTTTTTAGATACTGACTTTGGGGTTAAAGTTTAATAATTGATTTGTATACATTTTTTAATGTTCGTTTGAGTGAAAAATCATTATTCGCAAAGGTAGGTTTTTGAAAATGATAAAGTTTGAAACCTTTGCACTGTTTTGAGCATACTTGGTAAGCACTAGGAGTGTTGGGGTGCGCCACATTCTCACAGGGAGTAGACTGTAGAAACCCTCACATGGGGGAGGGCTCCTATAAATAAAAAGGAGTCAGTTTGACAGAGCGCGATAAGGTCTGTATCATAACATATCTAAGTTTTTGTGCAGGGTGCCACCAGAGCAGGGGTACTCGGAGGAGGCTCGTTGAGAAGTCTGGATGGGGTAACGCCATGAGTTTACCGTACTGAGTGGAAGCGACTCTAGTCAGGCCATTGAACATACGATGAAACAAGCGACTAGGCAAAAATAACGTTGTCATATAACGGTACAAGCCAGTGTTAAAGCCCTGTGTGTTGGCCCGATTTTGTTTCACCCTGTATCGTGTAGGCTGTAGAATTATCTCCATTTGTTGTTATAACTGCTTAAAACTTAAAACCAATTAACTTATTTTCTTTGGCGGGTCATCGGCCAACCTTTGCTTCTCTTGAACATACTAAAATAGTACATTCTGTTTTGGGGCCGAGCTAAAGCTCTTTTAAGGCCACGGGAAGCACTTTTACATGCGTCCCGCATCTGCTGAGCATCGCAGTAGATCAGGCTTTCTGGTTGGTTGTCTGGGATGTTCCTTAAAACCTCCACTCATTATTTTCGGGCACTCCGCTAGCAAGTGCACCACTGTCTCCGGCGCTTGTCCGCAATGATGACTGCTTGGGTCCCGAAGAGGATGTAATCAGTTCAACCAGCTTCAAGTAGGACAGTGTTTTTTTCCCATCTGGTTTCGATTCTAGAAACGTCTCCCACTAGACTATAAATAAGACGATCAGCTGTGGCTTTCATCCATCCCTGTGGAGCTACATCCTATGTAGGGCTTTGGCTTTCCTCACCACTTCCTTCCACTCAGACCTAACTAATGCTTTTCTTTCCCATGCTGGGATTCCCATATGCTTTAGATCTTTAACCACATCATCCATCCATCTAAGCCTAGGTCTGCCTTTGAGCCGTTTTCCTCTGGGGTTTTGGTGGTGCACCCGCTTGGTTGCTCTATCATTTGGCAGTCTTTCTAAGTGTACCACCCAGCGTAGCCTGCCTCTTTTTATTTCTGCTTCTAGCGTGGGATCCTGATAAAGACCTTACAGTTCCTCGTTGGTTTGTGTTCTCCACGCATATTCATCCTTTGTTGGTCGATATATTTTCCGGATAACTTTTCTCTCCCATGTTTTAAACAGGTGTTCGGCTGTGCTTCACCTTTCTATTATTAGACTATACGTAATCAAGTTCTGAAATGTAATATAGGGTTATTTATAGTTGTTGTTTTTTTTTCTTTTATATTTCATATTGTACTTTTATATAAGAATTAATAATATAAATAAATTGTTACTTGTAAATTTGTACTATTTTGGGTATCGTTCTTCCTTTATTATATTCACTCAATGGTATAGTCCTTTTGTCATATACTGTTTGTAAAGCGAGCCATTTTAAAACAGCATTAAACTTTTCAAACTTTTTGCGGTACATTACACTAGACAAGACATGAGCGACAGTAGCCAAACCCCTAGTACGACAGATTTGTTGTTGTTTTGGCTTGACTGATGGTCACTTTAGGCATGAATGTCATAAGTAAATTAGGGGTCGCTTCTTGTATCGATATCAAAACACGTTTAATTGTGTATTTGAATGGGAATTTTTTTGTGATCAACATACATGCAAAATTTTAGAAATTAATTATAAAAATACCACTTTAAACGGGATACAAGTTGTTTTGTTAAAAAAAAAAGTTTAAAATGGAGTCCGGTTTTTTTTTTAAATAATATTTTTCTGCTCTACTGATGGGCACGGTTATAGTGAAAACTATTTAATGTTATATTATTGGTTGATAAAAAAATCTACTTGCTCTTGTTAATTAAACATCTATAATTTTAAAAAAAAATAAAAAATTAACTGTTGGTTCTCGTATGCGTGCCGAGGGAAAGCGGCGCACGAGACGAAGTCTGACAATGCACCACCAACACCACTCCCTTTCCAATATCTAGAAACAAAATGGCGCCCTTTGTCCTTGTAAACGGGATTTTATTGTTTAATTCGCTATTAAGGTCATATCTAAAATCGATACCCTCCCCCCCCCCCTTTTCTTTTATGTTGGCACCCGGCTGAGTGCCCTCTTCGCCACTTCCTCATTCACACGGCCCTGCCTGTAAACAACAGAACACTAACAGTTTTGGTAAATTCACAATTTCATTGTGGTGTGCTCCGGATGTCTGGGAATGGTCCAGGTGTGTTACGAGAAACAAGCGTTGCGGAGCACTGGTCTAGCCTCAAGACACTTCTGGTACACCGTACATCTGTAGAGCAAACAACCATTACATTTAAACATAATTTTGTCTTTGTTAATATGTTAATTTCATGGGAAGATATTTATATAACTATATTGATTGCAATTGATGTTGATTTATATTTCAATTGTTCATTCAATCAATTCAAATGGCTGACTGATTTAACATAAAAAAAAGTTATGGATTAACAGTATGCCGAGATATGATCACCAGCGGAAGATGATTACTACATTTTGAGGCGCGGTATATTCTTTCCAACTGCAGAGTCTTGTTATTGCGGGTGTAATTAATTACATGTCTATGACTCCACTCGATAATTATTTGGGTGTGGGCAGCGTTTGGATTAAAACTGATTAGACCAATAGCATGTTTTTAAAAAGAAGGATGGAAACTGAATCAATATTAGATACGGTGCATGGTATTGCTCTCTGAAGCAATGCTCCAAATGTCAAATAACTTATTAATGATTTGTACATGTTTGTATTGCTTTTAATGATGCTCCGTCACTTGGAAATGGAAACTGGCACATTTATTCAGTAACGTTTTTTTTTAAAAATAGAATATGCACAGATTAGTGGAAGAATGCACTTTCTCCTATTGTGGCAATTGAAAGGGTTTGATGCTGTGACATGGGATTTACAGATTGACTTTTTGGTAGGGTTGACCCAATTATTCGTTTTTATGGTTCAGCGAGAAGCTAAGAAAAGCTTTGTTTGTGTTAAACTAATTCAGTTGTTTATTGATGACAACTAAATATTTCACTGAGAAACATGTGGAAATACAAAGCCATTACCTACACCGTAGTCACACTTTTTAATTATAACAGCAGTTCATAACTTTGAAAAAAAATAAAAAATTAAAATATGGATTTCATACAAAATAATCTAGTGATATGGCGACAAAATAATATTATAACAATTTTTTTATATCACCTAATTTTATGTACCCGGTATATATTATTTAGAACAACAATTCTCATTACGGAGTCAAAAAGTAAAATATGTATAAGCCTACAGATATCCATTCCCGAAAGAAGCAGCTAAAGAAAAATGACACTACCGGTACCTGAAAAGAAATAAATGGTACAGGTTAACAATGTCCTGACTAACATTGACTTACACAGCTGATAATACACATGTTAAATAGCTGATAACTCTTTAATTACAGTTTGTTACAAAATATACGTAACAACCAAGAATAGAGTAGCAAAAGGTTATACAAATGGCCATTAAAATTATATTATAGGAGAAATCACAGTGTTGAACTGGTAGCACGTATGCCGTCTTACACACAGACTCAGTGTTTATTAATAATAAACATGTTAAATAGCTGATAACTCTTTAATTACAGTTTGTGACAAAATATACGTAACAACCAAGAATAGAGTAGCAAAAGGTTATACAAATGGCCATTAAAATTATATTATAGAAGAAATCACAGTGTTGAACTGGTAGCACGTATGCCGTCTTACACACAGACTCAGTGTTTATTAATAATAAACATGTTAAATAGCTGATAACTCTTTAATTACAGTTTGTGACAAAATATACGTAACAACCAAGAATAGAGTAGCACAGGTTATACAAATGGCCATTAAAATTATATTATAGAAGAAATCACAGTGTTGAACTGGTACCACGTACACCGTCCTACACACAGAATCAGTGTGAGTTGTGATAAGATCTAGATATTATTATGGTATGCCGTCCATGTATGGTGCCTATGTAAGATGCACCCATAGAAGGACAGTTAATACACTGGTATAAAGTATGACCACCGTCAGTTTGATACGTGTATGTATTAATCGTTGTGTCTTTTTAAGACAAAAGAAAATTGCAGAATGTCTAATTAATCCTAACACATGCACCATTTGCTTTGTGAGCATTAAGCACACGGCAGGAGAGTTAGCCTATTACACATATTTGCCTAATATAAGCAAGGATTAGAAATATTCCATTCCTAACACCTAACACTTGCATACTATAAACAAAGAAATTTAATGAAGTATTTGTTTCTACTTACATAGGGAGGCCACATACGTGGACACCAAAAGGAGGATATAATAAAACAAAAAAGAGGACAAAAGAGGACATTTTGAATGTTTCATTTGAGTCGTCCCGGATTAACTGCCAATAGCTGCCAATTAAGTGTATCTTACTCTTAGTGAATCGACCAAGAAACAGTCACGTTAAAAAAAAACAAATTCAGTGGACGCCTTTTTCAAAATGTCCAAAAACATCATTTAAATAGCCAATTGTACAATGATACCTTATAATCTTTATTAATTACACGACATATTTCTCGGAGGAGCTAACTTTTCGCAGATCCTCGTTAGCAATCACATATGCATACAACTGTTCACAGGCAAGATTCTTCCAATTGTACTTTGTAAGAATGATGCCCTTTACAGAGTCGAGTAAGAGTCCATTCCTTTTCTTTTTCCATTGAGCATTAATCAAGGAGAACACTCTTTCCACATTGCCATTGTGTCCTGGGATACAGAAGAAAAATTCACAAATTTCAAGTAACTCTGAAAAGCAACATGCATTTGGGCAACTTTGGAAAAATAAACTCCACTGTTCATGCAAGAGTCTTTCAAAAAACTGTTCATTTTTGTCTTGTACAAATGATTGAAGATTGCAGTATTGGTCAAACAATTGCACATCATCTACAATAATACCCATCTCAAAAGGTCATCAAATTTACAGTCTTTGATTTTATCTAAGTACATCCAATTAAAGCATTGAAATTCATCAAAAGGTTTCAACCACTTTTCTAAGTAACTAATGCATGCTTCATACACCAACTTAACATCTGCCATAAAATTATTATACTCTTCTTGTCGACCACTTTCCTCTAGTCTTCTCAACATCTCCCTGACCATAGATAATACAACACAGAGCTAGATTGATAGAATGACTAAAATCAACTGGTTCGCAGAAATGCATAGACTTTGTACATTGTAACAACGTAAACATGCGATGTAATAGTTGCAACAACGATACATAAAAATTATAATATAAAATGTAAGAAAAGCCGGACATTTTAAAAGATTTTAGCTTTGCCTCCTTTCGCCGAACGCCTGGCAACCCTATACTTACAGAGCGTCCAAATGGGCCACTGGAAACAAGGCGCACTTTAGTGATGCGTTAAAACTTTGAATCAAGAACTCATTAGTGCGCGCGGTAAGTAAAAGTGTGTGGACAAACCAAGAGAGCCTCTACGTCACGCAACAACTAAGACACTCTTGACACCACGTGTTCGCCTTGAGACTTGCGGAAAGCGCACTTTCGCATTTGCTGGTCCAACAATTTGGAACGCCCTTCCAGTCGATCTCAGAAACAATCAGACACTGGAGTCCTTTAAAACCGATTTAAAGACACATTTATTTCGCAAACACCTTCTNGAAGACAATGCGTCACTGACCCGGGGGACAATAGTCCGGGCTCCGACTCATAAGTTATCTCTTTAAATTTTTTACTTTTTATTTTATTTTTATTTTTTTTTTTTTGGAATCCTGTGTTAATAGTTCCAACTTCAAAGAAATATAATGTATAATAATTTATTTTAAACGGCAAAATATAGTGGAGTCAGCGTCTAAGGGCCGCGTTTTAAGATTGAAGTATTTTGACGACGTCGAAAAGACAAGAAAACTCTTCCTTTTTTTTTTTTTTTTTTTTTTTTAAAAATTTTAAAAAAAGGGGGTTTGGCCCCCCCCCCCCCCCCCATGGGTGAATGTGAAAACTTCCTTTATTGTTTAATATTATAATGCCCCCTAAAGATGTAGACTTGTAAATATACTGAGTTATAGCAAATAAAATCTCCTTTCCAACTAGATATAGTTTATAACTTAATCCATTAGGGCTACTGAGAAATAAATAGATCTAATTGAACTTGAACCAAAAGCACACATAGTGGGTTCCAGTATTTAAGTATTCTACGCGATGTGCCTCAATAACACTCATGCTGCATGTTATGATACCCTAACCCCGAAATCAAATTCCCGCGTTGGGCGCTAAACATGGTTTCGTTAGCGTGGCCTACAGTGCCACAAAAGTATGGGAAAGTCTGAAAAAGGACGTAACAAAACAACGAACGTGTCGCCAAGAAGCTGCAGAGAACAAACAATAAGTGACACTAATATAAAAATTCAAATTAACACTAAGCTGAAATGTAGTTTACGAAAGGACAACAAGAGGATTTTAATAAACCATTAGCAGGTAAGAGAGTTATTATCGGCACAATGGGAAGGAAGGAGGAAGCCCGCGGTTATTGGTTGTAAAAAGGAGGGGCGGAGAAAAGATTAAATACATGAAGGAGAATAGGACATTCATAGCATGTAGTGTCACGGTCTCAGAAGTCTGTAGGCCCTATACTATTTTTTTTATCTTTAAGTTCAACCCATCGTATCTATTTTTGAACGCAATATGCTGTAACACAAAATATTGCGTTCATAAAGAAATTTGACTTCAATTTGACGGCAATTAGACTAAATTTTGACGAAAATTTGATCGTGTGCATTATTTCCATTTTGTCTTCATCTGCTTAGATTTTTTTAGAAAAGGGTTGTTTCAACTTTATATCATTACTTATATTATAGACACACAGGAGGAATCACTAAATGTAGTAATTTCAAATTCTTGGTGCTAGTAGTAGACACACAGGTCGTAAATTCGTTAAAAATTTTATTAAATTAGATTCTTCGTTGATCTTGTGCTATTACTTTTTTTTTTTGGGGGGGGGGGGGGGGAGGGGGCACATACTTTTTAATGTGTAGCATAATAAGTCATAATCTACAGACCAGATCATGATGTGATATTTATTATTAAATTATTCGAAAATAGCCTTTAAGATTATTATTTTTATTTTGTTGCTATTTTTATTTTGTATGTGGTCATATTGAAACTAAGTGAGAAGGTTAATTTTTTTATTAATTATTAACCAAATGTTGTTTGAAACCGAGGCTATTTTGTGATTATTGAGATTATTTGTGAATAATTATTTAAGAAGTAACGTGACAATAGACATTTAATGTTTAAAAAAAAAACATTACACGGTTGTTTTATAATAGTACTTTCAATTAAACTGTGTAAATGTGACTGTGTATAAAGCTCAACAGTTTAAAAGTCTATTATTAGCGTAACTCTTCATTGCGGTACTGACTCAATTCAACATCAATATTTTTATCATCAATCATCAATAATTTATTAAACTATTTCTTGGTACTTTTAGGCGATAGTACCCCTTTAGGCTTTATAACATAAGGCATGATAAGGTAATCAAAATTATTTCGTTTTAATGAGCTCTACCGACACTTAAAACTTAAAACTTACACTTACTAAGACTAAGACTAAGTAAAAGTACTTGCACTTACACTAGTTAGTTACAGTTACAGTACAGTTCAGTACTTAACTGATCTGAGAGTAACTGTAGTGACCTATTACTAATAATAATAATACTATACTAATTAATTAATAGTTTAATGATAGTAACTAGTACTAAGTGGGGTGTGACTATTCGTACCCGGATATCAGAAGTGAGAGGTTGGGATTATAAAACTATTTAAAATATTAATGAACTTTATTGTTGGGTTTGTAAGACAAAAATGAGGTATCAAAATCAAATGAAAGATCTGCTTCACTGCTGATAATTGAATGGACTATGACTAGCCCTATAGCATATAGGCCTATATATTATATATAATAATAATAATAAAGTTCATTTCAAAAACACTCTTCATCCCCAAAGGCTCGAAGCGTGGTACAAAGTCAACAAAAAACAAATCTATTATTTACCACATTTAAAACAAACGCAACACTACAAAAACTAATTACAAGCATATATGTTAGTAAACTTACTTTTTCAAACCAAAACTAATCTCCAATGTCCAATGTCCAATGCATCTCTGTAATTTATCATTAATTGTGATATATGGCTGCCCTAGGTTTAGACTCATACTAACTCTAACATTTAAGCAGAGACATTATTGAAGTAGACTAAGAGTAAATATTTATCTTGTCTTAAAATAAACTATTGTTTTTTTCCTTATAAATATGCTGAATATAAGTATATAAATATGGCTTGATAGCTGTAATATTTTGAACATGTAATATTTTTATTAATTCATGAAACAAAATAAAATCATAGTGTGAGTTCTTGATGAAAAATAAAACTGTTATTTTCATGCATACAGCTTTTTCTAATGAACAACATTGTGACAGAATGGAGAGACAGAAGTCAATTTTAGGGCGAAAAAAGCGAGGTAAGATATAACATGTTATAATATTTTACAGCTTTATTTATTGGCCTTGCCTTATGAATCATAACTGAACTAATTTTTAATGTCAGCAAAAATGTATTTACACTGTGGAAACTGATAAAGCATAGGTCATGATAGGTATTTAAAAAATAGTTTTTTTTAGTGATCTTATGATAGTATTTAAAAAATTTATAACAAGTAGCCTTTCAGAATTTTATTTGATGCCTCTACAAATTCTAAGCATAAAATTAAAATGATTAAGACATTTATCTTGTGAATAATTATTGTTGCTATTTGTGTTAATATCTCTCCTCCATGGACCCAATGATTCAATTAAGCTGATTTTTTAAAAATTTAGGGCCCACTGCTGCTCCTGGAGATTTTATAGCTTTAGGTAAACAGGCTAAGCCAACAGAAAGTGATGTTAAACGTCCTTCAAGTCCTCCACATCTTGGTCGTAAAAAAGAGTCTCCTAGTGGGCCTGTTTCATCATCCAGCCTAGCAAAAAAACCAAAGCTAAGTGGACCTGTCTTTGGATCACTTAGTCGATCTCATGCAGATACTTCAGCCTCCATTTTAACTCCTGGAAGTCTGCCCCAATATGATGAGATTGCCATTACTGGTATTTAAATGTGTTTGGTTTTTTTGTATTTCTATCAAAGAATGTGATGCTCATGAGTAAAGATCAACAACTATATCAAATAATATGTTAAATTCCTTAGGGAGGATGCCTTTGAAGGTATTTAAACATGTTTTTAAATAGGGAACATTGACATGAATGACTTTAGTTAAACGAAGGCACAGGGAACATGGACATGACTAGTTTAGTTAAATGAAGACAATAGAGAACATATTCATGTCAATGTTATCAGGTCAAACTTGAGTTAAATGAAGACAAGAGGTAAAATTATAATTGTAACATAAAATTTTAAATGGAGTGAACTTAGGCATTTCAGATAGTTCATTATTAATTAATTTTGCTTATAACTTCACAGTTGAGCCAGCCGAACTCCTGCCAGCAGTTCTTGCTGCTGAGGATGATATGAATGAGGAAAGAGCTGAAGGTTTAATCTGTGGGGCAGTGAAACATCTGCGTAGGGATAGATCCAAACCAGACCAGATTATTTTTTTGTCACTTATGTACCTGTCAAAAAGCAGGCCATCTTTATTTTGCACAGAGCTGGTTATAGAGGTATATCATACATTTTATTTAATTCATTCTATTAGAATTAGATTCTGTTATCTTTCCAAAGAATCACTAAACAAAAATTGCTTTGAAAAGTTTAATCAAACAATGACATTAGACATCATTAACACATTCAGCTTGAATTATTTAATTAAATTTATTGGTATTGCATTTTATACTAGCTGTAAGAAAGTTATGTTCAGCAAAACTGAAAGTTTAAAAAAGATTAGCATTGTTCTTGTATTAGTATTAGTAAAGAGTATTCTGTACAGATATATAAATAACTGTTTTAGAAAACTTTAGATGAGTCCTGAGATTGGATTTTGTTAAGTGGTACTTATTATTAAGTATAATGTTTTTGTATACATTTTAAAAAGTCAGATAACATGTATTATATACAGTACACGATTTCTGCTTGTTTTGTAGTTTGCATAGAAATTGTATATGTTCACATTTTTTAACTATCTTATTTCTCTTTGGGTCTAATGAAAAATATTTTCTTGATGACTTTTCATTTGCCAAGGCTTTTAGTGGACTTTTGAAGAGAGAGTTAGCCCTGACTTTTAAAGCAAAAGGGAATCCTCTAGTATCTGTTCTGGCTTGTAATGTACTGATGAACGCCTTTGCTGATGAAGAGAACTGGCCTGATAATTTTGTTAAGGTATGTTATATATTAGGTTTTAAATATTCATTTTTGCATATGACAATATATTAATTTTTTTAAGTGCATATCCATAGCTAATAAAATCAACATTAATATAAAGAATTAAACATTTTTTTAATTTTTTTTTTTTTATTTTTTTAAATTTCAGGTTTTTGTTGAGGATTCTTTGGGTGAAAGAGTCTGGGTGGATCGTGATGACTGTCGAACATTTGTGGACAATATTCACACAGCATTTGGTACCAAGAAGTCCCCGAAACATTTGCTGATGACCACAGCCGAAGCTTTGAGAGGAGATACTCCTGGATCAGGTTGGTAGATGTTGATGACTGAAAGGATGTTTCATTTAATCCCAAAATAAAAGTTATTCATTTGCAAAGATATTTTACAAACAGTTGTAATCCTCAGTTGGGAGAACAGCTACAGAGATTATAAATTTCATATTGATAATTAAGATGATTATTTGTGGGCCTGAGGTAGCATTATTTAGTTAACCCAAGCGGTGCAGAAAGTATAGGATCCTAATATTACACATGATCTCAAAGCAAAGAATGGGCATTGTTTTAGGTTGATTTGTTTGCTATTCTTTAGTCCACCTATTGAACAAACCATTTAATTTTTAAAAGATGGAACTAATTACAAAACATTTTGTGACACCATTCAAGTAGTGTAAAAATGTATTATTTGTTTGGGTGTTAAGCAAAGGTCAAGCCAAGTGCTATTATGACTATGTTTCTATTAGATTATATGAATTATGTTAGAGATCCCATGGCTTGTAGGTAAAACGCCTAAAAACATTAAATTCCCTTCATATCTAAGATCAAAATTGGTCGAGACATATGGGGATCCACTGTTCTTGTCTGTACATCAATAAATAAATGTTAATTTGTCAACTTAATTTTTAATGTATCTTATAAATAAATTTCCCTATAGTCAGCCCCGCCCAGAACTTATTTGATGATGAAGACTCGTCGTCAAAAATAAGTGATGGTGGAGATGGAGACAATTCAAGTACCAGTATTACAGCTGCATGTACACCACGGTAATTGATTTAGTTGGATTATTTTTAAACTGTTTAGAAGAAACTTTTTAAAAACAATTTAATAGCTTTGTTACATTACAGGCTTGTCTTGTAATACATATAAATTCTAATTTAAGTTCAAGGGGAATCTCATGAATTGTTGGAATTTAGTGGGAATAAATTTCTAAACTTAAGTTATTGTGTTAATTTAACAATTTGTAACCTTTCATCTAGATACTCGTATCAACAATCAACAATTGAAACTTATATTCTGGACACAATTCGAGAAATTTTAAATCGCCGCCAGCCTATGGATTCTTCATCTCGTAATTTGATCAGACTTATGGCTTCAACAAGTGGATATGGTGAAGTTAGAAATATGGCAGCTCAACGTATTGATATGTGGCTTCAAAACCCTAAGGTGCCTGATTATTTTTGTTTTAGATGGATACCTAAAGAAATTAGGAACAACATTCTAACAAATATAATGTGAAATAACTTATTTATAGCATAATTAAGATATTGTATAATTGTTCTAATCCTCACCGTCTGTGCTCTTATTAATGAATATTTTGTCCAGCTGACCCGAGTTTCCCAAGATTTGCTTTTGGCTGTGTGCACAAATTGTGACAAGCATGACCCTAATGATTTGGAGGTGATTGGACATTTAACAAAGATGAGGATGAAAACCAAACCGCTCATCAACCATTTCCTAAACTGCATGAGGTAACAGCCTTTCACTTCTTATGGTTAAAAACGATTTTAACTAGCTCTTTAAAAGGGAACATTGATTTTAAGTGTTTTTAAAAATATTTGTATCATTTAATTTGAAATTAGATTCATACAAATATTTAAATATTTACTGGAAATGCCCAGACAAATCTTTATGTATCAGTTGTAAAACTCTATAGAATTTAAGTTTATATAGAAATGTAATATTAATGTATTGCGTGACACAACAGTTCCTGCTTCTGTCAAGCTTATATCTCACCTTTTTTCCCAGAGAGCTTCTATCGCAACATCCAGAGAATCTCAGAATGATTCTCAACCACACCATCTACAATGAGCTGTCCACATCAAGGAATCCTAACAACATGCCCTTACTGACAGTCATTTTTTCACACTCATCAGAACAAGCTGCAAAGGTGAACGGTCCTGTTATTTCATGTACTTGCCTGTTAACATTAGGTCTGCATGTTACTTGACTGTTAAAATTGAAGTCTGCATGTTACTTGACTGTTAACATTGAAGTCTGCATGTTACTTGACTGTTAACATTGAAGTCTGCATGTTACTTGACTGTTAACATTAAGTCTGCATGTTACTTGACTGTTAACATTAAGTCTGCATGTTACTTGACTGTTAACATTAAGTCTGCATGTTACTTGACTGTTAACATTAAGTCTGCATGTTACTTGACTGTTAACATTAAGTCTGCATGTTACTTGACTGTTAACATTAAGTCTGCATGTTTCATTTATGCTCAGGCTCAAACAAACTTTGTTTCAGATTCTTGCTGAAATTTTTCAAGATCTTATTACCAATAAAGATGACTATCTGAAGGCACTGCGCATTTTATTGAGAGAGATTGTTCGCTGCACTAGACTTGATATGAATTTTTCAACCTTTTGCCTTGGATTGATGCAAGAACGCATGGAGCAGAAGTTTGTGGAGATGGATACAGTTCTTAAGGTGAGTGATGGCATGATCTCTTATATATATTTTCCTTCTTGTGTGTCCTGCTTCCTCTTCAAGCACACCCCCCCCCCACCCCCAACTCAGCATGTTTTATATTAATGACACTGAGTGGAAAAAAATGTCTATCAGGCATCGAGGAGCTTCATGCGTGACCTCTGAACTCTAGTAAATAGGTTGTTTTTTTTTCTCTAGTGGGAGGCGCCTATTATTTGGTGTTGTTATTGTTTGTTTTTTTCTGTCGCACAGCGAGCACCATGGGTAACGTCTGAACTCAAGTAATTGCTATGTTCATTATACTGTGACTGTTGTTTCGTAAGTCTTTGTTATAAAATGAACAGTAACTTCTCTGTCAATGGGTTTTTGTACAATGTCATCTCTATCTCTGGGATCCGGCAAATCCCTGTTCCTGTCAGTGGGTTATTTCTTGACACAAACGGTTGATGTAGGCATTGCACTCTCACTGTGACATAGGGCCGTAGATTTTGTTGCATATTATACAAAATCGGAAGTTAACTCTTTATTTGTAACACTTGTACCCACCAGGTACTTTCCCAAAATACCAGGACCCGTTAAGCCCTAGTTTAAATTTAATCAGCTTAAGTCTTTTGTTGTTGATTTAAGTTTAAGAGGGCAATACCTTTCAATAATGTTTCCTTTACAATGTCTATTTCCACAGGAAAGATATGTGCTTTCTATAGCAGATCTTATCTCTATGGATATTCTTCTAAGTGTGGCTCCCAATATCCGTGAAGCTGCAGCAAGCCTGATGCAAGGAGACCATAAAAGTAAATCACTTATATATAAATATCTTCAATGAAATGTGTTATATTTACTTTGGGGATACTTCTTAGCTTAAAGTTGACTATGTCTATATGTACGTGCACTTCAGTTGAGTATGTAATAAACTCATCGGTCTGATTGACCGTTTTAATTTTTAGTATTAAAATAATGATTATTTTAAAAACTATTTACAATAAATCAGTCAAAATTTAACTTTTTTATTCTCTCTCACATGAACAGATCTGGAACTGATACACGTGTTTAAGAGGCAGGTCGCTGTAATACAGAGGGACTCTGTTTGGTGGCTTCACACAATTGTGCCCAAAATTGTGGAGTTAAAGAATGACACATATTTACATTGGTAAGATGTCTTTAGACTCAGACAAAATTTGATATTGCACTATTATGTTTTTTACTCTGACATTAACATAATTCAAATCCCATGAAAACACATAGCCAAAATATTCTTTGCTTCTTGACAGTTTGAATAGATAATAATTCAAAGACTGCGTTCAAGCTATGTTTTATTATTTCATTGACAGTTTGAAGAAGGTTCTATTTTTAGAAGCAGCTGAACACTACTACAACAAAGATAACTGGCCACCAGACAGTGAGAGAGGGTGAGCTCATTGTGTGTTTATGTTTAGCTCTCAATTACAAGAAATCCATTGAAGGCATGAGAGTTTGTTCTTGCAGCTAATAAGGCTATGCATATTGATATAAGGTCTTTATGAAAATATGTTATCTGACTCATTTAGTTTTACCATACTAATATTTGAGACTAAGGATTTAGATTGTAAAATAAATACTGCAGTATAAAGGAGCTTCAATGTTGTGCCAGATTTTTATTTCCGTTAAAACCCTGAGAGTTACGTTATGGAAAACAATATTTGGTTTTAAGTAAGTAATATTTGTAACTGCAATCTAAATTTTGATCCTCTAGTTTAATGCTTCGATTGGCTTCCGAGTCCCCTGTCATGGAAGATACTCTAATGAGGCTACTTGTCATTGGCTTGTTGCGAGACCTTCCTCTCTCAGCACCTGATGCTGTAGAACTTGTGGACCAGTTAATTTGTCGTGCTGCAGCACTTTACTATGATTGTGAGTCTTAGATCATCGTCATACCATTATATGTTTTGGACAAACAACACACACAGTTGGGAATGTTGTTGTTTACTCTTTGTTTTTTTATTGGGAGGGACGTTCAAAAATGTATTTTAGATATAACATTATTTATTTAAAAGTGTCATAAGCCAAATATAACATTATTTATTTAAAAGTGTCATAAGCCAAAACAATTAACCTTAATGAAATATTTGTACTTCCGTGTCGTAGTTGCGTTAATTAGTATTTTTCAGATCTGGTTTAATAACTAGGTCCATAAAGATCTGAGAGCAAAAACTTTAAACTGGTGGTTATTGTTTGGAAGACTATTTGAATCTTAAGTAAAATCTCAATGAATCCATGACCTGTGTATGTCTTAAGTAATATCTCAATTAATTCATAAACTTTGTCTGAATTTTTAAAAATTTCTTCTATTTGTTATGATTGTTTGTCTAGTGGGACTGGTTGAGGTCCTACAGATGGAACGACTAGAGTTCATAGATGCTCTGCTCAACCTTTGTGTTTACAAACATCCTGAGAACATTGTGTTACCCCCCAGGTGAGGCTGGCCCTTGTTTCTATAAAGATTCAGTCAATGTTTGTAGTCGTTCACTAACAATGTTTCAATGTATAAGACACTATTCCACAAATAATAGATCATCAAAAACATTCTGGTCTATCAATAAATGATATGCTGAAATTGTACACCCGTCAAATTCAGTCACAAATAACTGAAACATTTTCTATGACAATCATTGTAGCCTATCAGTAAAAAAATTAATCTATCAATCTACCAAATTTAAGTTAAAATGTTTACTACCAGGAAATTTTAAACTATATTTTAAGTGCTTTTATTCTTAAGAAATTGTTTTTTTTTCTTAGATTTGTATTTCTTTTTATTACTAATTTTTATTTCAAAAGAGAGAAAATTATTACTCTTGTCAATTACTTTTTTTTTAAAATTGGTTACTGGGTTTTATTTGAAGCTATTGTATTAGTATTTTTAAATTGATTGAATACCAGTAGTCTAGAAAACCAAGTTTATGTTTATAAAATCTTGGTTGTCTTTTTATCCCAGTTACACTCCTCCCAATCTGGCAATCGCTGGGTTAATGTGGAAAGCATGGCTGACACTTCTTATCATTACAGCTTACAACCCAGTTGTCTTTGGTAAGTTTGTATACTCTTGATGATCTATGGATTAGAAGAAACCATCTTTAGTTGAAACCATCTTTTGTGTCATTCCTAATTGTAATCACCATCAAATTATTTTTAAAAGAAAAAAGAAAAATGAAAAAACAGGAATAACATAGAAAATTGGTTAAAGAAGCAGAAGAATTTGATGCTTTGTTATTGGCAGTTCTATTAATTTAATTAGATATGTTCAATCTTTATCTGGCTCTAATATGTACAGGTGAAACGGCATGGCTGAAGTATCCACAACTACAGTCATTGATGGAGATGGTCATGACTAAGTAAGTCGCACTGTTCAACAGTTTTCTTTCACCTCCACAAAATTTAGAGTTTGTATTTTCTTTAAAGTCATTTATTAAAAAGCTTAGCAGCTAATCATGTAATATCATACTGATCAGCAGTACCATCTCCAAAACATATTCTGTAATGACACATCTGGCTTTTCTATTGAAGTTTTTATTATTTGAATGATTTCAGTAATTTTACATTCCCTCCACCCACGGCTGTCACTGATGAGAAAATGGTCGAGGAATTCAAGACCAGGGAAAGACAAGTAAGATATTTCTGTTTTCTTTTTTTTTGTTTTTTTTTTTTGTTGTCTTACAGACATGAATTATACATGAACCAGTAGATATTTTATAACAACATAATATAACATTAAACAGTTTTCACTTTCTAAGCATGTGTATCAATAGAGCAGAATCTAAGGAAAATATTTGTACAAAAATGCCTATTTACTTGGGTTTTTATTTTTACTCAAATGCTTGTTGCATATCTGATTAATGCTAACATTTTTAAAAAAATAATCTTTTGCTTTTGATACTTATTAACGACTACTAACTTACTGATTCAATTCATGTGTAAAGTTACAATAGGAATTTTTTTGGGGGGGGGTTGGAGTTGCAGCAATATTTTATAAAATATGTTTCAATATCAACCAAGATGAAATATTTTGGATATCCTCTGTCTTGACAGGATGGGGCTTAGTTTGCACTTGGTTTCTTTTGATTTATTAGTGAAGAAATGTTACCTCAGTTGAGTAAGTAATTATTAAACAGCAGCGATCAACACTTAGTCCAATTATTACATAGTAAAGTTGTGTAAAGGGTGTGATCAAAGGTCAAAGTGGCAGTGACATCGTTTACTCATAGCTTCAGAAACATTGAGATGATGACTTTGTTACGAGACTTGCCAAATTTAAACATGCAGATGTGCTGTGCTATTTGACATCAAAGCTTTGACAGCTTGTTATTTAGCCAACCATTTGACGACTTGATATTTAGCCAATCATTTGACAGCTTGTTATTTAGCCAATCATTGTCCTTTTTTTTTCAATAAATTTAAATAGTCTGCTCGAGTTGTACATCCCATTGGAGGGATTTAGCCATGGCACACCTAGCATCATCTCAAGCACACCGGATGCTGGGCTCTACTGTTGAAGACAATATTTAAAAATATTACTGTTTTGCCGCTTGTTTGGAACTGAAGTTATTGTTTTCAACTGAAATTAGGATATTTAAAAAAAACACATACAAAAATTAATGTATTCTTTATTTCTTGAGTGATTTTCAATTACAATTTTATTTGATGGCCTTGATCTCTTTTTCACCTCCAAAACTCATCCATTCCATGGAATAGGGAATACACTTAAGAACAAAAGTCTAAACCAAAACTTACTTTTAGAAGAGAAAATAAATGTAATAACTAGCTTGCCTGTTATGTTTGCTACAGATTCGCCAGCAAGAGATCCAGTTGATCTTGGAGTTTGAGACTCACTTAGCTGCAGCTACAAGCAAAGTGACCATCACTGAGAGCAACAGTCTATTGATTGGGCAGCTCATTCACAATGATCCTAAGTAGAAAAACAAACCCTAGGCTGAGCTTTATTATTACCTTTTTGTTTGAAATATAAATAGTAGATGGCACTTCCTGGATCAACTTACTATTTTATATAAATTTCTTTTGATGCAAGTTCGAAAAGATTTAGTAAACCACTAACATTAAGGTTTTTTTTAAAATCACATGGTTTGAGAGCTTATAATAGCATTGCATGATTTTTGTCTTTTTTAATGTTATTGATATTGTTGTTTTCTCCAGTGGACCAGCCAGATTTCCCCCACCAGAAATAATGGAACAGCTCAAATCTTTAAACAGCAACCTTAAACTTGGACAGATGTTGTGTCGTAGTAGAAATCCTGACTTCCTGCTACGCATTATCAATAGGCAGGTCAGTAAAAACCTCTTCATCGTATCTTATCTTTCCATGTTTTTAAACTGGCCAGTAATTCAGAAATGACAGTTAAGATACACAGTTTGTATTGGTATCAATTACAGGGCACGTCTCAGTCTATGCCCTGGCTTGCCGAGCTTGTGGAGTCAAGTGAAAGTTCTTTGGATGTTCTCCCCGTGCAGTGCTTGTGTGAGTTCCTGCTTCATGAGCCCACTGAATTGGCCAACGATCTGGATGTGGAAGAGGTTTATGGTGCTGATAGAACACGGCACAAGAAGGTGAACTATTCTTATACATTTTAATCCAAATGTCTGTCATTTTGATATCTCAGTTTTATATCTCAACCAATTGATCTAATAATAATAAAGCTGTTTGATAAATGCCACATGATTCTACAATGTGTGTGTGTATTAATATTATCACACAGTTTCACCGACATTTATATGGGTGGTATAGCCAGATTGTTGGTGACACATACACTGGTAGGGGTGGCATAGCAAGATTGTGGGTGACACATACACTGGTAGGGGTGGCATAGCCAGATTGTGAGTGACACGTACACTGGTGTGGGTGGCATAGCCAGATTGTGGGTGACATGTACACTGGTAGGGGGGTATAGCCAGATTGTGGGTGACACGTACACTGGTGTGGGTGGCATAGCCAGATTGTGGGTGACATGTACACTGGTAGGGGTGGTATAGCCAGATTGTGGGTGACACATACATTGTGGGGGTCTCATTGCCAGATTGTGGGTGACATACATAGGTAGGGGTGGGATATGCAGATTGTGGTTGACACATACATTTTTGGGGATGGTATTGCCAGATTGTGGGTGAATTTATTCCATCTACTTTTATTTATTTCTAGAAAAACAAAAAACATCAACAGTTACTGTATAGACTTCAGGAACTAGTCCACAGCACATCCTCTGAGTCCAAGACTATGAAAGAAGTCCTCGATTATTTCCTACAGAGATTAGCTTCCATTCAAGCATCCACAAGGCAACAGGCTGTCAAAGTAATTTATTTGTACATTGTTTTTTATTAGATGTGGAAAACTTTGATAGTTTTAAAGCATTATCTGCCTAGACAAAACATATTCATCTTTATTGTATTTTTTTACAAGGAAAAGTTCACAGTAGACCATTTTAAAAACAATGACTGATGATCCCACATGATCGATGGAGTTTCTAGTAGATAAAAAAAATCATACTTGACATTCGGGGAAGTTATAATTATTATGTGTGTACTGAATTCTACATGTCCTTTTGTATGCTTTATTTGTTGGTTTTTTTTTTTACTGTTTCCCAGGGTCTATCAGCTGTTGTTGCACCCAGATCTGTTACCCCAAATGGAGAGGAATCGATGGATGTTGACCTGAAGAATAGTGACTCCAGTGATTGGCTGTTGAAGCACATGCCATCACTCCCTCTGTTTGATGAAGTCAAGGAATCATTTTGCTTGGCACTGAGAAAGGCTTGTCAAGTAGAAACTGATCCCATAAGAATCAATAGTTACATTCTCTTTTTGTCCCAGCATGCACTTGATGAGCCCCAACAGACCTGGAATGAACTGGTTTTGGTATGTGCATTTTTTAGTGTATTTTTTAAAAACCGTTTCCACTAATTGAGAAAAATCATAATTGAAATAAAATTCAAATTTTGAAGTAGAAACGAGTCAATAATTATACTTCTGTCTCTATCCCAGGACATGGCACAGCTTTTAGTGGAAAGGACGTCTGTTGTCAACTATATTTTACCTGACTTGGCTGTCAAACCTTCCCAGAAAACGGAGAAACAGTGTGAGACACTTAATGCTTTTATCAAGTTGTTTCTTGTCTACATGCGCAATGCACGAAAAGAGGACAAAGACACCTTTAGTTGGGTGAGTTTATTTCAATTCATGTAAAACTGTCATTGACAATCATTGACTTGAAACAAAAGTAATCTTATATTCTGACTTGTATATAACATATTTTTGAACAATTTATTTTATTAGTTTGTTACGCCAGTGGTTCCCAAAGTGTGCACTGTGGCTTCCTCACAGGGGTACCATGAAATGCTAAATAAAATAAAAATTATTGTTTCCATTTTCAGTTCAATATATTAGGATGTGATACCAAGGGGACCTGGTGCAAAGCAGTAACTAACATAGTATAACTGTTTGCCAAAGCCTCTTCAAAAATCATTTTTTTTAAAGTATTTGCTATTTCAGAGTGTAGTTTTTTGAATTTGACAAAGGCTGCCTTGAGGAAACCTGAATTCAGCAAAGGTGCAGAGAAGAAAGAGTTTGAGAACCACTAAATTAGGCTGTTTACTATGCATTTAGTTGTCACCTCAAACCCCCACATTTCAATGTTATTATTTCAGTCCAATACACAAGACCAAATCCTACTGCAGTGGGAATCTGGCCAATCTTCTACTGTGCATGTTCTAGTTGTCCATGCTATGATTGTGTTGCTGACCTATGGCAGGCCAAAAGGTAGGATCATAACAAGGATGTCAAAACATTTATTTTTGTGTTGGTGTTTGTTATAGATTGTCAAAGTGATGACAAGTTACAGCTTTGTTTTTGTCTAAGTGCTTTAATTAACAGCCATTGTGCTTAACGTGTCAAATAGTTTATCATTGCTAAGAATTTGAGCAAAGCTTGGCCATTCTCAAGAGCACTTAATGATATTATATATCCTAGACGTAAGGCGGCAGATTTGGATACGTGAAAAAAATATATAATAAAAAAATCCAATGGTCATTGCTTTCTGAACATGATGAAATAAAGCACTTGTTAATGTTTAAACTTCATGTAGCTCAAATAAACAGCTTAAATTTCAGATCTGAAGTTCATGCCAATGAATTTAAATACTAACATCTCCTTTCAGAGGACCCAAAAGATGCCGAAAATTTGCTGTATTCTGAATTATTTAACATGTGGATTCAAGACAATAATCGAATGCCCTCTGGTTATTTATTGGACACCTCTGAAGAAGCCCTTCTGCTCCCTGATTGGTTGAAACTGCGCATGTTGAGATCAGTCGATGAGAGATTAGTTAGTGCAGGTATGGAGGTCCAATGAGATTTAACCTTAATGAACTGATCTAAAGCTTTAAACTACTTAAGGCTGTTAATAAAATATTTTAGAACTTATTTTATTTCAAATTTTCAATTTTTTCACTTCACAAAAGATGTAAAATCAATCATTTACAAAATTTTATTGCTATAATTTTTCTTTTCTTAGTGCTGTTACCAACAACATTTAACAAAATGTCAGTGTTTTTCAACCCATTTCTAAGCACAATAATTGATATTTATATCAACCCTCTATCATTTTCTTCTTTAGCACATAAATAGCCTACCATATTCACCTTGCCCTTAATTTTCAACTGTTAATTAAAGCATGCACCCTTTCAAAGTAAAATGATTTAAACTTTTAAGAAGTAAAACATTTTTTTCAAAGATTATTGGGGTGTCAGTGATCCAAGCATGTCTTTTTTTAATCACATTTTTGGCTGTACTCCTAATACTAAGTAATTCAAATTTTTTCTTAGCATTGATGGAGGTAGAACCATCCCAGCTTGTACTGTTTGTCCAGTCATTTGGTATCCCAGTCTACAGTATGTCACGTCTGCTAGCAGCTCTGGATCAGGCAGTGGCCAGTGATCCAAACATGATGGCTCAAACAGTTGTTGATTCAGCTTACATGGCAAACTTGGTTGACATTCAGCATGAAAGAGGAGCTACTGGAGGCCAAGCATTTTACAGCATGTTGACTCAAGGGAGGGAAAGTGGTAGCACTGACGGTATGCCTTCATATGCCATAACAGCTTTTATATAAGGAATTATTTTTTATTTGTTTTATTAAGAGTAGTGCATCTGACCCCACCTTAAGTAAAAAAATCAATACTAATAAAAAAAAATTGAATGTATCATAAAATATTCAAAATGTATCATAAAATATTCAAATTAAGCCAAAAGCACTAGACTTATTCTGAATATTAGCTGTTTTATACTAGGAAGGCTCAATTTGTATCTATACACCACACCACTGTTTTAATTGGTCACATATATCTTGTATTATTCTAATAATGAAGAAAAAATCAAGGCAGATGAAGAAATGACCACGCAAGATGGCTGGAATGTCAAAGGAACTGGAGAGGTCATTCTTCCAAATTCTGTAGATAAAGTAGCAAGGGTTCTTGATCAGGTAACGTTTATCATTTTGAAAATATATAATTATGACAGTAAAAAAACTAAATTATCAAAATTTAATTTTTAAATCTAACAAGAGAAATTTTATACTACTAAAGTTATTGTGTTTATCTGTGAGATTAAATAATTTTATTGACTTTTTTTTCCAGATATTTTCAGATGCAACAGGTTCAGACGGTGGTCCAGCAAAACTATTTCAATGTGTTCTTCAGGTAATGTTTTTAGAGGGTAGCAAAGATTATACATATATTGCTTTGGACTAATAAAATTGAAACTTTTGCCTAAATTCAAAAACAAAGGTAATCAAAGAAAACAATCCTAAATGAATCACAATTAAAACAAAAAATCTTTATTTTTATACAAAGTAATACACATTAACATATATTAATAACTGGTATTAATTACAATTTTTCTTTGGTGATTTTTTCTTTAATCTCAGGCAGCAGCCAATGATAAAATCAAATCATCAGCCATCATTAAGGCAATGGACAATGTAAGTTTGAATTATTTAATTGTACATGTACATGATAAATAGACTAGAATTGAATCTCTACTTAATAAGTGATATTTTTTATTAAAAAATGATTTACAATTTTGATAACATAAAATAAGTTTATTTGCATTTGTAAATTTTGGGTCTGTCTGATTGCTTTATTTTGAATTCCAGCTGTTAAGTTCATCAAAGCGTGAAGCTTTTGCCCAGAAAATATACACATCAACATTCAGATCCTGTCCCATTCTTAAGGTCCTAATTGCCAGACAGGTAAACCTAATATAAAATCTGTTTGAATTGTATAGTTTATAAAAGTTAGCATTATTATTCAAACAAACAAACAAAATTGATAATAATCTGTTTCTCTTGATTATTGCAATGAAAGTGTCGTGCCATTAGGTTGGTTTTGTTTTGTCATTTGCAGCCAGAGCTTCATGCAGAGCTTGTTCCTGTCATGGAAAAATTGCACAGCTTAGGCAATGGTCAGAAATCAATGGTTACATCCATTGTAACACAGTTTATGACCTCCAGCATCAAGTCTAGGCAGGTCAAGACAACAATGACCAAACAAGTTGAGATGCTGGTCAATAAATGCACTAAACGTGGAGTCAACACTGAGGCTTTTCTAGAAGGTTGGATTTACACAAACGTACCTATTTATTATTGTCAGGAAATAAAACTAACTGTATAATCATAATGTCAACGATGGTAAATTTAGTTGTCCATCTGTGGGCTGTGTGACACATTAACTGTTAAACCATATTTGTTTTAAGCACAGCAGATATACACTGTAGGTATTGAAAAGCCATTTTTTTAAAGCCATGCTATCTACTGCAGGTATTGAGAAGTTGAATGACTCTGAGGCCATGGAAATGGCTGTGCATCACTTAATGGAGAATCTCCTGGCACAGGGCAGGTCAAAGGAAGGAACTCAGCTGGCCTGTCAAGTCCTGGCTCAGAATAGCAGGTTAGTCAAGGACAGGTTGGCTTATTTTATTAGGTGAAAATGTGTAGGTAATGTTAATGTACTTGGAATACAGAGCAGGTGCCTGGTCAGTATTGTGGGTTGAAATCTTTCCTATTTGATTTGAGGGACACATTTTATAATAATGGATTTTTCATTATTGTAATTTTTTAGATATGTTATTTTTATTTGCTTCTTACTTTAATGGCTTGACAGTAAATATAATTAAGAATTAATTGAGAGAGAAAAAAGCTTTTTGTTGATATTGTTTCCTTGATCACAACGTTATCAATGGATTTCTTGCATCAGTTCATCTATGACACCAAGCTCTGCCATACTTTTTGTTGATTGGCTGTCACTCCTGGACCCAGAGATTGTCAAGTTGAGCCCAGATCTTCAAGAGAAGCTGCTGTTTGCTAGAAAAGTTTCTGCTAAGATTGCTGGCCCTCCTGCAGATGGAGGTGTCCCGAGCCAAGCTCACCTGCTGGCCCTATTGACTCACCAGACCAGCTGGGATACTCTTACACGCTGTCTCACTCACCTCCTGGAACCAAACAAAATAGCAGAGTAAGTCAACCCTTTAGATTGGATTGGATTTAGAATTGAGTTGTTTTAATTAAAATGTAATTTTGGAAAACAATACTTATTAACGAAACATATTTCTGTTTTTTTTTTTTTAAATATGCCTGTTCATTAAAATATAATTTCTTAGGTAACTAATGTCATAAATAGCCCATAATATCGGGCTATGCAAAAATTTATTGTATAATAATTAATTCAATATTAATCTAAAAGCAAACAGGAGTTGATGAAGACATGAGGCATAATGTTTTGCTATACAAGTTGTTGCTTTGAGCATCTTCATTGACCGATTGTCTTAACACCCTTCTTATTTTAGACTTGATCCAACTGCTGTGCTTGATTTTGTTTGGGCATGTGAACATGTCCCAAAAATCTGGCAAGGAAGAGAGAAAAGGACACAGGAGGTTAATGCTCTATTTACTATTTATTTCATTTTCAACAATTTATTCATTTGTTAGCAGTATACAGACTTCAAGGAATAATTTGAACATTTTACAATTCGGGTCTCCATATTTTTGCATGGGAAATTTTTTATGACTTTCTGTCTATCCTATATTGCTGCTGTCTTACACACAACACACATAATTTATTGTATCAATGACTGCATGTAATGGCAAAGAGGAAGTGAGTAACATTCAGTGAGGATTTAAAAGCTTGAAATTGAATGAAGGTTTTAAAGATTTGTACGTTCTAAGAATGACTTATGTTTGAGCTAAAAAAAAACCCACAAAAACAACCCCCCCACCCCCTTATTTTCATTTTTGTTTGAGCTACCGCCCCCTCTCTTACTTTCATTTTGGAAGTTATTTCTTTGTTTCCTCCCCTTACTGAAATTAATTTTTCAAATTGTTCCCCTAACTCTGGACTAATATAATTTACAGAGAGATGTATTTGACATATGCACGCACACACATAAATTTTCACATTTTTAAAAGATTTGATTTTGTTACTCTAGTCAAAACAATTGCACACTTTCTCAGACCTGTTTACTCGTACGATTTTGGCGTACAATGTACGATTTTGAGGTGTATACATTATATATACTGATGTTTAGTTTACTATTAAGATAATGTATTGATTGATTTTGTGATGATATTGTACCATTTTAAGAGTTTGAGGGTAAACAGGTCTGCTTTCTTATATTTCTATACACTTATATTCCCATTTAAAAGGTTGAAGAAAAAGAAGATCTTCTCTGCCTGACCTCCTCTCAGCTGTTCTCTATTGTGAGTTTGATCTTGGATGAAGCTGAGATGCTATCCCAGGATAAAGAATCTGATCCCACGACCCAGCATATCACCATCATGAAGACCAGAATGGATCTGCTGATGTCTTGTCTGGCTGATGATCTGGAGAGGGTGGTATCTGTGGTCAGCCATCTGCAGGAAATATACCAGTCTGCTACTGGGTAGTTGTCTTTAACTTTAATAAAAGACAACCAAGTTTTTACAATTATTTTCAAATCTTGTACTCTATTTGGCAGGGGAAGATAGAAAGCATAATTATATAAATGTTCTAATTATGTTATGTTTATCAGTTTGATTGCATTTTTATGCTTGGAGAAAAAATGGGAGGGATAGTCATTAAAGACTGATTTTGTTAAAATATTAACAACTTTGCATTTTAAAACATTAACTGTTAAAAATTTGTAATGTTAAAAAAATAGCTTTCATTTAAATTTGAAATTTAATTATGCTTCAAAGATTAAAGAGTAAGTGCACTGCAAGCCTTGCCATAAGCTTGTATCTTCAGTTCCCATACATCCAGTCCTGGCTGGCTGAGGACAGTCCACTGTTGGCGGAGCTCATGTCCAGCCATTATATCCAGTCTCAGGTATTAATTCATCTTAAATTTTAACATATTGCCTCGTCTGTGATAAAGGCAAAACTTTTGTAGGCTCACATTTTTCTGTTACCAATAAAATACTTTAACCTTCAATGTAAGAAAGTTAGATGTAAAGTTAGTTTGTAATTCAACCATGGAACCTTGCAGTTTTATTAGACTTAATAATTATAATTCTTTATTATTTAAAAAAAACAAAACATGTTTATTGTTTTTACAGATGGATGTGATCTCGCATCGATTAATCAGCAGTCTTGGATCCATTGGTTCAAAACTTTCCATTAATAATAGAATGCGTGATGCAAATGTTGCTTGTAGAAAGATGGCTGCTCACCATCCAGCTATTTTCCTCAGGTAATTAAAAAGATTAAGATTTCAGAGCTTCGAATGTATTTAATTAAATATTACATCCCACCCACTCACACATATTCATATATATTAATAAACTTAATTATATTCAAATGTTTCCAGACAACTTCCATTGATTGGAGCCATCTTATCAGGACAGACACAATTTACAACTGGAGAAATGAGACACACAAATCGCTTTCTGTTGTTTACACACGTACTGGGTCTGATAGAGCTGCTACAGCCTCACATATTTAGACATGAACACACAGGACTGGAGGATATCCTGGAATCATTTTTTTCACTTATGCAGGTGTGTAAAAACAATAAAGAGGATTTTCATAAGGAAAATTTAATTACACAAGTACACTGGAATTTTTTATTTATTTAAAAAATATATATTTTTCTTTCAATCTGGCAATTGCTTCTAAGCATGACTTTTGGAGAGATATAATTGTTGGTCAGATACAGTCCTTTGATGTTTTTTAATTCTTTTGCTAGCGTTACGTTACTGTATCGGGAACATGACTGTTTAACTTTTTGTAGAAAGAAAAATCAGCTTTTATTATTAACCAATAATTATTGGGCCATATGATTTTTACTGCGAGTAAATGAGAGCTAGGCATCTAGCTGTACTTTAATGTAAGACTTCTTTTCCTCTAATATTAAGTGTTGACTTGATCATACAATCTTGAATGTTAGAGAAAATGAAAATATAATCATATGCTGGGTACATTATAGATTTATGACTTAAGTTGCACTTTTCTCTTTGATTATGTCTCCTCACAATAGTTGACATTTTGTTTATGCTTTCACAACTTGTCTCAGGTTCATGGTGAAGAGAAAAATATTGGACCCCAAGTTCATAAATTTGTTTTAATTCTACAAAATTTTCTGACACACGACTCAGCGAGGGCCCTTCCTATTCTTCTGAAACATCTCAGCTTGCTAAGGTTGGTGCAATGGTATTTTAAAACTCATTGAATTTAACCATGCATTTCATTTCAAATTTGGGAGTAGCCTAAGAATTGTCTTCTTTGCATATGATCCTAAACATAAAATGGTTTGAAAAGGTGCCTGACTCTACACTTATGCTGTGTTATTTCTCATTATAGACATCTATTTATATTTCTTTTTTTAATTAGGCTGCGGCTATTTGGACCCGGTATCAGAAGTGAGAGGTTGGGTTTATTAAAAAATTAAAAATATTATTGTTGGGTTGTATGATGAAATTTGTAAACCTAATTCTTCAGTTGAACTAAAATAAACTACCACAAATGACATCCGAATAGCATTTGGTCTTATGGGACCTGGGTCTGAATAGCGACGATGCGAATCTGGTTCCACTTCTAGTAGCCGGGTCCAAATAGCCATTTCTTTTTAATTAAGTTTCTTTTAAAATAAATATTAAATGTGATTTGAAAGTTAGATTTCTTTGTCTAATTAAAAGTAATTTAGTTAAACCTAAAAAGAAAAAAAGCTTAAAGAGACGTTATACAATTAATTTCAACATTTTCCTATTATTTCATGTGTGTCTTAACTGTGTTTCAAAAATGATAAAATGTGATGGATATAAAATGAACAGAGAGTTCAGACAATATAATTATAAGTTCATAATTTTCTAATTTCTGTAATTTTTTTTTTTTGGTTGCTAAACAGGAAATTTCTGTCTGTCATATGTTTGTGTTTGTTAAAATAGTGTTGTTTTTTTAATTAAATGGACCTTTTTTTTCTCCTCAGCAATCTGTCCTTAATTTACCCTGACATATTTGAACTGAAAGCCATTTTGACCAGCTTGACACTTCCAAGACAAGCTGAAGCAACTCAGGCCTCAAAACCAGCAGCTGGGAAAGCTTCAAATTTACCTCATTTGCTCACTTCCAACTCTGGGTTCAATGTTGCTCAACTGATGCCCTTGATGAGAAAGTTAAAAAAAGATTCTATGGAAGGTTTGAGCTCGCTTTTTCCTTAAGAGAAACACTGATATGGCACTAAAAGACAGATTTTAAAGAAATTTGCTCAGCATAATATACCAATTTATTTTATTTTTTATTATTTTTTTTTTTTTTTGTACAGATCTTCTAACTGCTCTTCAAGATTTGGATGAAATATCCAAACGCAAAGTTGAAGTTTTAACCCATTTCGAGGTAAGATAAAAACTTTCCTTAGTTGATAAATAGGATACTTTAAAATACTAAAGACATTTTATAGGGAATAAGTTTCTATTAGCAATCTATTTGTCTGCCATTTCTCCTGGAGAACAATTTTTCAGGTATAATATAAACTATAATGGATTTTTTAAAATGAAAAACATAAAAATTTTGTATCAAATTAAGTACCGTAGTATACTTATTTTAATTTTCATATTTTGATAAATATCCAGTTTTAATTTATTTAGAAATTTGGAATTAAGCATAAATCAGAGGTTCTCAAATTGTATCACTTGGCACCCTGGTTACCTGCTGCTTTCTTACCATGGTGCCGCTAGTATTAAACAAAAATGCATAATGCTATATTGCGTCACACCTAGTTGACTTTGTGCAAACCAGTAACTCATTTAGTAATAATCTTTACAAATGGTTGCTTGATGGTGCTCTACAATAATCAAGAATATCAATTTTTTCTCAAACTTACTTGGTACCGGTACTTCGTGTTCTTATATAAATAACTTTTGGTTTCTTAATAGCTTATTAGTGAATTTGAATTTTGTCTAGAAGTTAGTACGGTATCAAATGAATGTTTTTGTAAAATGGTCAAGTAAAGCTAGTGAAGCTCTTATCATTGTAGTTTCAAAAATGGATCAGTTCTTTCGATAAGATTTTTAAAAAAATGTATTCCATTATATTGAAGTTCTTTATTCGAATTTGACATAGGGCACTTTAGAAAAACCTTGATGCAGGGGAGCTGTGACTCTACAATTTTTGGGAACCTCTAGTATATAGCGTTGCTAGAGGTTTAAGCCCATTGGCTTGGATGTATAAAATAGCATTTATTATCTGTAGTGAAGGGCAATATGGCAAACAAATCTTAACTTTTCTTTTGTCAGAGTCACCTTTGTCACTTGATGATGTCCTCGTACGACCAATGTAGAGGGACAACTTTTGTTTTGATTTTGCGTCTATTGAGACAGGATCCAAAGTAAGAAAGGGATTTTATTTATCATATAAAATTGCATCGATCTGTACAGTACTTACGAACAGATTTGTTCTCTATGTGTTGTCTGTATCTGTAATAATACTGTACCGGTATTATTGCTTCACTAAGACAGTGCAGTTAAATTTGTGTATATCTTTATAACAAGCGTCAGACATTACTTGAACTTGAAAAATAACAACCTCTCCCTATCAAGACATTGCATCTTATAAACCAAAGTGGCAGTGACGAGAGAATAGGAGTACTGGTAGCATCAATTGAAGACTAGCTCATATTATCTCTAAGCCAAATAACTCGCTAAAATGAACCTATTTTGTTTATGTCATACTCAACAAATATTCTGCACTAAAATAGCCTTATATCTAGCATATAAATATAATGCATTACATTGTATTGTCTATAATATAAATTTGAAACTGATTTTTGTTCAGGAAAGCTGAAGCATTTGTTGCTACATTTTTGGACTGCTTGGACTCGGATAATCCAGATGTAGTTACTTCTGCTCTAAAAAATTTGGCAGATTTCGTTGCTCTCTGCCAGGGTAAGATTTTTATTTGGTATCTATCAGTATTTTGTTCACAGACACTAATAGTTTCTTTAAATATAAAAAAATACCCTATTTGAAATAAAAGATCATCTGAAGCAGACTACATCTTAGTATCTTAGTGAGTGTAATGTTTAAACTTTAACATTCACAAATTATTTGAGGCATGTGTTTTTATTTTAACAGTAGCACTCATTTAATCTGATTTTAATATGGATTGTCTTCTCAGAGGAAGCCACAAGTCTTTTACAAAAAGCTTTCACAGTTGGTATCAAAAAGTCGATAGATTCAAGCTCCTACATTAGTGAAGCACTGCAGAGTTTAAATTTACACGCTGCAGCCAACTGATTGTATTTCTGTTGTCAAATAAACAAGCTTTTACCCCACTTGGTTACTATTAAAAATGATAATACATTTAGTTCACATATTAAGTGAATTGTTTATATTTAATAAATGTTGTATCTCTTCAGTTAAATGGAATCAAATTTGAGAATCTTTCAAACAATACCTTCCAATATTTAATATTATTATGTAACTTTTTCTCGAATGTCTAGTGTAACTATAATTTTAAATCATTTAATAAATATTGCTTTGACTTGCCCTCTGTGCTTAGATTTAATAAAAGCTATTACTATATGTAGGATTTTCTCTCTTTTGTTGTACCGTAATTACTAGCACTAGTAGTAGTAGTACCGGTATTAAAAAAAAATTTCTTGGGGTACAGGTACTTCTTTTATTGTTATGATCAATTCTATTGTTTTTTTCACCTTTAGGAATGAAATATTTAAAACTCAGTCAATAATAAAAAGATTTTCTTTTTGGGGTAGCCAGGGTTGCATCCTGCCCAGTGGTAGGCAACTATCCACTTCTCAGATTTCCATGAATTTAATTTTGAAAAAAAAATGTGTTTAGATTAGATTCTTCCCTAGCTGCACACTAAGACCATTTTTGCATAAGTGGTTTCATGAATAAAATGTTTAGTTTAATTATAAGCTCATTTTCAAGAAATGTTATACATAGGCCATCATCATCATTGGTCATTTGATGGTCCATGGGACTTAACACCAGCTTTTTGGATACCGGTAACGTTATTTGATCTGTGGGGATTGCCTCAACCTCACCTTGGATCTCATTTCTTGTGTAGGCAATGATGCCCCTACAGTCATGGCACTTGCAAGTGTAATGGGAATACCCTATGATGTGTGGGTCTGTGTTGTGGTGTAAAGTTTCTTGTAGTAGTACTTTGATAATTGATATCCCACAGTTGTTGATTTGCAGGATGTTTGTCCCAGTAGCATATTTTTCTTAACCGGCCCTGGGTGCTGCCATTCAACATGGGCCTTGTATAGGCAACGCCTGAGCTAGGATACATTTCTTTTTGCCTTCATCACCATGGTTTGGGCTTCCAATAAAATGGCAGGACAGATCAATGTTGGAATCAATCAAACATTTCTTACTTAAAAAAATTCCAACAATCAACAAATCGGCCAGAAGTCACCTGGCAGCAGCATTTACTGCTGAGGTCCACTGAAGTTTAAATTACACACAAAGTAGTTTTAAACAAAAAACACAATAAAAAACAAAAACTAATTTCAAATGATTTACATTTTAATTAGACATTGGAGCAAATTACCTACCATCTAAATTCAATGCAATTTAATTAAATTTTACACAGTTAAGTTTATTCCAAATAATGGTAACCAACATATTAAGTTCAAACACAAGACTAAATTTATATTATCATGAGAACTCAACTGTAAGAAAATTTGTTACCCTAATTAAAAAGAGTGAAAAATCAAGATGTATGATTCCAAGGGCACATAAATTTATTTTTTTTATTTAAATAAATTTTTAAACACCAATTTTTCATGATGTTATAATAAAATAGACAGTTTAAACCCCCCCCCCCCCCTTTTTTTTTCATTGAATTCTTTTGCACTAATGTATTTGGGCCAGGACATAACAATTTAATATTTCCAAAAGTAAGCTTTGCATGATTATTTTTATTTTGTGGAGCTCAGCATCATCCACTGTAAATATAAAGCTTAGCGATAGTGTCATAATTCACAAGTGGATTGACTAAACCTGAAAGCTGCACAACACCTGTGAACAATGCTTAAATACTTCCTTGTAACACAAAAAATATTCAAAACAATTTAATACACAGTCACTTATTAGACAAAATACAAAAAAATATGAAGTAAAATATAAACTATAAAATCATGTAGACTAAAAAAAACATAACAAAATTTAACGACAAGCATACTACTTTTTGCAGCTGTCATCAAATGTTACTGTACTAAAATTAAAAATCATAAATTATAATTTGCAAAATCAGTCAACAAATCCCATTTAATTGTAAACAGTGGTGTCCCACAGTTGTAGTCTTTACTTGCTTAGAACCCAATTTGTTGTGATAGCAGATAAAAATATGTTAATGCATTTTAACAAAACCATTTAACTTTAAAGTTTCAAAATTATATTTATTTACAGAAAAATTTGATATCTTATTAAGCTTTTACTAAAATTTATTTACTAATTTTTCCAGTTATTTAATTATTTAGTTTAAACCAATGTGAAAATCAGGATCTCTCATCAATTTAATATTTTAATCATGGACTATTTTTTAAAGAGACAATTCTTGTTTATTTTTTAATCCATACCCCACCCCCCAAACTATGATTTGTGGATCTGCCCTTGTAGGTGCCCATGTATTTTGTATATAAGTAATCAGAAGCAGCTGATACATAATAGTGGAGACTGCTTTATAATTTATAGCTTCTGCTGTTTGAGTTTTTTTCTCCTTCATATAAATGTAATTATAAAAATGAGAAATTATTGGAAAGCATTAAAGTTGGCACCACCAGCTCTGCCACGGGTTGGATTATTTAATAAAAATGGGTAATGATCCGGGACGCCTCTTATTCCTTGAGGTCCTGATTGTTGCTTTACACTATCATCTTGGAATCCAGTGTATTCTTGTGAGGTGCTCTGCGGACAAGGAAGTAAGCCGGCTCCTCTTCCAAATGACGCCCCTCTTCCCATTGAGAACCCTCTTCCCCTCTGTGTTCCTCGAACAGGTAAAGCTTTTTTCATTGAAGATCCCCTTTGTGATCCTCCTATACCACCATGAGGGTATTGGTCAGGTTTGTATGCTGAGTTACTCCTAGCATCATAAGCTGAGTGCTGCTCAGGAACATTCTCCAACAATCCACCTCTGAAAGAGCCCTTTTGTAGACCTCGGAAAATGCCTCTCTGATTGCCCCTAAGTGGTCTGTTAGGGTTGACAAAATCTCCCCTTTCAATTTCCCCATAATATTCATCTACATCCTCTCCAGAAAATGTAGTGGCTATTTGTGACCCTTTTGGAACTGTACTAGTAGCTTGTGTTGGAGCATCTGCCTCAAAGTCCTCTGAAGGCCTTCCAGTTCTATTCTGCATTAAATCACCCCTTCTGGAGTCACCTTGAAAAGCAGATCTAGATTCTCCATAAAAGGGCTGGAAAGTTTCATTCTCCCATGATTGCCCTTCTTCTTGTGGGTAGTTTTGATATTCTCCATAGTTGTAATCCTGGTTAGGATTCTGGTTACCAAAAGCTTCTGCATTGACAAACCTCTCATTTGGCCCTGGAGGTTCATTACTCCTCGATTCATTAGTATATAAATCCTGGCCAGCATTGTCCTGAAAAGTGTCAACATAATTTGTTGAAGTCTGCCAATAGTCTGATGGCTTTGTTGTCCCCCATTGATCAGTTTGGTCCCTTTCACCCCACTGCTGCTCAGTTGATGTCTCATTGAGTAGACTTCTGTCTTGAGTGTTAGATTTTGACCAGAGTCTGCCCTTTGAATTATAAGCGTCCCTATCTGGTACACCACTATGATCTGGTAAACCCCTGCTTGCTTTAAGAATACCCTTTATTTTACCTCTTGCCCCAAAAACTCTGCCTCTATGAAGTTCTTCATTGTTTTCCCTTGCAATGTTCAGATGATGGCCATAAGGTGCTCCCTCAGTTTCTAGGCCACTCTCTTCCTGCTGAGAGCTCATGTCATGTCTATGCTGAGGAAACTCTCTCTCATGACTCTGGTTATTCATTCGGCCAGCAAACTGTGACTTCATTGTGTCTCTTGAATGTCCCAGGACATCAGGTCCTATTCTTTCCATCTGGACAGGTTCCTTGCTATGTGGTGGTCCTCTGAAATTCTGTCCCGTTCTATCTTGCATACGACCTTCTAAACCTCCAGGATTCCAGTCAGGCCTAGCATTTTCTTGGACATGAAGTCTGGCCCTGCTTTTAGATGGTGAATTCATGTTAACTCTGGTCGAGTCATTATTAGCTTTAGTTGTGTCATGAAGTTCCATTGGACAATTTCCAAGAATCCCTGGTCTATTTTTAAATGATGTTCTGTTGCTTTGTCCTACTTTATTATGCATATAAATATTTGCTTCCCCCCTATGTTCTGATATTTTGGTCTGTCTTAACAAAGCCTTTTCATTGCCTGGAACATTAGATCCACCCCCAAAAGCCCTACCTACATTTTGAGAAATGCCAATTTCTTTATTTAAACCAAATCTCCTTCCATCTCTCCCTTCCCTGTCTAGTATTTCAGATTGTTTTTCCTCAAACCTCATTCTTTTCTCTTCTTCAATTTCCTTGGCAGTTCTTTTCACTGCATTCTTTCCAAATTGGACTGGCAGATACATTTCATCAGCACTTTGTTGCCTTCCGTCTCTTGGCGGTACGCTTACTTTAATCTCTTTTAATGTTTCCATAGTTCGATATTGATCTTGTTTTACAGCTTGTTCTGTTGAAATAGCCGGCGGGCGCTTGTTAAAATCTAGTGGATGGTCATTTCTGTTAGGATCTACAGAATTTTTGTCATCTCTGCCATAATCTGAATGAAATACAAAAATTATTAATATTAAAAACTTCAATATTAATTTTAAAATTTATCTAAATCCATGCATAATCAATCATCTTAGGCTTTTGTGTATACACAGTGGTAAGTCTGGGTCTTGACAAATGCGTGTGGCAGCAATAATATCTTAAACCATTTGCTGTCCCAGAGCCCAGAAATTTTCTTAGAAATGCAAAACAATCTCCATGAAAAGATCATATTATGTTATTTACTTTGATACTAATCCACATTCAAAGTCTCCATTTTACAAGCAAAAGTGCCAGAAATAGTTATTTTTGGGATGGAAAACCCCTCTGAAATTTAGATATAAAATAACATGTTTGGATTGAAAAGTGTTAAAAATGTATTATCAATGATTGGCACAGTGAGGAGCTCTTAAATAACCACAGTAGTTGCTCCCATTCAGTTGTTTTATTTTTAAAATAAATTATTAAAAAAATATTAACCTACCATTACGGGAATGAGCTGGTGGTCCTTTAGTCCACAATTTCCGCTTATCATTTCGTTTGTCATTAGAAATTCTTGACTCGTGCCGTCCCTCATGCACATACCTTCTATCTCTATTTGATAGATCCGTCTGACTTTGGGATTTGTTATGGCCGGGCGAAGACATCCTGGAAGTTCTAGAATGACGATCAGGTGACCTAGAACTCCTAAGCGACCTGCTTCTATTATGATCAGCATGTTTGAACTCGGCTTGCAATGGCATGTGATGACCAGGAAATGGATTCTCTCTTGGCTCATGTTTAGCTGAAGCAGCAGGGTAATTGAGAGCTGGTTGACCAGAAGCGGCAGTGTAACTGAGAGCTGGGTGCTGCCCTGCATTAACATATTCTCTTGGAGCTGGTCCAAGAAGCCCTGGTGTTGGTGGCGCATTTTTGAAAGGCTGTTCTTCACTGACATTTCCTGATTTAGTTGGAGGCAATGTCGGAGATTGTCTGTAATTTCTATTTGAATTTTCCAAGCTCATACAAATATCAATTTGGTGTTTCATTCTCATCTCCAGTTCTTCCAACTGTCTTTTTTTAGCTTCAATATTTTCTTTCAACATGAATTCAGTATGATGAAGTTTATATTCTTCTTGCTGTTTTCTTTCCATCTCCTGTCTTTGTCTGATCTCTTTTTCAACCTCCCATCTTTTTTGAGGCCAAGCATTAATTGAAGTGTTTTCTGCCTGGTTGATTGCTGTCTTCCTGCCCTCATGTTGTCTTTTCAGGACCTCTGAACCCCTGACCTGTGGGATTTCCTGGAGTCGCTCTGCAGATATCACGGGGTTAGGATTAATTTTAATAATGCCTAAAGAATGGGCTTCAACTCTTTGCTTAAGAGCCAGGGCTTGAAGAGCTTCCAACTGAGTTGTCATCTGAGGATTGAAACACATTTTTTGTCACAAAATGTTTTGAATTTTTTTTTTTATATCTATCATTGTAAAAAAAGAAAAACACTCATAAATTGCCTTATTATTCTTGGGATTGTCCCCATTAAGTTCCCACTGCACCTTCCTACAAATAACAAAAATCACCCAACATCACCTAACGGCTGAATTCGAATATAGAAATAGTTTTAAAATAATCATTTTCCTGGTAATTCTTTACCAAATTAAACATCTCATTTATTAATTTAAAAATTGTTTGGGATTAATTCCATATCAGCATATTTTTTTTACTGACCTCAAGAATTTTGATAACATCTTGATTATTTGGATCCAATCCACGAGAAATAGCTAATTGTCGCAAAGCTTCTCTTTGGGGATCTAAAACTTGGCTCTGCTGTTTATCTGACCTTTGATTCCAAGAAGTGTTTTTCGGCTGCAAACCTCTATTAAGAAAAGAACAATATTTTAACTTTCCAAAGTTAAGTTTTGAAGTCAAAAGGCATTGCAATTATTTTATTCCAGGTTTATTTTAACCCTTCATTTTAAGTTTTAATGAATGTGGAAACTCTTACACAAAGACATCTTCAGTGTATTTTTGTTCAGTAAAAAAAATATCTTGTTATCTCTATTCAACGTACCTGGACTCAGAAGTGTTCTTAATAATTTCATGAGTTTTTGATTTTCCTTTCCCACCTTCTGGAAATGATCTCTTGTCAAACCTGGGGATAATTTCACAGTGATTAAAATTATTCTCTGCTTTTTTTTTTTTAAGGAATATTTTTTTAACAATTTTACATTTTACCAACATTATATAAGGATATTGAAATGATTTTGAAAGACCTACCTTTGTCCAAGTTCTTTCCTATCTATGTCTTTAGGATTATCCATTAGGTGACGTTTCAAACCCTGATTTCTGGGTTTCATATCAGCTCTCTGGGTCTTTGGATCATAACTGAGTTCTTTACCTTTGAGGTTTTGTTGTTGTGATTTATTGTAGCCCGGATATTGACTTTTGCCAGGAACAGCAATTCCACTTTGATGCACTAAGGGTGTATATATATGAAAAGATAATTAAAAGATTATAATTAAAAATGACATCAAATAAAATCACATTGTCTTTCAATGATCAGCTATAATTTTTTATCCATGTTTGACAGTGAAACTAAAAATATTTTCAGATCATTTCAAGAGTTATATTTAATCTTAATTCAAAAGATCAAAGGAATGAAACCATTAGCTGCAAATTCCAATCTAATTAATTAAATATAAAAATATTCACATTTAATTATATCCCTATTTCATATTGTTAGTACTTCAAAATCTACAAAGGTTTCATTAAATGAAAACTTATATTATGAAGACCCTACTACATATGAAAAAAAAAACAATTCTAATAAATTCTAACTCAAATCTGTCATAACTTTTTTGTTACACCCTGTGTGCTGCTAGTGTCTATCGCCTGCCTAGTGTTTTATTTTTTCACTAACTAACTTAGTGCTAGGCACTACAATTTCCTCCATGTGCTTGATTAAGAATATGTGCCAAGTGTTGCTTATGAGACCTGTTAATGTTAATTAAGATGCATAATTTTCACATCCTTTGTTGTTAAAGACTGTTCTCTCACACATGCCACCTGCATTTCTAGGTACAGTTAGATTTCTAGTAGTTCTTTTCTTCAATGTAAATAAGACAGGTTACAGAGATTTAGACAGACTTAAGCGAGACTTTTGCTAGAGCTATTTACTATTGTGTGTGTATGGATAAATATTTTAACATTTCTATCACTTGTGTGGATTAGTATTTTCTTGTGTGTATTAATATTTTTTGCCATATCCAATATTTGTGTGGACTAATATTTCACATTACCCTTACTTGTGTGGATTAAAATTGTTGGCAATGTCCATTAATTGTGTGGATTAATATTTTCACATTTCTCTTATTTGTGTGGATTAATATTTTCTTGTCTGGATTAATATTTTCTTGTGTGGATTAATATTTTTGGCCACATCCATTATTTTTGTGTGGATTAATATTCGCTTGTATGGATTAATATTTTTGGCCATATCCATTATTTGTGTGGATTACATTTTCATTACTTGTGTGTATTAATATTTTCTTGGGTGGATTAATATTTGCTACCATTCATATTTCTTGTGTGGGTTAATATTTTCAATGTGTGTGTGGATTACTATTTCCACTTTTTATTGCCAGTATATTCAAGTGCTATAAGTTGATTGGTATTATTTTTTTTTCTTATTCTTATTTCTATATTTTCTTATTTTGTAGTTAATATATTAGAATTGTTAGGGTAATAAATTGTTTATTGTGAACTTCACTAGCTTTGGTATTGTTTTCTTAGTACACTGTTAATACGATTCTTTTAATGAATGTTTCTTTACATTCTACATATTCATTTTCAGCACATGGTTAATATTCTTGAAAGTACATTTAAACTGGAGCAATTTATAAGCAAGACATTTAATGTATTCTCAAGCTCAAAAAATCATCAATCATGTACCATAATACCTCACTCCCTTAATGACAATATTGTCTTAAGGTTGATGGATTGTCTAACAACCTGAGGAGCACTCTGGTAAATTTGAACAGATTAGGGAACAAAATAATTTGTATATCTTTTGGTCCTAACATCTTATTTTGTATTATTTGTAAGGAAATTTGAGGTTCATATCTATCTTTTAATAAAACAATTGTGGTGTCAAAAAAAGCTTCTAAATTTGTATCAATATATGAGGAAAGTTGCGGACTGTCTATTAGTCTACAGAAAACAAATGTCACGATGCAAGAAGCACCGTCCCTTCCAGTTATATTTATTGAGGGCCATAATCTGTCGGTTGGGGGGAGGTGTTTATAAAGCAGAATTAGTTTTGAATGTTCATAACACAGTGATTTTCCTTTAATAACAATGTACCGTTGGGCTGTTTTTACTTTTACAAATTGCTTTAACATTTTAGCTAGCTCCATTAGAAAATCTCGTACTTTTTCAACTGGGTTCACAGAAAATAAATCATTTTAAATGACAATCAACTTCTCTGGGGGCATGCCATCTTTGTTAGGTTGGCCTATATTAAATAAAGTTAATGCTTTGTCTATTACTTACCAAATTTGTCCGGCTTAGGGGGTGAGAAGTTTAAAATTTTTAAATAGAATGGCCACTTGTCATTTGTTGAAGAGCGGTAGGTAAACTGTCTGAAACATGTCAAAACAGCTTCCATCCATTCTTGACTTTCAAACTCGATAGAAACTGGCCTATAAAAAAAGGTGAGAAACAAAACATTGATCACAAAAGTTTCAAAGTTGACCTGATCAAATGATGAGGAGGAGCCATGAAACATAATTCAGTGTTTCTGCTCCTTTGTTGCAACCTCTGCTCGTTTGTGAAGGTAATATCACAACAAATGCTCCTGCTAATATTTTGCAAAAGCAGGTTGATGCTGACCTCAAGCAAGAAAAACTTTTCTCATCAATTGTAAGGCAGGGCATAGAGAAGAAAAAAAATGTATTTAAGTTTTCTTATTCTGCAAAAATGTGTTTTTTAAAAATCCTTTATATTAACTTTGCTTTTGTTCATGGTTGTTTGGCTGGCAAAATCTTTGGACAGCTAATTGACCCACTTCCCATGAACCTATGAAGCTGAAACTAGGCACATAGACTTGTTGCCAATGTCAACACAATCAACCAAATTTTCAGACCCACCCCACAAAAATCAGTTTTTCCTATTTTTCATTGAAGGAATATGATGACTGATTTCACAAATTTTTTTGATGACTTTGTTTTTAAAAAGTTTTCAGACTTGTACTGTGAACCAACATTTTGATGAAAAAAATATGAACAAAATGTTTATGTATTGGGTATTATCCACAAATACTTTGATAAATTCAATCATTTGTGGATAAAACACATACACAATAAATGCCATGTCTATAATAGGCACCGGCAAAGTAAATCCATGCAATAGCAAGATGTTCCTTTATGTTGTTTTTTTTAATGAAAAACGAGTTTGAATTTTTTTAAACCATTTCAACTGCAAAAACAAAAAAAACTTCAGTTCCTGATATACTTAGTACTTGCTCTTTTGATTTCTAGGTGATTCCTTGTCAGGTTCTTTTGAATAATTTCAGATCTTATTCTTTAGTAGTTCTCAAGCAAAACACGGTCCTGTGATATGATTATGAGACTTAGAAAGCCTGGCACAAAGAAAGTTTTCCTTTTTAAGCCACTCTGCATTTGTGTAAAGCTAGACCTCGAACACAGATGCTTACAGTTCTCACCCAGTGCATATCAAAATGGAGGAGTGTTCAGACGCTTGGTTCAAACAGTGTGCTATTGCTGAGTAAATTCCAAGCTTGTGGTCAGGAGTTCAATCCCCACCAAAGACAAAGTCAAGCAAAAGCAACAAGGATGAGCACACCAGGTGGATGGGAACCATTAACCTTGAATGGCAACTCCTCTAAGAGAAGGAAACCCCGAATTAAAATCCGGAGGAATCCCGTAAGCAGATTCATTAATACAATGAAAAATTCCGACACCTCCTGTGACGCAACTGGTGCCAAGCTGTATCATCCTTATATGGTGTTCCCTTGGGTTATCCAGGTGCGTAGAGAGAGGCGATTTGCTGTCTAGGGAAACAGTTTATAGTCCTAAAGAAAAAATCCCAGGTCTTGTGATTTCGTCCTGCGAAGTCTACACCATTGTCAAATAAAAAAAAAATTTTAAGTGGAAAGTAGTTCTTCCTAATGAAATTCCCCAATAAATGTAGAATGGAAGTCATTTATGATGATCAGCTTGTTAACGAGAGTACAGTGAGATGCTGTTTAAAGTGGTTGAAAGAGAGAGAAGTGGGGCAAGCACATTCCACTTCAACCACTGACTAGAAAGCATCTACAAAAAGAAATAGCTCTCATTATAGGAATATCACAAGAAATGGTGGGACATATAATTGGTATTCTTTGATTCCACAAAGTTTGGGCAAAGATTGATTCTGTGAATATGTTCTAAAGAAATGAAAGTTGATTAAGTTTTCCAGTGACAGAAATTTTTTTAAAAAAGGAAATGAGGACGTTTTAAAGAATATCAATTCAGGTGATAAAACTGAATCCTTATTTATGACCCTCAGAATAAGCATTCCATTTATTACTGCTATTCAAAACCAAGGTCTTGGCTGGGAAGTTGATAATGAATATGTATATATGAAAACTAAATTTGCCTCTAGGGCAGGTACTTTCATGATACACAGGTTTACATCAGTATTCAGGATAAGTGTTTCTCTATTACCAAGAGCTGTAACACTGCAGAGTTTCTCATCTTTACTTTTTATACTCTTCATGCTGATTATTCCACAATAGATAAGTTTTACTGCATGTCTGTTAAGTACTTAAAATGTATTTGTGAAGTCTGATTACAGTGGTCCTGTATATGACAAGTTCATAAACAGCGTACATATTTTTACAATGTGAACAAAGGATGTTTTTCATAGCAACACTTGTGGGAAGAATGTTGCTTAGCTGCATGCAGTGCATTCATTTTGTTTGTTTTTTTCCATTAGAGTGCTAATGGATGCTTACGTTCAAATACAGACATAGTCAGAGTATGAGATCTTGACATGATAACCTTGAATTGACTAATTGAACATTAAAGGTAAATTTAAAAAATGAAAAGCAGCAGTGCAACCGGACAATACTGAAAACAGTTTTCTGTATAGTATTATAAACAGAACGGGACTTTCAATCACCTTGTAGAATAAGAGTAACAAGAAGTCCAAAAAATGTGAGATAATCGAAGATCTGCAATGATGTCCTCAGAAATTATTTGTTCATTGAATGTTTCCAGCTCACAGGTTCTTGCTCACATAGACCATGAAAGCATAAAAATTTCATACCAACTATTCAAGTCCAAGCTTTTAAATTGATTTCACAATTTTTTTTAAATGTCTTTTGATGGTTTAGGCACATTTTTGTCATATTTCTTTGTTTTCCCAACTTACCCTTCAACTCCCTTTAGTAGTGTGGCCATCTCAGAAATTTGAACATTGAGGGAAAATGGAAACAGTACCGTCAACATCTCATGATTCATAGTTGATGGAATCCTGTGGATCTGAGCACTTTTTCTCTTTGTGCCCTCTCTTTTTTTGTCTGGAAAAAAATCGAATACCATTCATTTTCTTAAACTGGATTTAAGTGATCCAGATTTCCAAGTCAAATACTTTTGGGGTCAAGAAATTTGCACAATCTGTCAAGACTTTAAAAACTCTTCCATTAAAACAAGAGCTACCTTTCATTTTGTATACTAACTGAGTCAAAATTGTTCTTCAACTTGAAAACTATAGAACGTTTCAACTATATATTAAGTGACTCAGTCTTATAAACAAGCCTTGCACAGAATAATCCAGTAGCTGATTTGAAGAATTTCAACACTACTAGAAAATTACAGAGAAATGATCAGGAAAAAAAGGAAGGAAAGATTGAAAATCAACTTCCAGACCAAGTGGAATTTTAAATAACCAGGAATTAAAGTCTTCAGTTCCCAAATCAGAAAGTATAAGAAAATGACCTTTTCATCCATTTTTTGATAATTATTAAACTATACAATGTAGATCATAGGCTGATTCAACCAACTTGAAACAAATGAAGGCAGCACAAGAAATGACTACTACATCCAAACTTTGTTAGATGTAATGACTTCATTCAAGTACATATTGATGAAAAGTAACCCAACAACTTCAATCAGGGATGTAATGGTTGATAACCAGAAAAATGGGGTGCTCCTTTGCCCCTGAAATGAGTTTCAAATCAAATAAGATATGAGCACTCTAAATGAGCTTGACAAGACAAAGGTTTATGAAGACAAGGTGAAAAATTTAATGTGTGATGATATTCTTAATATGAAGTAGCAGTCATGATAACTAAGTAAAAATAAAATTAGATGAATGAGACTGGTGCAGATATGATATGGCATGCCCATATTAACAAAATTAAAAATTTTAACAACACAGAGGTTGAAGAAATTTGGCACTCTGCACTTGAAGCACCATGAGGTTGATGGATATGATTCCAAGAAATAGATCCTTTTGAATAACAAGGCATGTCATTTTAACCCATTATCACTTGTGGAACATGGGTGGAATGAAGCCTTCACACTTGAAATAAGCCCCAGGCGGAAACAGGCATGCTGTACTTGCACCATGTCATCAATCAAAAACAGAAAAATGGAATAGACTGTTTGACATGAAGTGTACAACTGCAACTAGTGAAGCAAGAAAGAGCTTTGTTGTCAGCATTTCTGCAATAAGCACTTGTTACTGAACTTCATGCAAAGATATTTTAAGGTTTGTGCCAATGGATGTGTATCGTTTACCGAGTAAAATAAATCTCTTCTTTGCCTGCTGAGGCCAGGACAAATAATCTGCAACATAATGGTGATCCATAACAAATTATGAACGGTCCACAGAACAAGATAGTTGATGAAACAACTAAGACTACTGGAACACTCGTGTTGAGTTTAAATTTTCCAAATGCTTTCAAGAGAATGCCCAGAAAATGCAACTGTATTCTTCAATAGAAAAAATAACTTTAAAGGATTCCATATGTTGTGTCATGAATGCTCCTTTCTCTCGTTATATTACTAAGTTTAAAAATAATGTAACATCACTGATTTTGAAGCTCAACCCTCTGTATGTCATCTGAATTTATCAAATGATGAAATAAATTATGAGAGGATGAGCTATTAACATTCAAATATTTTACGTTTTGATAAGACAGGTCAGTGATATCCCCAGGAGAATTCTTTAATGTAATGCCATAAATTAGTTATTTTAAAACAGATTTGAACAGTCAGAATAAAACAAGCTTAGGTTTTTTAAAGAACTGATACCGGTACCATCCTAGAATTTTTGTATTTGGTAACTGCCTATGATTCCAAGGCTAGAAAGAAAGTATGGTTATCAGAAAGGAGTATGTTTTAAAGCATGGCTTAATTACTGACATCATTAATAAACAGTTTGTTGTGCAAAAAATATAAAAGATGTAAAGAATATCAACAATGAAAAGATCATATCTCAAGGACTTGGTACAATCAGGGAAGTCTAATTCAGATATCCCAGTCCCCAAGTTACCTGAGTTTTATAACAGCATTTGCAACAACAAAAAATAATAGCTCCTGAATTATTTTAATTTTGTAAAGCCCATGGGTAATGATTACTTTTTAAATAACACAGTAAATAAAAATGATTGAGAAAGTAGTGCCAAGATTATTTAGAGGAAATATTTATTTGTATCAGCTGATTTGAAGAATTTCAACACTACTACAATTACAATAAGACACCTTTTTTGTTCTGCCTTTTTCTACATTCATGTTACCAATGAGAAAATTTTTGCAGGTGATAGGGAGGTTTAGATTGTTTGAAAGAGAATTTTATTATGGCGTATTTACAATTTGACAATAAATTTAAGTATTAATAGGTTAATATTAATATATAAATTTTATAGAAACACATTTCCTTTAATACTTTTTATATTTTAATCCAACAGAGTAAATAATATTAAAGGGCCAAATAGCTTTAAAATATTTTGAGTAGTGTTTCAGCAAAGGCTATAAATCTTAAACACACATTAACTTAAATTCAGATGTAAGCTTCACAGTATTACAAGATAATAATTCATATCTGTTTATATGGCCCAGTCAGGGTTATTTTCCTTACTTTCAAAAGAATGCAAAGATGTACATAGTTAAGCTGGAAAAATAAAAATACTGATGCACAATACTGATTTTATAACTGAAACTGTCAGCATTTTTAAAATTAAAAATATAACTCCATCACTTGAATGAAACACTTTCACTTTCAATGTTTACTCACCTTTATAGGCATAAAGCTGACGTAATTTCTCTGCCTTTTCTGTACTGAACTCAAAAGTCAGTTTACCTGGAAGATAATTCATTTAAATAATGATTTTATAATTTTATATTGGGATAACCCTTGTACTACTCACACTTTTGAACCTCCTGTTTGCAGGCTGAAAAAATTAAAACTCAATCAGAAAGCCAAGCTGATCAGATTAAATATATATATGGGGAGAAAACCATACTTAACACAGCCAAGAACTTAGAACCAGAATACAGAAACTCTAAAAAAGCAATAAAATTAATGATAAAAACAGAGCTAAAAGGGATACAATTCAAAAGTCAAGTTAATTTTTCACTTTGTGCATGAAACATGTATAAATAGCCAACCTAATACCAAGAGATTACAGGTTTTTAGAACAGATGTTAAAAAAGATCACAGATGATATAATAAGGGAAAGATCAGAAAGTGATCTGTGAGGCAGAAAATACAGAGAAGGAAACAGAGATGAATTGGCAATACACTGGGGGAAAAAAAGCAACTTTAACTAGACATTCTTTGTCATTAATTCCACAGGGTAACAGAAAGACCACATGATGATGGGTCCACACATGAAAGGACAAGCTGGAAAGAATATCTGAGAACTGAGATTTTACAAAATGGTTTCATTATTGCATAGAGTTGACACAAAACTTTAACTCTTGTTCACATAAACCATGAAAGCATAAAAATTTAAAACCACCTATTCAAGCCCAAGCTTTTAATTTGATTTCATTTTTTTTAAATGTCTTTTGATGTTTTAGGCAAATTTTTGTTGTATTTAATAATAATAATTAGTGGTCTTTTATGGCGCGGTATCCCAGCCTAGAGCTGGGCTCACCGCGCTGTACATAAAAATATTATCAAAAGAGACATAATCATGACATTAAAATCAAATGCAATTATGAAATAAAGAACAGCATGAACCCATGACTTTTACAAGGCAAACCAGGACGGCAGCCAACAAGATCATTTATCGGTCAGAGGAGGGGAATCACTCAGGGTAGTTTAGTTTAAAGAGATGTGTTTTGAGTGCAGTTTTGAAGGCCTGGGTGGTTTATTATATTGCGGATGTGTAGTGGCAAAGAATTCCATTGTTTGGGGGCGCAGAAAGAGAAAGATCGTTCACCATATGTTTTAGTGTTTGTCTTGGGAATGGACAGAATACATGTGTCTGCGGAGGAGCGAAGATGTCGAAGGGGTGAATAGACAGAAAGAAGTTCGCTTAGATAGGAAGGACAGGAATCCGAGAAAAGGTTGTGACAGAGAACAGACAACTTGTAGCCAATGCGTGCCTGTATAGGGAACCAATGAAGGGAGTGAAGTATGGGAGTGACGTGATCACGTTTTTTTGCCTTTCTTTACTTTACCACCAATTACAAGAATCATAGAAATATACAAGGCACTTTCTTTAATAGATTAGTGAAAAATGTGAGTTGTTGAAAAAAAGATGTAAGGTTTTAAGGCACAGATTGTATTTTTTGTCAGTTTTAAGCGCCTACTGCCTATTGTGCCCCTTTTCACCCTCCCTACTTCCTTAATATTCAAAAAAGCACCATGTCACATGTATGGTGTTTAGTTATGTTATGGTACACCTAGCAACAAACTATGAAAAATTTGTCTGCTAAAATTTACTGCTACTTTCAGGAGAATGTGGCCCCCTTTTAAATTTTTTAACCCTTTACGGGGCAGAGCGGCCGAAAACGTCTTTACCACTTAAAGGGCAAAACGCCCAAAAGCGTCCGTGACGACTTAGTGTTGTTTTCTTGTGACCTCCGAGGCTTTCCAAGACTTCCTATTGTTTACATCTGGTTTTTCCGATAGCTAAATAGAGTAGGCGCTAGTTACAAGTATTTAATCGATTTTTTTTAGTTTTAGTGGGTTTAAAAAAAAAAAATTTCTAAATGGATTTTGCCGATTATTCAAGTGATAGCGGAGATTTCGCTGGATTCAAATAAAGTGACATTTAAGTGCACTAATTGACTGTAAATTGGAACTAGATGTTTATATTATTAGTAATATTAGTGAAATCAGCGTAGTAAGCAGTGTTGAATTTTACAAACTTCGATTTTGTGGCAGTGTTTGTTAATAGTAAATAGATGACTCACAATCACAAACAATATGTTGTTTTTGCAAATATTTTTGTTCATATAAGGATTAATGGCAAAATGTGAGTACAATTATAAATCTGCATTCATTTTCCTTTATTTTGCTTTTTATTTCACACAAATTTGTTGACTAAAACCTTAGATTTGACTTTTTTTGTAACATAACCCTAAATTTTACTAAAAAACGGAAAAGTGGTGCCCGTTGAGGACATGCAAAGGGTTAATTGTATTATTTCTATCTTCTTTCATGAAAAAGTTAGAGTTCAAAGTTCAGTAGGGGCACTCCAAGCTCAAGTGAAGTTCACTTGACTAGCATGTTTAAATGATGAAACAATAAAAAAGATTGATGTAGAATCTATTGAAATTAATTTAGGAAGTCATACTGATAATCATATAAAGTTGTATCTGAAACAGACATTAAAAGCAATACTGGTACTCTGGAACTTTTGAAAATGCATCGATAGTCAATTTCAGATATTTTAATTCAAAGATTATTCTCTAAATAACCATATTTTTAAATCAAGATTATTAAATTTCATTCATTTTTATACTTAACAAAAATTTAAATAACAATGACTCTGCATGTTTTATATTTTCTTTCTTTCTTTTTAAATTAAAAATAACATTACATTTTAAAGTGGAATTCAAACAATCCTTGTCCCATTACTGGTGTACCTAAGCGTTACCCCATAATTTTGCATAAAAAATCATATCTATAAAATGTTGATGTTTAATTCTAAATTTAAAAAAACTATTAATTTTTTCCCCAACATTTCTAGAAAAAAAAATATTTTTAAAAATACTATAAAAATGTAATTATAATGTTTTAGGGACTTAGCTATTATAACCATTACATCTTTAAAGTGGAATCATTTTTGATAACTACTGGTAACACAAACTGCCATTTGATTAATTGGAATCAGCTGATGTATCTATTATCAACCTATTAATCTCATCTGTGCGATCTGATATCAAGGTCTCATTTTTGGATACATAAGCTGGACCAAGAAGAAGTAGTAAGAAAAAAAAATTAAGGATTTTTATCCTAATAAAATTTGTTTCATCTTTTGACTTAAATAAATATCTGAGGACTTGACAATAAATTTATTCAAAATATATTTGATGCATTGTTCATAAAAAATATTCTTACAAACCTGTTAATGATTTTCTCCATCTGTCTTTCAATTCACCTTTCTTTGTTGATGGTCTGATTTCAAAACATTTTATCATCCCTTCAACCCACTGGTTGCCTGAAAGTACTGGGAGCTGACTCATTCTTTGTAGGGCAGATTGAAGACTTGATGCATTTTCAAAATATAAGACAACAGATCTAGGAAAAAATATTGATCTTGTACAAAAACAGGCAGTTTTTATGCAAAAATAAGCAGTAATTTTGTCAAAAAATTATCAGCCTTCCATCAAATCATGGCACACAACTTTCACATAATTTATTTTATTTTGCAACAAAAATTATCTCAATTTTAAAATAATATAAACTTATTGTGCTATTTGGAGTATCTGATGGTTCCAATGTTTTTACGCTTAAGGGTGGAAATGGGTATAAGGTCTCACCAAAAGTAAAACTTTCTCTATGGCAAGTATCTCATATACCATCTAACAACTTAGTCCAGCTTTCATAATTCCATAAGCCTTAAAGTTATGTACTATTTCATGTAGAATGAAAGTATGAGTTATGGAAAGATGTTAGAAACATTTATCTAAAGACATGGAAGATAAAGTTCTTTGAAGACTGGTTTCAAGGGTTAAAATTTAGTTGTTTTTTTAAAACTGAGACTATTCCACATTGTTTATATAGTAATTATACAAGAGTCAAGGTACTTACCCAATTAATGTTAATGGGTTAGGTGATTTCCCACTTTTGGTAAAATATACAGCACAATCACTTGCCAAGTTGATAAATTTCCTGAAAGCTTCATTAGCAATATCAGACTTGTTGATATTACTCAAGTGAAGTTCATATCTTTGTTCTGGAATATAAGATCATAATTCAAGTAATTCACAGAAAAGCACCAACATTTACAGTTTTTCTTCTTGCGACGAACAGTTCTAGGACATTTATGTATTATATATGTCAGATAAGAAATATTAAAGATCTAAGAGTTCAAATACAAATTTTAATTATCCAGTAGCTCCAGACGGAAAAAAAAATATTAAAAAATCACATAATTTTAGAAATAAAAATAAATTAATGTCTTACTGCTTGGTCTTGGATTTTCTTTTTTGTTAATGTCTTTAACTTGGTGCGGCTGCACAACTTGTTCAGGCCGATCCAGTTTAGGCCTTTTAATTTTGCCTCTTTCTGACCTTAAAGAATCTGATGAATGTCGACGTTTATTCTTATCTTGGAGTTTGTGACTTTTTTCATCATCCGCTTTGTCATGGGCAGCATTAGCTGAATCTGTTTCGATCTTTCCATTAGAGTTGTGATGATGTCGAGCTTTGCTTACAGAAGAAGAATCTGCTTTTGGGTGATCTTTTTTGTCTGAACAAGACAATTTGTTTTCTTTGACAGTTAATAAAACCTTTTTAACTCTATTGCTCTCATCGTTTACAACGGCCGAGTTATTATCCTCATAATCTGTAGTGTGTTCTTTTTTAACTTGTTTTGTGTTTGAATCTTTTTCTTTAGAAATGTCTTTCTTTTCCCCTGATCTTTTATAATTGTATCTCCCCGAAGAGTAATCCTCTTGTTTGATCTCATTTTCCAATTTAACATATTTATCTTTGCTGATATTAGTCTTCACATCATGTTTTACTTTTGTCTTTTCATTGGCTTTTTTGTCAGTTTTGTCTTTCTCTGGTTTCAAAAATTCTTCACTGTCGGATAGAGATATATCTGACACAGAAATGTCAGAGATAGATTCATCTTCATCATACCAAGTTTTTTTCTTCAGTTCAGATTTAGACATGGTTTTTCTAATAGAGCTAGCACTAAAGATTTTTCTGAACTTAATGTCTTTAGTAACATCACATGTTCCTGAGGATGTCAGGCGACTTTCTAATCTTGTCAACATCACAACTGGATTCATGGAGCGAATGCTTAAACCAACAAATGAACTTGTAGCAGCACTAGTACTCGACAATACTGGAGATTGGGACAACAGTTCAAGTGAAGTTGTCTGAATTTTATGGGTATGATTTTTATCATTTCCTGAGGTCAAATGTTGACCTACAGAAGTTTGAGAACTTTCAACAATAGCAGGTGTCACCAGGTTCAAAGCATCCCTTGTATCTGCAACAGCTATTTCCATTTCTTCTGTATGCTTGCAATTGTCATTTTCAACAGATTTAGACATAGCTAGTGACCTGTATGTAAAGAAAATATTTTTAAAATTCAAATTTCTTTCCACACTGCACGTTTCATCAAAAAAAATTAAGCAGTTTTAATTATGCAATAAATTATAATTTTAAGTAAATAACTAATTGTTAAATTTAAAAGACAACTGCCACATCAAATGCTTTTTACCACTATGTCTACGACATAACCAATTCATTCACAGCGACGACAGAAAAATGATGATTATTTATTGATATGATTATATATTGTGCTTTCTAAAAGGGTATTAAGAATGAGTTATGGATAATTTATTATACTACCAACTACCATATTACATAATTATGATTATACAGCTACTAGTTGGGTTAAAGTTAAAGGGAGTAAAAGTAAATAATAGACAAGTGAAGAAACAGTACTTAGTTTCCCTGAATCCCAAACAATGACTCCTTTCCTGGATGTGGGAAATAACCTCTTAATGCCACCTAGAAAGATTAAGTCATTGAGCCTTGAGCATAGGCAAGAATAACTAAGGCAATCGCCGTTGTAAACATGGGAATTGTTTTTTAAATATGTTCTTAATAGGCAATCCAGGAAAGCATTTTTTTGGTTGCGCTTTTTTTTTTTAAAAAGCGCAACCAAAAAATATGCATGTTTATCATCAGAAAAAGGCATCACTCTTTCATTTGGTTCTAGGGAAAGGTCCTGATGTCCTTCTCCCTTACTGGATTTGCTGTTAATAACATACCTCAAAATAACACCTGGTTAAATGGCCTAAACCAAGACCAAAAGACTAACTTGGGACTCATCTTACTCCAAGTAACCCAAATTGTAGCTGTATGACTATGATTAATTATGAATAGTTTGTTGCACATCATCCTTCCCGTGCTCCACTTTTAAAAAATATATGTGAGAGGCTGTCGATAAATTGAAACAAAAAGAACTACTGCTACTTAGTAACTATGGGTCTAAATATAAAAAGCCCTACTGCTATTCTTGTAACTATGGGTCTAAATATAAAATGCCCTACTGATATTCTTGTAACTCTGGGTCTAAATATAAAATGCCCTACTGATATTCTTGTAACTATGGGTCTAAATATAAAAAGCCCCACTACTACTCTTGTAACTATGGGTCTAAATATAAAAAGCCCTACTGCTACTGTTGTAACTATGGGTCACGATTGTACCAAGTGTCCAGAAAAAGTCTCTCAGACGCCTAAATGTCCCATTTCTAAAACCAAACACATTTTCAAATCCCTAAACTTTCATAATTTATAATATAACTTCAAGTAATATTTTGGCTAGCTGTGTAGCCAGTGCCAGTAGTGAAGTGGGCTCGCGCGATGGCTTCTTTGTTCCCCCTCCACCACTCTTCTGCATAAATGACAGTGTCCCTGCCACTGCCATAGATCTTATATGTATAAATAAATAAGTATTCACTGCAAAATTATAGTTTTCGTTTATATGCATCAGAGTTTAAATTAAATTACAAAAGTGACAGTAAATTTAACAAGATTTCTGGGTCTCAAAATAGTTCAAATGAGCATATTTCAATAAACAGTTTTCGGCAGAGGCCCCCGGAACCCTCTTTAACTGGAGGTGATCCCCCCCCCCAAAACCCGTTTTTTTCCAGTTCATGAATTGGGTACCCTAGTCTAAATACTAAAAGCCATACTGCTACTGTTGTAACTATGGCTCTAAATATAAAATGGCATAAACAAATTATTTGTAACCCTGCAGTATAGTCGTAGGATGCGAGTCTCAGGAATAAAGTTCCCTTTCAGATCATGTTGGCTACCCATGGGGCAATTGAAGCAGCATTCACCAGTTTCTGTGGCTATGACATACTGAGTGTGTGGCCAGCACAATGTCAGCCACCTTTACTTTCCCCATCTAATGCCGGGAACCCACCAGAGTTGGGTAGACTCAGGGACACCCTCAAGAAGCAGGAAAAATCCTAGCCTTCACCAGGATTAGATTCTGAGACCCCGGTTGGCTAGTTGAACGCGCTGCCATTTAAATTATATTATATTTCAATGTAGGGCCTATATGCCACTGCCCCTCCCCAGGCCACCTGATGCAGCCACCTCTCTGCATCATAACACTAGCATGGCATGGCCTTGCAACTATTTGACAGAAAATTTCTGGACTAGGTGAAATATCATAGTGCTTTAAAAAACTAAATGGTACCCATCACATAGGGCATCATTTAAGACCTCTCTAAAATGGATAATTGTAAGTCTACATGAAGAATTGAAACATGCAACTGACTCCCCACTCCCTTATAAAGGCAAGGGAAACTTCAGAGCCATGGAACCAGTCTCACTTAGCTACATATTTTTATTACTATAATATTTAACATGAAATACTAGAAAATTAGAGTTATGTCTAGGAGGATCGACTGGGTATATTAGTAACATTCTCTAGGCTATAGACTATAGGTTGAAACCTATGAATGCCCCTAACACAGCAGATGTAGGCACAATTAATTGCCCTACATCCATTATATAGGCTATAGCTAAGCCTATTAACAAGTTTTATTTAATTTGTGCATAGCTTCGGTTTAAAAATGTGTTTGTGCCATGCTCATTGAAGATCCATATCTCATACACTACTTAACACTCCAACCCCCAAATCCCCCACCCCCCCCGATTATGATCCTAATTAGTTCTAGAAATTTGCTTAACTATGCGAAATTTCTGTCTGCCGATAACACCCTGCATTATTCGAAGATTTTGTTCTGATGATAACGCTCGGAATTATTCGCAGAGCTGTGCAGATAACGCTTCCCATTATATAAACCAAATCAGAAATGGAATATACGAACACTCAGTTGTGGTTCAGGGCAGCAAAAAATTTTTTTTGATCCAAATTGTTTAATTTTTTTTAAATTTTGAAATTGTTTTAGTTTTTCTATTTATAAATTTTGCCTTGGATAATTTCTATTATACCGTATTTTCCGGCGTATAAGACGAACTTTTAACCCATGAAAATCTTTACAAAAGTCGGAGGTCGTCTTATACGCCGGGAGTCGCCTTATGAGCTGGTGTACAGCCCAAACCCTAGATTTTAACAGGAAAAGTAGGAGGTCGTCTTATACGGCCAGTCGTCTTATACGCCGGAAAATATGGTACATGTTTTGAAATGAATATGCCAGTTTTAAAAGAAAGGTAAATTTGGAGAGATAGCACCGTGGCCGCCATCTTGGTTACCGTGACATGTGAACTTATGTTTTATGTCTTAAATGTATCCCTAAACCTAACCTGAACCCTAAAAATGTATCCCTAAGCCTAACCTGAACCCTAAACTTATCCCTTGCCTTATTATAGGTACTTTGATTAGAAAATTAAAACTTTTTGTAAAAATAAACCAATGGCATAGTTGCATAGAGCTAATTTTTAAAGAATAGGTAAATTTTGATTACGATTGCCACTATTTTCTCAATGGCCGCCATCTTGGTTAACACGTCACGTGAAGTCATCTATCCCTATGCCTAACCTGAACCCTAAATCGATCCCTATGCCTAACCTGAAACCCTAAATCAATCCCAATGCCTAACCTGAACTCTAAATCGAACCCCATGCCTAACCTGAACCCTAAATCAATCCCTAAAATAATTTAGTAAAAATAAACAAAGGGAAGTCACTCCCTGGAAAATAAGTCGCGTCAATCGTAATTAGGATTAGCCAAATCATATTTTTAGAGCTATTGTAGTTTTAAAGTTATGAATTTTTAAAGTACGACTTCGTTTGTCCTTTTTTAACATGGACTGCATCTCCACATTCTGTGACCTGATTCCGCTGTTCACGTCACGAGCTATATAACTCTTGTTTTAATGATAATTTTATGCGACTTTTATTTTCAGAACTAATGCTGTATTAACAAATAATTTAATAATGTTATAAAATTATATATAAATTATAGTTTATCTAACTATGCACTACCCCTTATGTATAACAATAAATTTAAAATAATGTATTACTATATGGCTTTTCTGTTTACCAAATCTTCAGCGTCCATTTACCGGTATATGCTATAGAGTCTATATAAGGCAACGCCCCCCAGCCACCCCTTAAAATGTTTTGTTAGGGATCTACTTATTTTGAACTTTCAACTTTGGCACATGACTAACTAACTAAAGCTTTCCCTGACCAATGGTGTTAATAGTTTTTGCACACGGCAAACTCTTATGAATGAAACTTGAGGTAGTACTATGGCATAGCATTATGCAAATGGCTGTGAATGGTTTCCCCATGACTTTTAGCACACGGTCAATTCTGATTGTTAATAATATGGACTCTACAGGGTTTTTAAAGCTCAAATTTAAAAATTCTAGTTTAAATGTCTTCAAAATGCATTCTGAAACACAAGTTATCAAAATATTTTGATGTATATAGAGGTAATAATGAATATCTCCTAAGCTAAGTATCTGCGTTTTCCGCCATTCAAAAAGAAGTATCGGCGTTTTCCGCCATTTAAAAGGGGCCAAAACGGCCTGTGCAACCTTTGCATAATGAGGTCAACGTTGAGGAGTATTGTGAAAATGTTTCATGAGCTATCTAAATGAAATTTTGCACACATGTACTTCAACAAATGGTAAATGCATAGTCATCGCCCCGGGGTTTCCCATCATGGCGCCCGCCATCTTTGTTGACACGATCAGTGAGAAGGTCACGGTCCATGTCAACCAAGATGGCGGCTGAGTTAAAAAAAAAAAAAAAAAAGAACAAAAACGGTGGGGGAGAAAGAGTTTAAAAAACAACTAAAAAAAAAAAAAAAAAAAAAGAAAATTAAAATAAAAATCAGTGAGAAGGTCACGGTCCATGTCAACCAAGATGGCGGCTGAGTTAAAAAAAAAAAGTAGTGCAAAGACGGTTGGGGAGAATGTGTTTTATCAACTACTTACAGAAATATAGAAAAATAAGCAATTTAACATGAAAATTTAATTGGGGAAAAAAGGGAAACCACACAAATTTATAGCATTTTGTAAAAGTGCGTTTCAAGAAAATGTAAAATTTAAAGAAATTGGAAAAAAAAATTTTATGAAAAAGCGAAAAAATCATCAAAAAAATTGTTTTTTTTAACATTTTTGAAAAATGTTTTAAAAAATGATAAAATTTTCCCTTTCATTGCTTGATTATTTATAATTTTCAATTATCATAGGTTGGCTAATTATCATATTTTATTTGTGCCACCATCTTTTAAACATGTCAGCCCAATGCCGGCTGTTGCGCTCTATTCAGCGCTCAATTCATTTGTGCATGTTATTTTCTTTGGAACCTGAAATAAAGTGTGTAAAAGTGTATTTCATGAAACTGGAAGTTGGGTTTTAATTATTTCATAGTTTTTAAAAATATTTTTGGCCATTTTCTTGTTGGTTTCTGTTCATTTTCATAGTTTTATTGCCACTGCCAACTCATGTGTTAATACTTTTGGCAGTAAGCTTTGGGGAGTGGTTCTGGGGAGGGGTTCATTTTAAAGGGCTAGCTATAAGCTTTACAACAACACTAATTTCATCTTTCTATCTGTTATAGAAGTGGAGTTATGATTTTTTTGGTGATTTTTAAACACCCCTTCTTTGTCTTAGTATTTAACTGAAAAAACGTGTGACCCATTTTCAAAATTTCTGCCTTATTTTACCAAAAACTTTTTGATTTTAAAAGATAATGCTACCAAATTTTCAGGAGACATTCTCAATGCAATATATTGAATATACAGTACAATAAACAACTTAACTTTTATATAACATTAAGACTTTTATTTTTTAATGAATTTATTTGTGGGTATGTTCAGAAAAAACTGAACAGAAAAATTGGGAAAATCATTCTTTATACAGGAAAATATTTTTTTTAAAAACATATTTATTGAATTTTAACTAATTTTATTAAGCTTGTGTTAAATTTTAAATAAATTATTATATTTATAAAAAGGTAAGTAGTCTTTTTTATTTATAAAATTGAACGCATGTATATATAAATAAAAATTACTCAAATAAAATCATCCATGATGATAATAATAATATGAATATGATAATTATGAGACTAATTCATTAAAAAATGTTATTTGATCTATTAAATAATTGTCTACGTACTGCTTTTCTATGTCCTAATAAAAATATAATTGCTATGATGATGTTGTTTGAGTCTTGTTTATTAATTTGATGTATTTTAATAAAACTGTTATATATAACTTATAGGCTTGTAATAGAATTAGATTAAGAAAAATTAAGCTTAGGCCTAGGCCTAAATAAAAATAGACAATTATAGGATTATCATAACAGTTTTTTATAATTATAACTGATAATGATATGTAGGCCTAATTTTAGTAATATTCTCTGAAATAATTAAGAGAAAAACGATTATTATTATCCATATTACTATTGTAAAACTATTTAATATTGATTCAATAATGAAAACACGATAAACTGTGTACCGGTGCCGTACACAATTTTTAACGTAATAAATAAAACTTAACCAAGGGTTGGTAACTACATAAACTTTTCAAGTTTGGTTATAATCTTTCCTTAAAATGATTCATTTTAAACGTCTTATAATTATTTAGATGTTTAAGTTTAAGGATTTAACATTAACGAATCACAGTGATAGCAGCCATTTCCGGCTTCTCAATCAAAATAAACAAATAATGATAATTTCATACCCCCACTTTTTATCAACGATAAAAACTCAAAAAAAGAAAAAACTCTTACAATGAATGTAGATTAGGGAGCACTAAACCTTATTTTGGTGGCTTTACTAGTAAAAAAGTATTTATACGATTTATATACTAACCGAGTCATTATAATAATACTGCCCGTGATGCAAACAAAATATCGTAGCATAAATCAATATATGACCGGAACACAAAAACTGATACGTCAGTGATGAGGAAAGCAATTATTTAACAAACAAAGGTGACGTAGTATGCAATTTTCCAATGATACCATGTAGCTGTACGCCAACTTTGCAGAACACATAATTTCGACATTTTAGGACATGCGCAGAACGGTGCGTGGACAAGTATTGCTATCCCTACTCCTAGTAACGTTAATGGGCAGACCTTAATTATGGGCCAAAAGGAATCCTAATTTATTCAAATAACATGCACGTGAAAAAATTAAAAACTCTGATTCTATTGCGCCGAGGCCCATTTCCGATACAAATTTACTAGGAGTGTCCCTTGCTTCGGCAGAGTACATACCATTATCCCTAGCCTAATGAGGCTATTTTTGCCCCTAGGATTTTGAGACGCTATTTTTGGTGTGCTGGATGATAGGGTTCACTAAAAAATTATTTTTTCGAGCTAGAAACGTCGGATCAACGAACGAATTACTGTTCTAGTTACGTTAATGAACGGGCTTTAACGATATCCATTTTGTTTTCAGTAATATCAGTATGTTGTAAATAAAAAAAAATGTGAGAAAGCAGCTAAGTCTAATTTATCAATATTTTGAAAACTATTCGTTGTCCCATTTTAAATCGACCTGGTGTACCTGTAGAATTGTATCAAAAATGACCATGTAAAATTTCAAGTCTCTAAGATGGCCATAACAATGTTATTTTTGGCCAGAACGGATATAAATCTTGAAAAGAAAAAAAAAATGTCCGAAAACGAAAGTGACAAACCGGAAACAGTATTATTTAACAATAGTTGACAGATAAGAAAGCCCAAGAAATTTTATAATGCTTCAAGCAATCAAGTTCCATCTTAATTAGTATTAGGTTTTTATTGTAATAAGAATTTAGTAATATCTATTAGGGGTGTGCCGGACCCCGGTCCGGAATCCGGTTCCGCCGGATTTTGCACTATCCGGTGAAATCCGGTTCCGCCGGATTTACATGTATCCGGAACAACCGGATTCCGGAATCCAGAATATACCGGATTTCGGAATTTGCCAGATTTTGTGACTCACCGGATCATAATCTGAAATAAAAGTAATTCTCTTTCCCGAATTTCACACGATCACGATACATTAATCGATTGTTTCGAGCGTTGAGCTTGTTTAATGTTTAATATTCCGTACATACCAGAGGCTAGAGTCAGCACCGCTAATAGTGGCCAATAGTGTAGGGACTTTGATAAGAAAATTTAAACTTTTTGTAAAAATAAACCAATGGCATAGTTGAAAAGATGTAATTTTTTAAAGAATTATAACACCAAAATCATATTTTTAGCTGTTGTAGTTTTAAAGTTATGAATTTTTAAAGTACGACTTGGTTTGTCATTTTTTAACATGGACTGCATCTCCACATTCTGTGATCTCATTCCACCAATCCCGTCATGCGCAATGACTATATAGTTTATATAAGGCAACGCATTCCCTGCCTTATCACTAAAATACTGTTTAGACTTAGTTTAAACTTTCAACTTTGGCACATGAATAATTAATTAAAGCTTTCCCTGACCAATGGTTTAATAGTTTTTGCACACGGCAAACTCTTATGAATGAAACTCTGAGGTAGTACTACGATACAGTTATGCAAGTGGCTGTGAATGGTTGCCAATGACAACGTGTTGCACACGGTAAATTCTGATCATTTATAATATGGATTCTACCGGGTTGTTAAAGCTCAAATTAAAACATTCCAGTTTAAATGTCTTTAAATGCATTCTGAAACACAAGTTATCAATTATTTTGATGTAAATAGTGATAATAAATTAATATTTCCTAAGTATCGTCAACTTCCGCCATTAAAAAGGGGGGCGTGGCCAACCCCATGGCGAAATTAGGTTGAGCGAGCTGCATAACCTGCTGCGAACGCGTAGAAACATGGCGTCTCTCGTAAGACACTTATCCAAATGGAACGGAACTCAAATATATATCGAAAGTACTAATTTAATAATAAATAGACACACACATCGGAAAATTAAAAACTCGGATTTTTTGGCGCCGATTGCGAATTCCCATACACAAAAAGTAGTAGTCCACCTTGACTTACCGAAGTATCTACCAATAGTACCAAAATCCGGAATCCGGGAGAAACCGGAATCCGGATCCGGCGGATTTCGCATAAGAAAATCCGGATCCGGTTGGAAAAAACGGATCCGGCACACCCCTAATATCTATACAATAATAGATATATTAATTAATATTTTATCAGATATTGTTCCATTTCAATTTAAAGCATAATTTTTATTGGAAAATTGCCTCTGTTATATTCCCTGTTTTAAAATAAATTACGTTTGGTCTTAATTTTTTTAATTTTTTTTTTTAAAGTTTTTTTTAATGACATTAAAAAATATTTTTAAAATATTCTATTGATTTTTTTTTAGTTTTTAAAGCAACAAAGATGTTGATAATATGATGATGAACACTTCTGGAAAGTTTCATATTATTTGTCCATTCTGCTATAAAGTTATGAGCCTTTTCGTAAAAAAATTGTGAAAAGAGGTCACAAATCTCTATGAATGTAAAAAAAGTGATTTTTTATTCACAAAAAAAAAATCATATCTTTTTAACCGAAAGTGCTACATGAAAAATGAAAACATATTATTACTTCATTTAACAAGGGCTATCATACAGATGTGTTCATTTCATAATTCATTCAATTTGAAAATTTTATCCAAGTACCTAGCCTAACCTGGGTTTTGACTCTATCGGAACCAGGGTTTAGACCCTATCGGAACCATGGTTTTGACCCTGTCGGAACCAGGGTTTTGACCCTATCGGGGTAATCTACCACTTGAGCGTCGGCCAAGAAAAAATCCAGCTGTGCCGGTTGGAAGGGCTTTTTAAATAAACACTTATTCATATATTAATTATTTTTAATGACATACATTGTGCTTATTCATTCCCATAATAATAGTACTAATACAAATACACAAAAACATTTTTTTAATAGAAAAACTATTAAAAAAATTTGAAATAGAAAAATGTAAACAATTTAATGTTTGAAAATGGAATTATGCATAGTTCTCCCCAAGGCGACAATGAAGTTTTTTTTTTTTTAAAATGGGAAGCGTTATACGCAGTCGGCTGCGCATAACCCTGAGAGTTATACGCAGTCGACTGCGCATAACCCTGAGGGTTATTCACAGCCGACTGCGCATAACTCTCAGGGTTATGCGCAGTCGGCTAGGAATTTAGCCAAATAAGGTTTATCAATCGCTTGTTTGGCAATTTAAAAAAAAAGTATTATGCGTAATGAGCTGCATGATGGGTTGTTTTGTACTAGAACTTTGAATGTGTTTAGCGTAAAATTTTAAGTGAATTAATTTTAATTAATATTGAAATTGTTGATAGCAATATTATTAGTATTAGTGCTATAATTAGTATTATTGGTTGTATCTTATATATTATAATTATAAGTATAAGTCAAAGTCTACATTTCTTAGAGTCTAAGCCTAAAGCGGTCTAAGTCTAGTTATGTATTTTGATTGATTAGGTTTTTATATGTTGCTATGACTATGTGGTTGGTTTTACTGACTAATTCAGGAAATACATTCTATTTTTTTTTTTAAAATTATATCATTTATGATTTTTTTTTTTTGATGACCTAAATGTAACAGTTTTCAGCTTCCGTGCAAAACTATAACTGTGCATTACTTACAGTGCCCCCTCTACAGAACCCCTGCCCCTACATACAGCGATTTTTTTACTGCTACTCTCAACCCATGATTATGATTATATTTATTACTGTACCAGAGAAACATAATTTAATCTGCCACAAAATTAGTTAACAACACAAAATATATGTTAATAACACAAACATATATTTGATAATTATAAGAATAACATTATTAACATTACATTGGTCAAGTTAATAATTCTTCTCATGTTTTAACATTTTTTAGCCAAAACATAAGTAAAACAATAAGCCTAGTTGATTTTGCTTCATTCTCGAGAACAAACATAGTAACTGACACGTATTAATGGCTTGCCGTTGGCTGGAATTGAACTCAAGACCACCAACTTGAGGTTTGGTCAGTTTGTACCATTTGACCACCCAGTCAACCCGATACGTAGCACCTTATTGATTGATACTGTAACACAGGAAGAATATAGACCTCACGTGACTTGCCGACTGCGTATAACTCTCAGGGTTATACGCAGTCGGCTGCGCATAACCACTTCGTTAAAAAATATAAGTTCCACGAAATCGGTTGACGTACATGAATTCACGTAAATATGACGGGAAAGATCACAGCTTGTGCCAAACTGTCTTTTCAGTTTACGCTTTTTGAGCATCCACATTTTCCACATTCTGTGTGTGGACATCCGCGTCATCTGGATCAAAAAAAATAATTGTAGTCTCTTTTTCTTCCTGTCATATCGGTAGCTTGGCAGTAATAATTATTTAAATGTATTAGTATTGTAGTCGTAGTATTGTGCTATATAACTTTATAGCCTCTATACGGAAGCAAAATTATTAACAGACTCCAATGTAAGAATAGTTATTTAAATAGCCCTTCCAACCGGTACAACTGGATTTTTTCTTGGCCGACGCTCAAGTGGTAGATTACCTCTATCGGAACCAGGGACAAACGCAATGACGTCAGGGTGCTACTCTCCAAATTAGCCCAAAAACATAATTGTTTAAATAGCACTTACAAACGGAACAACTGGAAATTTTCGTAGCCGCTCAAGTGGCAATTAGTAGTAAAATGAATATGCCTAAAAATAATGGGGATCAGCAACCGTCTGCTACAGTGTTAGTGAAAATAACGAAAAGTATCCTATGAAAAAATCACCACTCGGGAAAGACAGATCAAGATTTCAGCAATTACGTTAATTCTTTGATTGATTTCCAACATAAGCGGACTTACGACATGAACGAATCCACCATAATGTCTATATTTAACAGAAATTTGCCAGGTAATTTCTAGATTTTCAAATTAAAAGTGGCAAGTTCTCAACAACTTGCTTAAAATTAAACTAACACTATATTACTATATTTATTTTTTATTAGTTTTTACATTTAATTTATTTAAGATAAAAGTATATGTATTTTATTGCAATAAATATTAAAATACTATTATACTATTTCATTTTTTGTGATGTGAAGGCCTAACTGTTATTTCGATGTGACTCTCATGTCAAGCCAACCAGTTTCAGTAACCGGAGGAAAGATTGGGTGGGGGGGAAATGCATTTTCAACGTGTGAAATAATTGCTAGAGGGACGATTATCATCATATCGTAGAAACTGTTGGACCAAGAAACATTGCATAATATTTTATAAGTATTATCGGTAACCAGTATTATCCTCTATTGGAATCACCCCATGGATTCACAGGAACAGACTCCTAAACAAAGAATAGATATGGCTCACGGATTTATGAAATCAGTTATACGGAACCAAATTGACAGGTCTCTTTTTTAGTCTGTCTAAAAAAAATACTGTCTAAGACAGCACTTGTACGTGTATGATTAGTCCGAATAATATTCAGTAATTAATTAAATTACAATTTAAAAAGTATTTTTATACAAACAAATATAAAAACTATTTAAAATAAAGATACTGTTCAATCGTCTATACTAGTCAATAGAGCCTACATTTTGTTACATACTGTCTTCTTAGTCTCCTATATTTTTATTACTCTTCTGGTGTGGCTACTCTGCGTCCTATTCACAATCGGCACTCCCCCGACTCAACATGTTTAATATTAATAATTAATAGTACTGAATGGGGAAAAACAAAGCTGTAGAGCAGTGAGCGTCATGGTTCAACCCAGGTAAGAAGGTTGAATTTTTTCGGAGGCAACTATTATAAATTTTATTCATTAAAGTAAAGAGCCCCAGATATATATGGTCAAGGCCTGGACTGTCTGTAGGAATATTTTTTTAAATACGGGCAGGTAGAGTGTTGGACAGTCTGTCCTATTGTTTAATGGTTGACAGGTAGGGTGGAGGACTTTCTGTAGGCTTACAGAGTGACAATTATGGTGTAGGACTGTTGTCACTGTTGTTTAATAAAGGCCAGCAGGTAGGGTGTAGTGTATGACTGTGTGTAGGCACTGTAGCCCTATTGTTTATAGAAATGAGTAGTTAACTCTTTTTTTTTAACACTTCTTGGACCCACCAGGTATTTTCTAAAAATATGCGGACTTTGGGTAAAAAAAAAAAAAAACACACCTGGTTAAGCCCTAGTAAATAATAATTCAAACATCCATTCATTAAAGTCATTTAACATTTGAATTTGGCTTGGTGAATTCCATGTTTCATCATGATAACTGACTTGACTTTCAGAAAAATAATTTAGTTTTAAATCCAGTATAAGTAAAATGATAAATGGCGTGCTTAGCTTAACTATTCCTGTTTTTTAGGTCTTAACTTAAGTTGGTTTGGTAGACTGTAAAACACAATTCAATATAAAAATTAAAAACATATTAAGCATAATGAATAGTAAAAATAATACATTTTGGAATTGTAACTGACAACATAAAAAGGACATAGATTTTAATTTGAATCTTTTTTGTTGACATCTGCTTTAATTAATTGAAATATATTTTTTCAAACTAATTATCTGCCAATTTTTGCAATCCGCTATGGCCACATTGTTTACTTTTCTAAGGAAAACCTTTAAAAACTGCTAAAAAGTAAAAGCACATTTTATATTTTAAAAAATGAAAATAATGTAACGAAGGAACATGTTGAATGCTAGCAATAAAAAATATAACAACAATGACTACTTTTTTACAGAATTACAATTACTTCACTGTAGCTGTTAAATAAACAGTGTTTAATGCTTGTCCATTCATATGTGACTTTGACCATGACAGTGAAAATTGTCTGTCTATATTTATTAGATAAAATATAATGTTATGTAGTACACTATTTTCCCGTGCTTGAACTTTGCTTGACCCAAATTAGATCCCTAGCAGAAAGTAGTGTTTGTTGTGGGCGTGGCTTAGTCTTTCAAGTATCGTGTTTACTACTGCTCTACCAATTAAACATGGTTAGTATGTCTACTAGTAGCTTATGGAACGTTCTCGATTGTATTAGAAAAGTAAGGGCATTTCTAAACGCGTCGGTAGACCCACATATATAAAGGATTGACAGGCGCAGAGAGAGACGGAGATTCAGATAGATATTTGTAACTTTACGAGACATGTATTATTCTTTGTGTTCTTATATATGTGTTTATTCGCATTTCGTCATTGTACATTATTAATTGGCACATTGTACTAACTGTGTACCGGTACAAGATCTGCCATACTCTGTAAGTTGATCAGTTGTAATTATATTTCTTTTGTTTTATAATTGTATTATTACTAAATTAAATTTTATTAATTGTATTTTGTACTGTTTTGGGTGTCGTATTTTTGTTATTGTATTTCCCTATGGTATTGTCCTTTGTTTGGCACTGTTTGAAAGAGCCATTTCAAAAAAAAAATAATTAATTTCTCACCAGAGAAGCCAGTGCGTAACATGTAAACACAATAAAGTTCAAGAAATTTTCTATTAAACAACATGTTCTTAATTCAAGATGCCCACCAAGTCATGGGTCACACTAAACAAAGATACTAAAAATGACTCAATACCAAAATGCATGGCATAAATGTATCAGTATCAATATATAGCACCAAATTGTATGCAATTTAATTTTGTATACTTTTTTACACCAAATTGTTACTTGTTAACAAGCTTCAAAATTGGCTTCATTTGCAACATGAGAAATGGGGAATTAGGTTATTAGGGAGAGGTCCAAAATTTTTTTTACAAATTCCAGTAATTCTATTGATCGCAAGCAAATGACATTTTTGAATGGTTTCTTTTAATAACTATTCATCCCCGTTGTTGAAAAAATGTATCTTAAAAGAATTTTTTGGCAACAAGACGGGTGCAAAAAGTGACAGTGAGTGGTAAGCATGCAAAACTCCAAAAGTAAAATTCTCAAAAACGCAAAAATAGATAATATACTCTACCAATTCCATTGTAGCTTTTCAGGAAGCGTTCTTTGAAGACCTCAACTCATCCTGAGAAAGATGCCCTGAGTCTAAAAATGTCCATAAATTGGTTTGGAAGCTTCCTTGAAAGATTATATTTAAAAAATAGAAGACTTGATGACCATCAACATGGTTGCTAACTAGGACACCAGAAAATTATCCTGATTTTTATTTAAGGTTTCCCATTTATATTTTAGTACCTTACCTATTATTAAGTTTTGGTTGAGCATCAAAATTTGTGGTTGGGAAATGTATGTATGAGTTTGAGAGTTTTGGGACAAAGTCTTACAGAGAGAAACAGAAGAGAGAAAAATTGCTAGAAAATAGGATTTGAAATCATTTGGGGCTTTTTTTTTTCCTCTTCTATGCAGAGACAACTACGACAAAGAAGTTAAAGCAAAACAGCAGCAGGGAAGAGGGCATATTAAACTTCATCCTCATAAGCAGAAAAAACCAGAAATTCAGACATATGTGCCACCCCAACGATCAAAGAAAGGTTATTGCTTTTTCATTTTACTTTAAATTTATTTGAGAAAAATTGACTGCAAAAAAAAAAAATTAAATTTTTATTTGAATCATTATCATTTAAATTTTATTGACCTATTTTTAACATTTTTTAGATTTAAAAAAAATCACTTAATTAAAAAAGGAATTGGGAATTTGGAATTACCAGGGATGAGAATAAAAATTATTGGTTAGAATTTTTTATCTGAAACTGAACTTTACAAATTTTGTGTTTTTTTAAATTCAGAATCACATCAACACATTTTTGTTCTTGAGTATGAGCACAAAAATGGTGAGATTATTACGGTACATGTTGCTAAAGTAAGTTATTCAGCTTATGTTTTGTACTAGGGTTGCACCAATTAATTAGTCTTTATTCGTACAATTTTGTTAATTAATTGGCTTGATTTCAGTTTTAATCTGCACTTTAGATATCAGAAAAAGCTCCACATGTTAGAAGTAAAGCTGTAGGGTCATAATAGAGTGATGTCTATTTAATGTGATTTTTTTTTACTTAGTATGAAAGAAGAAATTTGAAAGTTTCTAGATGTCTATCATATTCACATATATTTTTTTTTACTGGTCAGTTGTTTTTTCCTTTTGGGACATCATGAATGCTCCCTTTTCAGAGACAGGAAAAATCAATTGGACACTACCCTATAAATGATCAATCCAAAGCCTTAGATCTAAAAATATAATTTACAGAACATAATATAAAAAAATCTCTACCCAAACCTCGCCACTCTAACCTCTCCAAAGGGGAAATCACAGGCATTAGCTAAATTACGTAAGCGTAAGGATATTGTAGTTAAACATGCAGATAAGGGTGAGGCTGTTATCATTTATGATAAAAAAAATATATATATATTTTAAGAAGCAGAAGGACATTAGAAAATATACAATTCTATAAATCTAACGAGCACAACCCATTTGTTCACAACAATGAAATCTTGCGAAAAACAATAAAACAATTTATTGACGATTTTAAACTTCCTGAATCAGCTATTGCTCTGCACACGTTCAGTAGGGATCTGGGAAAACCTTCTTTCTATTTGCTGCCTAAAATTCACCAAGAAAGCCATCCTGGATGACATATTGTCTTGGCCTGCCCTTGTCTTACAGAACATGTCGCAGAATTTCGTGATGGGATATTTCAGCCTTTTGTAACTTCTTTACCCCCATATATATTAAGTACACCAACCATGCTTTAAAAAAATTAAATTCCATTTAAACATTACACTTAATTCAAAACATCTACCGGTACTGGTACAGTTTTTACATGATGTCTGCTCACTATTTATGTCAATGTCACATGCTTTGACATTTTTCCTCAAAAACAAACCACATCCATTATCTCATACTGACACCCTTTTCTGATTAGCCAAACTGGTACTTAACTCACAACTCTTTTTAATTTGTCTTTTTTTTTTTAACCAACTTAATGCTGTGGCAATGGGTACCAAGTTATGCTGCTTTCATTTCTTGTTTAGTTTAAACAAAAGTGAAGGTCGTACAAAACTCACCCTTACCTACCATCCTTACAAAAAGATTGCCAAAAATATTCTTAAAGAATTTTAATTTACTCTTTGCTGACCCTGATACTGACAGGGTATTATCAGCCCCTACTCTTATTGTCTTCTGAAAGGATTCAAATCTATGTGATCTTCTCATTCATTTGTCTTCTAGCCGAGCCTTCTCACATTGAGACTAAGCCATGTTCAAGAAGCTGTAAGCCGTTGTAGGACTTGGCCCTATCTACTGGAAACTGAACACATTAGCTTTTCCAAAGGAGAGGGCTTAAAATGTATCAGTTGAAATGTGATTGTTTGAGGAAGATGCCGCTCCTGTTTTATAGGTGAAACAGGAAAAAAGGCTATTTGATAGGTTCATTGAAAATCTTCAAATGTCCCTGGTTTCATCCAATGTCACTGGAGTTAAACACAGGGACACATCAGATGTATCCAACATGACACTAATTTCCAGCAATAATATACCAGCAAGAGTGGAGAATGAAAATAAATTAATTCAAATTTTCAACACCACTTCACCATTTTAAATCAATCAGATACTCTCTTACTAGTGGTCCTCAATTTCTATTCTCATTTTTATAGTTAAATATTAACTTTACATTAAATACTTAAATTCTTTTACCTTAACAGTACCCACCACAGAATTATTAAGAAGCACATTTTGTCTTATAATTCCATTGCTATATTGCACGTTTGTTTCTCAACTTCTGTTTCTAACAAAAGCATAGAGTGCTTCCTGTTCTGAAAAACAGACTCATAACTAGAGTGTTGTAAATACATGCACCCTGCAGCATAGTGGATAAGGGAGAGGCAATCTTCCTTGGGATCATTTTAGATTAGTTGATGCCCTTTTTGGATGAGGAATGGATGTTGCTTTATTTTTTTTTTTGCACCATTTTCTTTTCTACATTTTTTCTTTTCACTGATTCAAAGCATTTTTGAAAAGAATAAAGCCTGTTCTAAGCACGCCACAAGTAAATTCAGCATATCTACGAGAAGGGTCTACATTTCTTGGTGGTGAGCAGACCCATTTCCCCTGTCCAGTTGCAAGGCCAAATATTTTGGAATCTGATAGGCAATAACTGCTTATTTTAACAAGATAAAGTAAACATTATATAACTACTCTCCTAAACCCAAATAATAGCTTTTGGGAATAACTGCCGCATATAGTAAATTACCTACAATTAGTTACAAATTGAATTGTCAAAGCACAAAACATAATCACATATCATGGTAAATAAGTGGCACAAGAGGATAAAGCAAGCCTGAATATCTGTTAAACTTAAACTGTTTGCTTATTGGTGCAATCCTAGTGAGACTTTTACTTATTATGTAATTTATTTGTACTGTGACATAAAATTTAATAAAGTTCCCATATATGTATTTCAGTTAGGTGTAACCATTTTTAAAATATATGGTATAACATAAAACTTAAATTTAAGCTTGCTGGAGGAATTAAGACCACTTGGAGTGTACCAGTTATCTTAAAATTGTTGAGACATCAATGAAAAAATAAGGATGGGTACAAAATTATTGAATTTCGTGGCTGTCTTAGCCTCAAGTTGGTAACATGGCATCATTGTTAAGTTAGCAAGTAATTCCACATTCCAGGTTTGAATGTATTGAGGAAGAATCTGCTTTAGTGATACCATTCTCAAACTACCCTATGACTTTCTGTCTTACGTAATGTACATCAGATTTTAAACTAATTTAGACTGACACTTGGAATATCATATGGAGTACCGGAATCACAATAATATTATGGAGGTCTTTTCCTCAAACTTGTCTGTCATATGATGGAGTTTTAATATAGCTGAAACAGTTTTTTAACAAATTATTAACTTAGTAATTGAATGAAGCTAATGCAATAATTTTTTTTTTTTCTTTTTCAGGGTGATATACCAGAAGAGATTGCAAAAAACATTGGTGAAAAGTTTCAGTTGTCCAATGCTTTTATAGACGCCCTTGCACAGAAAATAGATGAGGAAATTGTTAAGCGAGTTGTATGAAATGGATCTCATAGCTAAAAGAAAGTGCAATATTTATACTCAAAGCTGATTTGTTATATGGCAATATCGATGAGCAAATTTAAATCAGATGTTTTGTCATTAAAAAATAATGTATTGTTTGCTACTCTACTAAGATTAGTAAGAATGTGACTGAAATACATCCTGGATTGAGGGCCACATTATTGCATGTGAAGCAAGAATACAGAGTCTATGATTATATTTGCATAGACCAAAAAGTAGAAGTATATTGTCAGAAATATAAAGCAGAGGGTAGGGGAAAACCTGAAAAAAGTCTAAAAGCAGCAAGAAGCCTTTATCATTAAACAGTATAAACAAAGGGAAAAAAAAATGTGAATAAGAAAATTGGCTTAGGTAGTGTCCCGAAGAACTGCTAGAGGATGACAGCATCTTTTTTTGTTTCACCTTTTTCCAAGTTTTTTCTTACCCTTTGCTTTCTATTTGGTATTGCTTCAACCTGAACACAATCCTCCTCCTTAAATTGCAATTATAATTAAAGTCTTTTTTTGTTAGTGCCTGATATTCTTTTCCCTTGCTTTGACTAAATGAGTTATGGCATAGCCTATCTGGTGGCATGACCTTGATTTGACTTAATGAGTTATGGCATAGCCTATCTGGTGGCATCAATGAACAATGTGTAGATCTAAGGGTTTAAACCATAAAGGCTTATTGGACTAAGGACAGGTATTCACTAAAAATAGTCAGAGAGATAATATTTGTTCCTAACTTAACTTTGATTATTTTTATTTAAAAACTTTTTAAAAAAATATATTTATACTTGTAATTGCTGCTGCATACATTTAAGTTATTTTATTTATAAGGGAATTAGAAAATGGTCATATTTCGATATCTGAGCAAGATTTTAAAAGTACATAACTTCTCAGGGGTAGTAAATGTGCCTTATAATTATTAAATTTACAATGTATGAACAAATATATGATCAATTTTGTATCTGGTATATTGTAATTGTATTTGTATAAAAAGGGATTCCACTATTTGCAGTGGTTAACTGCAATGTATGATTATTAAAAATAACTTATCATGAAGAGGCAGTTTGGTGGAGTTTCTTTGCATCTTTATTTGTTTTAGTGAGATTGTGGCTTGTCAAATTATTTTTTTCATCACAAATATACATGTCTTTTTTCTTAGTTCTATTCCCAGTTTATATATAAACCACTGTTTAAATGACATGTCTTACACACCAGCCTAGGTAAAAATCCAATATCTACCACTTTTATCATTGAAACACATAAAATAGGATCAAAATTGTATAAGCAGATTAAAACTAGAGCCAAAATGCTATAAGTTAAACAGGTTTCCAAGTATTTTATTTTTCTAATATATCAAGAACACCAGCAAGCGCTACTAAACTTGTATGCTAGACTCTTTCTCACAACTGATAACAGCACATGAATAGATTTCTACCAGCTTATCATGTTGGACATCATCATTCAGATGTAGCAGCCATTCGGGCATGTGCCCAAGGCCATGAGAAGAATTTGCACACTCTGTAGCTGTTTGGTATATGGTGTGTTGTTGTAGTCTGGTATTTTGGTTGGTATTTACTGTCTCATTTGGACATCTGCAGACGAGGCGCATCTGGTTTTTGTTTTATGCTAAGAATTAAGTTATACTATGTGCGTCCCATAGGTGAGCGAAAGATTATGACCTGTTTGTGTCTTTGGAACCAATTGATCTTTAGGTTCTTGGCTTTGCATGTAGGTGAAAACACATCTTCCTACTGAGCATGTAGCCGATCCATTTAACCTCTCTTCTTTTTTTGTTTAGTTCTGATAATCTGCTTCAGTGTTGAGTGATGTAAGTATGTTTGGCTGTGTTGAATGTTGTAGGTATGTTTGGCTGTGTTGAATGTTGTAGGTATATTTGGCTGTGTTGAGTGATGTAGGTATGTTTGGCTGTGTTGAGTGATGTAGGTATGTTTGGCTGTGTTGAGTGATGTAGGTATGTTTGGCTGTGTTGAGTGATGCAGGTATGTTTGGCTGTGTTGAGTGATTTATGTATATTTTGCTGTGTTGAGTAATGTTGGTATGTTTGGCTGTGTTGAGTGATTTATGTATGTTTTGCTGTGTTGAGTGATGTTGGTAGGTTTGGCTGTGTTGAGTGATGTATGTATGTTTCGCTGAGTTGAGTGATTTTTGTCTTTTCATTCATGCTTCTTGTTTGACTAGTTAGTCAGCTCTCTCATTTCCTGCTAAAGTTGTGGTGTCCTGGTATCCATTGTAAGGTTTTGAGGAAGGTGTTTATTTTCAAAATTAGTGATTTTGCTGTTATTGTAAGACATTGATGCTCAGCAGCCTGAGGTATTGATTCAATGATGTCAGGCCAGAGTCACATGAGGAGACATGGCAATATATATTTATTGATGGTAATGCAAAAATGTGTAAGTCATAAAGCTGAGTACCGGTATGCCTGTATTTGTGAAATCGGTTGAAAACATGAAGCTTATTTTCATTGCATTTGTCGAAACGTTAGTCTCATTACTGCACCAAATAATGATTAGTGCAATTCTGAAAATGTAGCATTAGCATGGATTGCAGTTTATTGATTAGTTTTGCTCTACTTGTACAGTTAAGCTGCTGGTATGTATGTTTATATCTAAAGGCATGAATTTTTTTTAATGATTTAAAATCTGTACATAATTTGTAAGCTCAGAAATGTTTATTAAAAAAAAACTGCTACTGAAAGTGAAAAAGACTTATTATTAGTTAGTACTGGGTATTAACAATAAATTTAATTTGTTTTAAGTACTGTATTTATAACTTCGGCTATTTAGACTTAAGGTACTCAAAGAGGATGGTACCACCCCACCCCCCCAAAAAAGGATAAGGACATTGGCTTAACTATATAAATATAACGAGTAGATTCATTGTTAACTCATTAACTTTAAAACGCATCTTGCTAATGATGTGTCTTTGGTTTGATCCTCTTTTTATTGAGACCATCCCAAAAACTTCATCAGTATGTTCCATTTGTTCAGAACAACTTTTTTAATGACATGCTTAGGTTTCAATGTTGGTTAAGTCTCAGCCCAAGAAGACAAATCTTCAGGCCCACCAATCACTAGTTAAACACCAGAATAACTCAATGGGATCGATTTATACACTCATAAAGTTACTATTTTGAGCAAGGTGGTGGTAGTGGTAGCCATATTTACATAAGATGAGCCTGTAACTTCTTTGTCTTACTCCCTGGTCATTAATATTATTTATTTGATAACCCATCAGTTTTTACACCTAAAAGACTTAAAGTAAGAAAATTGGTATTATGAAAAATGGTGATGCATTTTACAAGATTGTTGAGTTGTAATGGTACATTAATTATCTCATATTTTATAACAAATGAAAGACACACAGTTTTCAAAAACACTTCAATGGGCAAACCTTTTTTTAAAGTGTTTTCCCCACATCAATCAAACACATACTGTGCACAAAACAAAATCAGCTGAAAACTATTCACCTCAACATTTCACACCAATCGCATTTAATAATCTTGACTTTCAAAGCTGATTTGGGATAAATGCATCAGATAAATCTTAAATGTCCAATAAAATAAATATGCAACATTTTTTTTAGTTTTAATTGTTCCAGTATATGTGAAATCTTGCTATTAGAAGTGGATAAGGCGGATTGTTTATTTTTTTTAAAAATCAGATTCCAGTCATGCGTTGTTTTTTTTAAATTTTAAATGCATTGAATTTAACATCAAACAAAAGTGTACATTACTTAACATAAACTTATTAAATACAGAGTTTACTAGATTGCTACAAAAAAAAAGTAGCAGAGTGCATCAGCAGAGTATGAAGCTGTCCAATTGAACAGGGGGCTCACACAAAATGTGAGAGAAAAATAAACCAGAGTACTTAAACCTAGTACAATGGCAGGCTGGCAGTTCATGGAGACAACATTAAACCAGTCATATTTAGGATATAATATGCAATCAGTGACAGAGTTTCACAGCAGCATGTGAAATAAATAGCAATATTGAACCCATAAATATAAGAAGTGAATAAGCAATTATCGAGATCGTAGGCCTATATTACAGAAAATCTCATCAAGTGATAAAAGCTGTAGAAGAAGGCATTTCATTTTTGATTCTTTTTCTAAAGTTTATTAAGAATGGCCCAATTTTAATTAAGATAGGCGCAATTTCAATCTTCACTAAACCTTAGCACTCTGGCGTCAATTAACTGATTCTGATTAGATCCCTTTCAAAGTTTGGTTGGTTCTTTTACTTAAAGTTTAAAGGGTCGTTCGCAAATTATGTCACGCAAAAATGACCTTTTCAGACCCCCTCCCCCTGTCACAAATTCTTAAACCCCCGCCCCCACTTTAGTGTCACGTCACACATTTTCTCCACTTTTTCCCCCTTTATTAATCCACGAATTTTGTCAGCCACTTATGACCTTGGCGGTGTGTTGAATAAAACCACGTGTGCAGAAAAAAAAAGTATATGAAACTAATGAAAGGATTGTTGTGTTGAGAGTGACGAGTGCTGTGGATGTAGGAGTGAGATTTTATTTGGATATACTCATTTATTATTCTTATGCATTTTCAATCCAAAATGCATACCAAGAGCTTACAACACATTAGCTCTGCTGGAGCTGGAAGGAAAGGAGTTTTTTTTTACTCTGATATTGTTCTGTGGCTATGACGCAGGGGACCGACCTCTAGACGACGTACTATTCGCCACAGTGTGTGTGGGGGGGGGGTTATTCTTATGCATTTTCAATCCAAAATGCATACCAAGAGCTTACAACAAATTAGCTCTGCTGGAGCTGGAAGGAAAGGAGTTTTTTTTTACTCTGATATTGTTCTGTGGCTATGACGCAGGGGACCGACCTCTAGACGACGTACTATTCGCCACAGTGTGTGTGGGGGGGGGGGGGCTGTCGAACCAGCCCACCATCCGTCCCAATGCACTTGTTGGCTTTAAGAAATGTGCAAAAATCAATAATAATTTGTGTATTTTAATAATTTCACTTCATCATCGTCAATAGCGCTACAGCCCATGGCAGGGCTCTCGCCCGCTCCACAAGTTCCTTCTATTCAGACGCATCTATGGCTTTTTGTCTCCATAGGCTGACCCCCAGCTGATGTAAGCAATAGCGCTACAGCCCGTGGCAGGGCTCTGGCCTGCTCCACAAGGTGCTTCCATTCAGACGTATCTATGGCTTTTTGTCTCTATGGATGAACCCTAGCTGAATAAGTCCATCCCTACATCATCTCGGTCTTGATCTACTGGGGAATGAGTCTGTAAATCACTTTTTGCTCCTCTTTAATCTGACATCCCCTTGTAGGGCCCTGGTCTGCTCCACCACATCCTTCCATTCGGAACGATCCATGGCTTTCCACCTCCATGTGCGAACCACCAACTGGTGTAAATCCTTCTCTACATCGTCGATCCATCCCAGTCTTGGACGACCGAGTGAGCCGCCTGTCCCTTATAGGCTTCTCCCTGTATATCTACAATCGGCATCCTTTTCTTCATATGTCCTGCCCAGTGCAGTTTGCCTTTTTTTTTTTTATTGTTGTGCCTATGGGTGGGTATTTGTACAATATTGTTATAGCTCTTGGTTTGTACGGATTCTCCAGACTTCATTTTCTATCACTGGGCCGTATATTCTCAAGCGTAAGTTACTAATGGTCTTATAATAGTGGTGTATATTGTCTTCTTCGTTCCCCTTGAGAAATAGGCAGAAATAGGAATGGTTACCTGCTGTTAAGCTTTCTTTCCCATCCCACATTATTTCATTGTGTTCTTTATAGCCCCTAGACCTAGACATTTGAATGTAGCCTCTCTCTCAAATGTGTGGTTGCTTATATTGATGATGTCATCAGCGTGGGAGTTTCGTGACATTATATATTTTGTCTTCGCTTCATTTACATCACGACCAGATTTGAGTCACTTTCCCTGAATGCTTTAATTATGGCATTTCTGTTTCTGCCCAGTAGCGCTATATCGTCTGCGTATGCAAGGTACTGCAGTGGGTGGCTATATAAAGTGCCTGATGGTAACAAAATAAATAGCTTTGTTTCATAACATTTAACTTTGCCTTTCTCTCTCCTGTGATATTAAGTTATGGTATTTTCCTCTCCTCTGTTCGATATTTCTGCAGGGTCTCTAGTTCAAGTAGCCCTCTATACCTTGAAGTAGTTACTTCCTGTAGCACTTGACCTGCATCAACTGTTTATCGCCATCTGTACTCTTCACATTCGGTTTTTTCAGTCTATCAACTGTCAGGTGTAACTGTAACTTGTCTGTCAAGCTCTCCATTTTTACAGTATTTCTCTAGTCCAGTGACTAACTCACTCTTTAGAACTTTTGTTCTAATCCAGCTAGAAAACCAAATAGGTAACATTTTCAAAGTAATTCAAAGAAAATTGGGCCGACTAAGTAAACATAATAACTTAGCATTAACTTAAGCCAAAAGGACTATACTGAACTGTGAGCAAGTATATATAAGTATTTTTTTTAAAAAAAATTAATTTAATGGGTAGTTTTAAAGAATGTCTACATCCTTTTTATATAATATTCAAATTCCCAATTAGGTAAATACTTAAAGTTCTTTAATTCTTATGATAAATTTACTTTCCAATTAATTATTAATATTGATTCCTATATTATAAAGAACACTGTCTCATTCTTATGCCATCAGTTTTTAAGTGCTATTATTTCCATCAAGTAGTACACTGACAGTGTTTTTAAGAGGCCCATTTAGTGCAGCTTTTGGGAATTTTATTTCGTGGGCCTATAGAACACAGCATTACATGATGACACTGGCCGATTCTCTTTAATATTTTTAACAGGGTCCTTCAATATTAATATCAACCAGTTATTGAAGTATTTGTTTCATCCTACAACAAGACAGCAGCACAACTTCCTCCTACAACAAGACAGCAGCACAACTTCCTCCTACAACAAGACAGCAGCACAACTTCCTCCTACAACAAGACAGCAGCACAACTTCCTCCTACAACAAGACAGCAGCACAACTTCCTCCTACAACAAGACAGCAGCACAACTTCCTCCTACAACAAGACAGCAGCACAACTTCCTCCTACAACAAGACAGCAGCACAACTTCCTCCTACAACAAGATGCACAAATGAAAATTTTTTTTCAACACATCATTTTTTCAAAATTGTGCTTTAATTTAAATTAATAAAAAATAAAATTTTTCTTCCTGTTGAAATTTATTAACAGGAGATCTTAAAATAATTCTAGGTAACGAGTCATTACAGTTTACAGTAAAAAATGTAACACTTTGAAATGTTAAAGTTAAAGGTAATCGGAGCTCTAGAGTAACATGCCAATGAAGGCACGCTTGTGACTGATTATCAGCAGGGCTCACTTATACTTCTATGTAATATTCATTAGCCATTTTATTATTACCATGATTAAACTTAAACTAAAAAGACAACTGATATTGCTGATATACACAACACAAAAAAACTAACACCACTTTTCAATATACTGCTATAACAATGGTTTCAAAACTTAACGATACTAGGGACAATGTTTTGTTTAATATTCTTGATCTCCTCCATCCCACAATCTTATTTCCTAAAATATGGACAAATGTAAAAGTAGATTGACACCTGTGTATTGTACAATCCCTTTGAAGCAGTGAGGGCGTTGTTAACTTAAAGTA